ATTTGTAGCAAAGAGTTCATATTCTTGCTCTTCATCAAAACGAAGGTGTTCTCCATTGGCGCACTGGATCATGACGCCATATTTGCCAATTACTGAATTCATCGTAACTCCATCATAACGACGCGTGCATTCCAGTCTCCCCCATTATGGCCATGTCATTTCTGGGTAGAGAAGTTGAAGCTCCGCATAGAACTTATCCTTACTGGTTTCATTTACTGGTTTCCACTCAATTAGAACGGATCGAGCCTTTTCAGATATGACAATCGCTATGCCATTTGCTCCGAGACACCACAGTAATATAGCCAATATCTTTGTTCGGAACCAGTTTTAATAATTACTCGAAAGCAAATATGAGGAAGACGGGCTTCCGGTAAATAAACCACATCTATGCAGTATTTCGAAAGGAAGTGGACAGTGGTCTCTTGGTTTGCAACATCCATAAGCGTTCTGACGTTCCAAGCAGCTATAACCAGCACCTAACTGCGCTTTAAAAATGTTAACGCATAAATTCTCGTCTCCCTTGACCGGTTCTGAGTAATTATTATCACGATTAGCGAACATATCCTATGCTCAACTCTTGGCATTACTTTATCATTTTTATTTATTATTATAATTACTATTGTAATTATTATTATTATTAATATTATTATTATTTTGGTTCCTGCAAACCGCTTCCCTGCTTTTACTTGTTAAGAAAAGACCAAAATATTTTATAAATAAATATTTTTAATCTGATTTACAAAAAAAGAACTAATGCCAGATTGGACTTTCAAAAATTCAGAGAATAGCCTTTGTAGCCGATAGAGAGAATTCACAGCGATTTTCTTAAATTAATGCTTAAATATAAATCATTAAAATCATCTCTAAAAATTTAATAAGATTTGAAAGTTCTGATTCTCTATTGAAGAACGTTTTAAGAAAAATATTAGTAACTAAATTTCAAACGTCATAAATATTTTAAAGCAACATCTCGAAAAATATTCAAGTATTATCAACATTAATCATCAGAGTTATTGCTTTCAATATAAATATAAATGTTGTTATCAGTTATTATTAATATAATTATAATATATTGTTTATCGCTATGTTTTCTAAATAAATTTATTTATTTGTTTTTTTTGGATAAAATAATAAATAATTAAAAGTTCATGTTTGCTGGAAAATTTATATAATTTCGAAGATAAAAATATTTCAAATTTAAATCATTAAGAAATAATAAATAATTAGAAATTAAATCGAAATATCTCTAAAAACTTTTTTTTTAAACTTCATTGCATCATTGAATCCAATTTTCCAATTCATTTTTTTTTTCCACGAAAAATTCTTCGATGAAAGTATTTGCAACCAAATTCACCCTTTTTTTGCTCGTTATTGCAAACGGGCGGAAATGGGGAAAAATTCTTGGCCTCTCAACTTCTCTTTTATTTAATTGAAAAATTCGCAAGGAAGTCTTTTTTTGCGTTGATTATTTTTCAGGAGATTTAAATTATTCCAAGCTCAAACTAATTCACTTATCCAATAATGAAATGTTCAACTATAATTCTGACAAATGCACACATAATAATGTTTCTCATTGCCAGCAAATCTCCAATTTGGCTGGCTATATTGGCTATTAAAATGAAATTTTTGTAAGGGAGTCATTTGCCGACAAAAGTGTAGGTTAGTACCACATTATACCTCAACAACATTCTCATTTCATTTTTAAAATTTATTTCCATGAAAAGAGGACAACTAATGAGTTGAAGTAATATGCCACTGCATATATTATTTGAATAATCTTCCACAAAGATTATTCAATTATCAACTTTCTTAGATGATGAATTAAATTCTTTACTTGTCAATTTTTATTTACTTATTAAATTTTAATAAGAACAAGAAAGCCACCAGAAAGTATCAATTAGATTCCCATAGCCTTATTCTTTTTAATTTTTAAGAGTTGAGTTTTTGCTAATTAACCAAGTATGGTAAATTAATATTAAGCTTTTTTTTGCAAAATAAATTATCTCGATCGGTCCAGAAATTTTATGAGCAAGCAATCGAGTAGAACAGGAAATTATGAGGAAAAATTCTGAAATTCTGATAATACAGCCTAAGGTCATATTAAAACTAGCAACATTGCATGAATTTTTCATAATCCTTAAATGAATAACAAGCATTTTGAAATTAATAAAAAGCCCATCATTACGAAAAAAGAACGAATGAAAAATTAATTTCAAAAAAAACTAAGAGATAAATACAAAAGTAGAAATGGTACCAGTGAAAGTTGGACTCGTATTTTATGACAGCTTTAAACCAGTCATTCGCTGAGGATCCATTCGTAATTCTATCGGTAAGTAAAGATCTATTATTTCTAACAGTCAGCTAAGCCTGAAATGCTATTAAAAGAAGATGGAAAATAAAAATTAAACAAAAATTTAGTGGAATACAAAAAAAAATTAAGAAAAAAGGCAAAATGGTAAAATGTTGTGAAGAAAAAAACTATAAATTTCATTTTAATAGAAAATCTATGCTATAGGATCCTTCTTTGTAAGGTGACATAAAGTCTCAGAGTCAAAGTCTTCATGCATCTTTATTTCCTTAATCCACTATCTGCTTTCATTTCGTATTGAATGATCTCTTTGCTTTCATATATTGTATAGTGCATCTGCATAAACTGTGTGGATTCCTCCAAAGAGAGACCTACTTCAATTTGTTATTATTGCAGAAATCGTTCTTTTTTCGTGTCCGAAGGACTTCATGGTGTGCTACTACTGCTTACTCCTTCTCTCGTAGTAAATAAATTGCTAAGTTAAAAGCACCCACCTTCATTCAAATACCTTCATTGATGCTGTTATAAAAGACGTTTCTCCGCCACAGGAGTTGATACAGAATTCGCTAACCCTCTGATGGATGGCTTTAAAAGCGATGTGGATCAATCGAGACTATCAGGAAAGATTTTGAACGTGTAAGGAGACCAGGATATATGGATCGACGGAGAAAAGAATGTCTTCTATTATTATCAGCAATTGTATCAGACCAAACAGCTTGGAAACATCTTACCTTTGAAGCCAGCGAAGCCAGCCTAACCAGCTGTTAGAGGAAGAAGATAAGCAACATTTTGCTACAGCAGGATAAGCAGCGAACTTTCTATAGCTTTTTAAATTGAATGAAGAGAGACTTTAAAAATAACAATAGCTCATTAAACTCAATGTTATAAAATTATTTCATAAATTAGAAAATTAGACTAACTCCCATGCCTCCCATGTTTCTATTTGTTTCTGCGAATTGTGGAGTTTTAAGAATTATGAGTTTTGATAAAAGCACAACTGATCTACTTGCTAAAATTTATTGGCTTTGCAATGACTCTTTTTCATTGCATTTCTGTATTGCAATATGGCTCGTTTCACTGATTACTGTATGGAAGTGCTTTATCAGAGAGTCACTTAAGGATAAAATGCAAATAGGTCTAAGCTATCATTTTATCACTAAGATTTTAAATACTTCTAATTCTTAAAAGGTTTACGGCCGTCAAAGCTCTAATCAAAGCAAAGTGTTAAACCAGTGTGCAGTGATATTTTACTAATCAAAAAAATCGAAGGAAGATTAAAGCCAATAATACAAATAAATTAAGCAAGAATCATCAAAAGAACAAAATAAACCGAAGATTCATTCTTCGCTAATTTCGAAGAGCTACGTTTTAAAGTTTCTTATTAAGTTTTATATTTAGTGAAAGCAAAAATATAAGATTTTTCTTCAAACATCAGTCAGTCAGTATTTTTATTTTGGTTGATTGCACTGATTATTAGGAAGAAAGAAAGATTATTTCGCTAGAAAATCACTCGAGGAACTCAACTGTAACTGTAAGTGAGCCCTCAGTGAGTGGCATAGAATTATTTCTGTCATGGAACAATAATTATATTAAAGACGGTGGGTTGCGTGATTCTGCTCGACTCGACAATCGCTTCAAATTTAAAATCTATTCTTATATAAATTTAAATTTTTAATTTAAGATTTAAATCTATAAAATTGAAATTAAAATTGAATTCAATTAAATAAATTAAATATGATTAAATCAAATTAAATAAATTAAATGAAATTAAATTAAAATTAAAGTTAAATCAAATCAAATACATATGTTGTCTAATAGAATTTTTTATTACAAACAACAAATAAATGAATAAGCAAATTGTATACAAAAAAATAAACTATAACTTTTAATTTTAAATCAAAATCAATGAATTGATATTAATTATTTATGATAGATCAATTTACAAATCAAACGTATCAAATTTTTCACCTTTATTTTCTCTTCAATATAATATTCACAGTTTTAAATAAACGCTCACCACTTCTACACATGTGATGTCCTACGAAATAATTTGCCAGACTTTTGTCAGCGATAGAAATTCAGGTGGAGCACCACGTCGATTTTTAATGATGGGATTGCCTCAACGGGAGAAGGAAGATGAGGGGAATGAACATTTCCTTCTTTGTGGAGTAAATAGACCGCTTTCCATTCGGACATTCTCTCCGTTTTAGGGAGATAAATATTAGATATAAAAATTGAATATATGAAATACGAAGCTTTAAACTTTATTTATGAATACTTTTTATTAATATTAAGTTAAATTCAATCATCTCTCATAATTGAATATTATTAATTAGAAATATTTTAGCAATTTATTTATCAATGTTGTTCACATTTTAGTTGAATAATCAAAGGAACTGTTTTGAGTATATTTATCAGCAATCAGTTTTACTGGTTGCATATCTGAAATAACGAATTACTTGTCTTTATAAAATATCTTTAGATATCTTTTTTTACCAGCGATAGAAATCTAGGTGAAACTTTCTTTGGTACCTACCGGGTTCAATTTATAATGGTGAGGGGGGGTGAATGGGTCGCTCTTTTATATGATTTTTTATTCTTAAAAAAATTTATTTGATTTGAAACACATGGTTTGAAATGCAAAATTTGTAGTGAAAACCATATGTTTCACAACTTTCTTAAAATAGAATGAATGGCTCAGAAGGGCTTCTCCAGGGTTAATTAATATTGAATCAGCATGGCGTATATAATAAATCGCTGTGGCACAATTCTTAAACTCCGACCGCTGCTACCTTAATCGGTTAATAATCGCCAGTCGCCAACAGTCCGCACCTCAGCAGCGAACCGAATCTATGGAAACAGCCAATTCGAAACGAAAGAGTCTCGAAAAAACTCGCAATACAATAAAAATTCGTTTTAGCTGATTGAAAATTAAATTTAATTCAAAAAAAACGTCGACATTGCAGAAGAAAATTTTAATAATGAAAATATTTCTTTCAGACATAATAAATCTAAAAAAATTTTAGCAAGCAAAGATTCATTGCAAATTCATCGATAGTACTTCGAAACTTCTCGATAATCATTTATTTTATTATTCTATTGGCCAATTAAATGTTATTGAAATATGAATAGCCAACTGAGCACGGTGCATATCACGTTGAGCAGGATGCATATAATGTTGACGGCGGTTCATATCACGTTGAACACGGTGCATATAATGCTGATGGCGGTGCATATCACGTTGAGCAGGATGCATATAATGTTGACGGCGGTTCATATCACGTTGAACACGGTGCATATAATGCTGATGGCGGTGCATGTCACGTTGAGCACGGTGGATATAACGCGGCACGGTGGATATAATGCTGACGGCGGTGCATGTCACGTTGAGCACGGTGGATATAACGCGGCACGGTGGATATAATGCTGATCTAACGCATAAAACGCATATATCTGAATAATTTATTTCCAAGAATTTTCATACTTGCGAGCGAATACAGACAACTTTTTACCGTTTGTTCAGCTAAAAATATCAACGCTTTTTCATCGTACATTTCATGAATTTTTTTCTTAAAAAATTTCTACCTTCTAGTTTCTCTTTTTCTATTTCTATTTTTTAGATATATTTCTCTCGATAAATTAAATTTCATTTCATTGTTATTATTACTAAATTACTAAAATATTTCTCAAATGAATTAAAGAGAATCGAGAATTTTGAAAAATTAATAATTAGATAAAAAATTTAGCAATTAAGTAATTTCCACAATTACCCCAACTTGAGTTGAATACATTTCAACACTATTCGCTCGTAAATCAGAATCGTAAATCTAGAATTCGCAAAACATAGCTTGCATTGGATGCTAGCCAATCATATTTATTAACAATAATAATGATAATAGTAAAAGCAATAGTAATAATAAACGATAATATTAATAATAATAAAAACAATAATAATTAATAATAATAAATATTAACCAATAATATCAATAATAATAATAATAAAAGCGACAATAATTTAAATATATATATATATATATATAATTTATGTATATAATTTATAATTTATATATATATAATTTATAATAATTTATTTATAATAATGATGGTATAACAATAATGATAATAAAAGCAACAAGCAATAGTCGGGTTAAATATCAATTATCAAAATTGCTAAAATTTTCGCCTAATTATGATAATAATAATAAAATAATAAAAATAATAATTAATAATAATAAATAATTATTGATTATTAAATAATAATTATTAATAATTAAAAATAATAATAAATAGTCAATAATCATCAAATGGAAGAGATATCATTTATCATCACTTATCACTATCACTATGATAAAACAATGTTAAAACTGTGAACAACAAAATATCACATTTCACTGAAAATTTAAATATTAAATCAGCTGAAAACAAAATGGATTCTTTGCAGTTTAAAGACAATGGTTCGCCTCCAATGCGAATAAATTTGCCATTAAAAAAGCCAAAAGGAGGTTAAACATTCACTTAGTTCAACGAAAACTTAAAATTTATTTTAAAAAATTTTGTGAAAAAATGCAGAAAATACTAAAATACTGTTTCATATGTAATAAAATATTCACCATTGGATTTTAATTTCGTTGCAATTTTCATTTGTTTTTCTTATTTTCGCAGTAATTTCGAAACGTAAAGTGATTAGAATGATAAAATTCAAAAAACACTTTATTATCAGAAAACTTTTTTTTAAAAGTCCTCACCATTACTTAGTTAAATTTGCTCCACTGGCTTGTCGCATAGGACAATATACCAGAGAAATACAGGTGAGTCACCCGGATTTTCGAACAGGTTTACTTCTACGGGGAATCGAACCTCAGCATCGGCGCTCCCAGTTGAGCCAACCCACTGAGCCATTCTATCAAAAAACTGTAAAACACAAAAGTTCTCTTCTCAAAATAAATATTACTTTGTTTAATAATATTATTTTTAAATATTATTTATTTGAATTAAATCATAAATATTTAAAATAATTTGTGGCGAATGCAAATCGTAAAAAAATTTCCTAAAATTGCATTGTTATTGCATTTTTATTGAATTTATTCCTCTCACTTCCTTTACTTTGCAGTGAATTGTTGGAATTGCATTTACTGATTTTCTAATTTATGATTGACTGCCGTTTCTTGTTACTTTTAATTTTCGCATTAATAATAAATAATTATTATTATTATATTTATTATATTTATATTTATTACTATTATTATATTTATTATATTTATATTTATTACTATTATTATATTTAAATAACAAAAAAATAAAAAGCTAATGGAGTTATAATAAAAAATTGCCTTAAACAGATTGCGCACAAATCAGTTGCACAAACTAAAAACATTATCGAGTTTCGGTTAATAAATTATTTTTTATTGAAATATCCATATTTTAATAGATCAGAAAACGTAGAAGAAAACGACTGAAGAAATATTCTCAGCGAGAAAAAAGGCATCCAACAAGAGTAGCGACGGTAGGTGAGCGACGAAGGAAAAAGAACTCGGTGAATGGAAGGCGCATGAATAACCAGCGAAATGGCTATAACTCTAATAGCTTTCTTATAGCTGCCTCGTTTCGTAAATCTATCAAAAAGGAATCACCAATTTTCACCGTACTCACACCAAAATCTTTATCAATGCTCTAAAAATCAAACGGCTCTTGAAGCGAAAACAATATAGCAGTAGGTTTAAAATGAATTGATCACGAGATAATTTCATGTTCAACTAGTTTTTTAGTATGGGAAGGAGAGAGGAGTGGATAACGGGATAATCACCTTGGTTATGGTTGTTGGATTTACGTGGCAAACGTCAGACCATGCGTAGATGTGAGATGTTTGCGTGGCAAATGCTAAGTATAGAAAGTATTTATATAGAGTTCCATTCGCGTAATAATCGTTAAATGTTGCGTGGCGCAAAATATTATTTCGCAATTTATGGTTATCAGTAAATAATAATTGATTAAAAAATTTCAAAAATTCGATATATTTGTAATTCTTTTTTATTTTTACCATTTTGCAATTTTAATTAAAATTAGCATTAAAATTAAAAACAATTAAAATTTTACCTTTTTTTATGTTTTTATATTTTTTTTTTTTGAATTGATTTTAAATCCATTTTAATTTTTGTATTTTTAATATTTATTTTATTCTAATTAAAATTTTTTTCTGAATAATCGAATTTTCTGTTTTTATTTTTGTTTTTATCCTAAAAATTATTTGTTCGATATGATATTTGTTTTTTTGCTATTTTTGTAACTCTTCTTTTTTGATCGGTGATGTTGTAGCGGTAAATCAGTTCTGTGGGGCGATGAGCCGAGCTGTTGTGTAGATGAACCAGTTCTGCTGTTGTGTAGATGAACCGGTTCTGCATGATGTAGAAATGCTCTATGTCCGAGGAAGGCGTAGTGTTTTCGAGATTGTACTGGAGAAACACGGTGATCGAGCGAGAGCGAAATACATATTTGGTTCTATGAAACCAATGCGGCCATCTTATTTTGAAACGGGGCATTATACGTGAAAAATATTGAATAATTTAATAGTTTGTAATCAATAATATATTGAATATGTCGTAGCAGAAGATTTAAGCATTTTAATTGAAAAAACTTATTTTTTCATGGAGATGCGAAATTGTTTTTGAGAATCAAAAATTTATCAGCAGAGGAAATGGTTTAGAATCGCTGATTAAGCAGTTCAGCGATGAATGATAGTTTTCTGGAAAAATTACGAAAAGCAAAGCAAAATTTAAAGAAGACCGAGACGGAGTTAGTTATTTTTTCCGAATAATTTTTCATTGTCGCATAGGAAAAACTTCTTTCTTTCCTTTCTAATCTTCCTTATTTACCTTGAATTCTTTATTTTTTCCTTAGTTATCTCCTTTAAATTCCTTTTTCCATTATCTTTTCCTTATTGTTTTTTCTTCAAACAGGGCGCATCATTACTGATTTGCTTTGCTGCACTATCCACTGTGCACAGAGTAAGAGGCCTGTCGTTCGAATGCTGCGCCTGAAATTAAGCCATTTTGAGGCCATTCCACACTTTTTTTTCTACCACTAAAGTCCATATGTCCGACTATATGTCAAAAATCTCTCATGAAGAACCCAAGTCGTAATTGGGCCTTTTAATGTAGAATACCACAAGATTTGACATATGTGCGTCAATTCCTCAGATGTGCAAAATGCATGGTTTAACTAACACAAATTTTCCATCTTTGCTTCATTTTTATTTTCATGCAATTTTTAATGAACAAAAAAATATATATTAATTTAATATATTAAATTACAATTAAAAGAAAGAAAAATATGAAATTAAAATATTTTGTGAAAGTGAATTTCCTGTTTTACCATGATCGTATTTTTTATTATATTTTTTGGTAAGTGAAATTGGCAAATTTTTTTATATTTTTGAATATTTTATATTTTATTTATATTTATATTTATTTACTTTTTATTTCTTAAATTTTTTTATATTTTTTGTATTTTTTATATTTTTTATATTTTACTAAATTTGAAAATATGCATTTTATTTAGAATATTATCAGGATTACTTTTATTGATGGTAGTGTAATGACGGAAAAAATACTTGAAAGCAGTGCAAGCAAAATGGATTCCAGTGATTCTCCAAGCAAATCGATCGAAACAAAAAGTTCCGCTAAAAAATATGGTTATATTGTTGATATGCAACCAGATTTATTAATGCCTATGGTTTCTAAAGGAGTTTTCATTGGTAAATTGCATTTTTAAAGGAAATTATGCAGTTTTGCAGTTGGTTATGTTGTCTATATGATGATGATTAATAAAACTCCAGTTTTAAATTTTTTGGTTCACTGAAAAATTTATGTTATTGCATGATTGGGTTCAGTTGGAAAAACTATTACTTTTTCTGACTGTCACGGCTGCAATTACTTAAGCATGTCATTTTCGTTGTTAGCTCCCTTGCATTATCTTTTACTCTTCTTAGCGTTATGGAAGATAAAAAAAAGGGGAAACATCGCTGTGAAAGCAATTTGGCTTTCTTTATCAGAAAATAATTTAGTTGGCTTTAAGAAGTGAGAATTTTATTTTTCTTGCGTTTCATCGCGAATTACCACTTTTTTATTGCTGTAATTTAAATATTCAATAACTTTTTTATTAAATTTATTAAATTTAATAAATTAATATTAAAAAAATATTAAATTTGTTAATTTGTTAAATTAAATTTGATTTAACGATTTATTAATAATGATTTTTGTCAATAATATTAAATATTATGGCGTTTGGTATTAAATAATATTAACTAGTGGTTGAGAAAATTTGAAAAATCTCTCATCTCATGATAATTATCTCCAAAGGCCTCTGTTCTCTAAGTGCTGTTGCCATTGCTGTTTAGGCTTGATCCGCTTATCGTGTAATCTAAGTGTTTTGCAACAATTCAAAAATTGAAAAGAACTAAGAAAAATTAAGAATAAATAGGAATTTAAGTGCAAAGTAGCTTATTTTTATTATTTTATAAAATACAATTTTATAAGGAAAGGTTTTAGGAAGCCAAGATGCCGCAATGTCTTTAAAAACATTACGAGATTCGTCTATAACCCATATTATCAATTGTGCTACTGGTATACCGAATTTTTTTCCCGATCATTTCGTATATCTCAAAATTGATATTTTCGATTTGCCTGAAAGCGATATTCGTTTACATTTTGATAAATGTCATAATTTTATGCGGGAATGTGTCTTAAAGGGTGGAAATGTATGTTTTTTTTTAAATTTTCCTTTATCATTATTTCGATCGAATTTTATATCATTTAAATTATAATTATTTCGTAATTTATTTTGATTTTATTTTGCAAAATTGCAAAATAGAGTTGCAAAATTGTAAAATATTGTAAATTGTAAGAATTATGAAGTTAAATAGTTTTATTAAACGTATTCTTACAGGTATTAGTTCATTGTAACGCTGGTTTATCTCGATCTGCTACAGTCGTAATCTCATATATAATGCATTATGACGGAAAATCTTTGCAAGACGCTTTGGCCCACGTTAATGGTCTCAGACATGGTTATGATTGGAATAAATTTGTGTTGTGTTTAGGAGAAATTTTTAAAATGATAGTCTCATTTTAGACATTTTCATACCAATTTACCAGTTTTTCTTATTTCTTGTTTGATTAATGAATTTCAAAATTTATTTTAGTTCATCCCAATCCTGGTTTCATGATGCAGTTAAGAGATTATGAGCAGCAGCTGCAGTTAAATTCAGATCCTTGAATGTTTTGTAGAGTAATTCTGCGTCAGTTACTTCATTGTTGGCAAAATGATTTTGAGAAAAAACTTGAATATATCTTAGAGTTCAAAGTAAAGCGAAAATTAAATATTCTCCTAGAGGTAATGAATAATATCTGATGTCCTGATATTTTGTGTCCTGATATTTTTGTTAAACTGCCTATAGTTTTGAGCGTTTCTATTATTTATTTGAATATTGTTCTATGGACTGACTAAATATAACCGTGAAATTTGCACAGATATGACAAAGTTTTAGACGCATATTGCCGAATTTAGTGAATGATTTCCATTACAGCATTATTTATTGGTTGATTATTAAACAATCATAATAATGAGATAAAAGAAACAATGAGGTTAGGAGCGGAGCGAGGGTAAGGAAAAATTAGAGAGAACTTAAAGAACCTGAAGGGATAAAGGATAGAAGGAAGAATTATTCTATGATCCCATTTTTCAGTCATTCGTTAATGTTTTATTATTTATAATGGCATATAAATAACAAACAAAATTCGCCTTTTATTTTCTGATCATTTTTTGATATTTTTTCATAATCTGTTTTTTAGACATTGTTATTCAAAAATATAATTTCGATGGCATCGGATTTTCGCTGTTTTTTCCTTTGTTTTTCCTTTGACAGGGATTTCTCGACACGAAAGTGGTTAATTTTTTAAATTCTTCGCTACACTTGTAATTAGTGCATATTTGATAAAAATAAAAGTTTTTTTTAATAATATTTAATTTTCAGTTTTAATCGACCGAAAAAAACAATTTTCACAACACTTCACATTAAAGATAATTGCACTAGCTTTTTTTTAAATCTTAAAGGAATTTTTGAACGCAGTTTGAGTAGTTTTTTATTGAATGCAAGGAAATGAAAATTTTTTAAGCCAAATAATTTTCCTCATTCTATTTATCAGGTGAACTTTTTAACAAAATTCGACCACAGATTACCATTATTAAAATCACATTGATAAATCGCACTCCTATCTTCCGAAATAATTTAGTGTATTTAATTTTGGTGCATTTCTTCCAATCCATCTTACTTCTCATATTTGCTTCATTAGCAATTGTTAATAAAACATTAGCAATTTGTATCGAATTTAGCACTCTGCAAATCCGGCGAAAATTTTATGATTCTAATAATGTTTATTTCATTTGAAATTATGTAACGAATTCGTCTATTTCAATATAAAATCGTTATGGTGTTTTTGTACTGTAACTGAAGAGATTCCTTTAAATTTATCTTTCATTATTCCATTAAATTTTTTTTTAAATTTTTTTCGTAAACAAGAAAAACAGTTGGAGAAATTTAGCAATTTTTACAACTCCAGAAGTATTCACTTTATAAATAAATCAATGTCCAGTAGAAAGAGTGATTGCCATGGGATATTTATCCGTTTCATAAAAGAAATCGATAATATCATCACGATGAAGGTTATCAATAGTGAGCTTGCCATCAACAAATTTCGCTCGACCACCAAATTTCTTTGCCTAAATGGCGTAAATTTCATTGAGCAAATGATAACGCAGCAATTGATAATTGATGCTTTAAAATAGTCAAATTATTTATTTCTTCATGCAATTTATTAGTTTAAACACTCATTTTCATTTATATAATAGCGAAATGCTTTAAGATTCGATTCATAACTGTTTCGTTACATAAGATTTATAATTAGCTTACTCCAAATTCTGTTAAGGCACCATCCTCGACAATATGCTTCCGCTCGCCATTTACATCTATGCGAACTGCTTTTACTTCTTTCCCGAAATCAATATCAACATTGGTTCCAAGCTTTACTGGCATTACCGAGACGGCTCCATCGTTTGTATTGACACAAATTGCAATCAGCAAACCAATTACTACCACTGCATTGGAAATTTCAATTGATAAACCAACATTAAAGTAAAGTAAATTTCAACAACCAAGTTGAATCCAAAATATTTTTTCCATGGAACTACTAAACAAGAAGAAAAAACACTCGAATTCACTCAAAAAGCAATCAAGCATTACTCAAAAAAATACTTTTTCATGAAATTAATGAATTAGAAAAAACAAAAGCAACCACCTGAATTCATTGCCGAAGCGATATTAGAGAGTATCACTCGTCCAACATCTGTTGATAATTTTTAAGGCGGAACAACTGGAAAAAGAAATATTTCAATTGACTGATGAAGATTGATGATTATTTGGTAAAAATTTGGAAAACCTTTATAAAAATTCCTACCGAGATCATTTTCTTTTTTCATTAAATAAATAAATTCGTAAAAAATTGCTGTTTGTTGAAAATTTAAGAAAAATTGACTTCGATGTTAAACCATATACCAAAATGTTTTCTCGATCAAATTCCAAGGATTGTACAAAGGCTATAATTTACAAAGTCCTATATCCTTATAATATGATCTCGGTATTTCAACCGATGAAGGAAAATGAATTAAAATAGCAAAGAAAAGGATCGTTTCGCTGGCTGATTTTAGAGACTTTTAAAAGAAAACACTTGATAAGTTAAAGGTCGGTAGCTAGTCTATCATTAACGTAATATTTCAATGACAGGTTTATTCTTATCGATAGCAGCCGAACCCTTCCTTACTAAAACGATAGCAATAATCTGAGTATATCTACTCACCTATCTTGTCTGCGCATCATATTAGCAATAAGTATTAAGAAAACAAATTGATAAGATTTAGATTTATAGATTTAGATTCAGTTTTTCGGTGATCTTTCAAAAAGCTATTATATCTAAAAAACTTTATCTCTCATTCGTTCCCAGTTCTGCCCTATCAGCCTAAATAATGCAACTGAAAATTAGCCAACCGATTATTTTTTAAAAAGCTGAATAAAATGCTGCTTGTTTCACAAACGTTTGGTAAATAGATCGCTTTCGCATTAAAAGGAATATTTATATTGTTGGCTGAATATTTTATATGTGAAAAAAAAAGATTTGCATTGCTGCGTGAATTTTAAAGCCTTCGACTATGATCCAACTCCATAAGAAAATTGCTATTTGATCCATTAAATGAATACAAATTAAGGATAAAAATCAGGAAACAATAAAGAATTGATAGCAATTAATGGTACATCGATTATTCAATATTTTCCATAAAACTTATAAATATTAATAAAGCAAAAAGAAAAGATGCAAAAAAATTTTAAATCGAAATTTAATTATTTCATAAAAACCATTCCTGTGAATCATTGTAGAATCAAACAACTTGAAAAATTAATTATAAAATATCGGGAAAAAAATCCATTAATTATCGCAATTATTTTTTTCCATTCTAACTGGAATATCGCGGTTGGCCACCACATTATTTTCGCACAATAATCGCTGAAAACTGGAAAAAATCATCGAATTACTCCAAAAATATCAAACATGAAAGACTATATTTTAAATCTAATTTTTATGAAATTTTCAACCTTCTAATCCAAGCTGAGATTCACTCAATACAGATTTCTAGTCGTCGTATCAATCAGATTGGACGATGCACAGCACTAATCTCTAAAAGGATTACTTAAAATGGACGATGAAAAGTATCCATTAAAAATTAAATAAATAAAAGTAAAATCATTGCAATCAGTCGATTAAATTAAGGAAAAAAGAATAATTCATCAGATTATTAAGTTTTAATCAACAATATAGAATAAAGATTCGCAAGAAACATTATTTCTTTTGCCAATCCTCAAAATATTTTTACAGAGAGCGTTGCGCTCGAAATTCTTCGTAAAATTCGTCGTTTCGAGATTTCCATGTCACCAATTTTTTTTCCATATCGCTTAAATAAAATAAAAATATACAAATATACAAACTGAACAATATGAAAAGATAGTACATAAATGCGATCAGAAATTTTAAATTGATATAAAAAAGTACTAAAAATTTAAATAAGTACTAACCTAAATAAAAGTACTAACCTCGAATATGGCAAAAAATTTTTTTGCGGAAACTGATTAAAAAATATTTTAAACGGAAGTTTTCAAGTTTCTATTCAATTTTCGAACATCCTTTATTGTCTTTTTTCGCTGATAAACGAAATTAACGTATCAGTAAAATAAACTTGAGAATCTTTTCGTTCGACAATCCTTTCGTTTGGCATTGTTTTCTGAAAATAAAAATTTTACAATAAAATTTATAGTAATAATGAGGAGCAAATGATTTTCTTTTCAGTAAATAGAATGGAATAATTGAAATGAAATTCGCCGATTCTTCACCAAAACACAATTATTGTATCCATACAATCGTGATCTATCTAAGTATTCATCAATGACCAATTAAATAAGTACTTTGAATTTCGTGGTCACTCAAGAAAATTTTTATGACTCTGATCCACTTTTCGTAAAGTTGACGTCGTTCGATTTATTTCATTTTCCATTGCCATTTTTATATTTGCCAAAAAGTGGTCCAAAATTATTTGACATTCATAAGTGATAATATTTCTTATCGTTTTCTGAAGATTCTTTGCAATAAATTTTCATTTATATTAATTATATTTAGATAGATAGATAGATAGATAAATAGAATTATATTTAAGTTGCTTTATTAATTGATTTGCTAAAATATTTTTTCATAAAATAAAAATGAGAATTTTTAAAAATATTATATCAATTTAAATATCAATTATTTTTTTCATATTTCATATTTAATCATTTAATTTTTGATTTATTATTAATATTATTAATCATCACTGATCGAATTAAACAAGTTAATTTTACTTCCGAACCGCACAATAATTATTTGTGTGATAATTAGTATTTGCTATTTAGCTAAGAGGCAAATCAATGCAAAAACTTACGGTTACAATAATAAAATTAAAATATTGATGGATATTCAACCGATTTTATGAATCATTTTTTGGATAAAATGCTTATCTTAAATGCTTAAAAAATAAAATTATTATAAAATTTATGAATAAAATTAAATTTATGAAAATATTCGTAAAATTTTATGGGAAATTCTAAGCTTGCTATTAAGAAACGATATTTGAAAATATTGTTTTATCAATCAACACTATTTTATTTAGGAATAACATTTTCTAACATAATTAAAAATTAACGAATAATAATAAAAAATAATTTCCAGAATGATTCGAATGATTAATGTACCAATTTTGTCGGTGGTAGCAACCTATATCTTATCATCATTGGCACAGTATCCACTTCCATTTGGGATGTACAATGGATATGGAATGCCTAATAGCTTAAATCGTTCGTTTGCAGAAAAAACTATATTCAGATATTTAGATGGAAAACTATATATATATATATATATATATATAGTTATATATATATATAGTTTTTACATATTTTTGTCCCTATATTTATTTCCCTATATTTTATGCCATAGGATCGCTTAAATAATATAGTGAGATAATGGTTTCCTGAATCTTGCGGACCTTTTGTTTTAATATGTCTGGATACATAAATGATCTATACATTACATTAGACAGGATTCTATATGCAAACTGTACAAAAACATCCCAGAAACAGTCCAACACATAGTGGCAAAATGCATTTAAAGCAGCTGGTATCATCTACAGGAATTTACGGCTTAAATCCTCCAAAGACTAATTCCTCAGAAAGTCGTAGAGAATAATAAGGCCTTTAGGAATTCCCTATTCGAACAGACAAACAATACTAGTTAAAAAACCAGATATGGTAGTAACAGACAAGAATCAAGAAATCAGCACCGGTGATTAATATAGCAATACCAAGCGACAAGAACGTCAGAAAGAAGGAAAACGAGTTAGAGAAGTTAGAGAAGTGGCTGAAAGAGGAATTAGAGAAGACGTGGGAAGTAAAGACCAAAATAATTCCAGAGATAATTGGAGCACTTGGAACTATGGCTAAACTAGAAAAGTGGCTTCAGCAGATTCCAGAAATAATATTAGAGATTTTTATCCAGAAGAGCGCACTATTAAGAACAGCTAAGATAGTGTGCAAAACGCTCAATCCAGGCCTATGATAGAGAACTTGAGGGTGATCATGACCACCCGTGGGGAAAATTTTTTTATAAATACTACGATGGAATAATAAAAGAAGAAAATAATAAATATTTCTGGTTCTGCTAGTTCACCTAACTGCTAATACAGCTAAATATTTTTATCAGAGTTCACCACCACTATCCGAATTTGTTTAACGATAGATTTACTTCTGTCAGAGTTAAAGAAGGTAACCTCTGACGTTTGACGTAGGTCGAAGTAACCACACAATTTAACCATCCATAATGAGAAACCAATATGATATGATATTTTTTCTAATTACGACAAACTCTTAGGCAAATCTGTCTGCCACAGTCAATAGTAATTTCACCGAATATTATATACAATAAATTTATTAATTTCAAATACATAAAATTTAAATTTTAAATTTATTCCAGATTAATGAAAATTAATTCACCAGGTGCCTGCAGATTAGAAAACGCTCGCTGAGAACAAATAATTACTCCATCTAACCCTATCACACCCCTCTAAAATCATTCAAATATCATTTACTCGCAATCAACAAAATTTTCCAACTCTTTTATAAAAAAAAAACTGAAAAAGGAAATAAAATTTAATATATTAAATTATGAATATTAATAATTAATTATTAATATTAATATTAATGAATATTAATAATTCATAATTAAGAAAATTTGACCAAAAGCTTTCATTAAAAATTTACTGTATTATTATTAATCAAAATAGCCACGAAAACAAACCGAATGAATTTGTCACAATAAACGAATTTGATAAATTTTCTGTCATATTAATAATAAATTCTTTTTTTATACTATCGAAACAATTGAAAATAACATTCCTTTCAACTTAGTCAATCGTATCAACCAACCTTTCAAATAATCATTTATCAACATCCATAATGCCAAAAATGAAAGAAGAGTGAAGATGCCCATTTTCCAATTACCTTTTCCTTTTCCATCTCTTTATTCTCCACATGTAATCTTCTCGCATTATTTGTGGTTTGGTTGGCTCCACTGGCGACTAACATAGCTGGATATATGCATTCATATAGTGCCTTTAAAGTCTGACTAACTTAGTTCATAGGTAGAACAACTAGTATGTTGCCAATAAAAGTAAGCATGAAGCATGAAGATAATAATAACTTCTCTTTAGTCTAATGCTTTTTGCAGCGTACAGTTTTCTTTACGGATATGGTTCTGGCTACGGAATGCCAGGCTATGGCTATAATCCCTATATGAACGGACTTAACAGCTTTGGATTAGGAATGTACAATGCTTATGGCCTAGGATATGGCAGTTTACTTGGCCGAAATAATCTTATTGGTGGTGGCTTATTGAATAACGGCAACACAAATATTTATGGAAATATGCGATCTCCTTACGGCAAGACAGCCGCAGCTAAACGATTTAGTTCAGGTTTGTTTTAAATGTTGACTTAACGTTCTCTTTGTGCTACGGAACCATCCGATAGTCTACTGAAGCCCATATGTCTCTTATCCGGATAATATCTATAAAGCATCAAAATAAAAAATATGGGTTGGGTTTGAGATTGGGTTTGAGATAATTCTTACTGGTGACAAAAAACAATATTTCCAACTAGTATTCCCGTGGTTCTAACCTACATTCACAAGAAATGATAAATTTATTATTGGTGATTAGATTGGTGAAGTAAAAAAGAAAGATGCAAACTTATCTCAAATTCATTTTATGAGTCCATACGTGGTTCTTGGATTCCGCATTAAAAATCTCTGTATGCATGACCAGCCTGGATTTGACTGTTGGCGTCAAAATACAATCCGCGCTGACATCACGCAAAACCGAACGCTTATTCACCAAAGAACTAACCCGACTGGGAATAGAATGGCTCAGTGGGCTGTTGGTCCATTAGGAGCGATACTGAGGTTCGATTCGCTGCAGGAGTAATCCTGTACAAAAATCCGGGGTGGTGTTGGCGACTCACCTGCACTTCTATCGCCAAGGGACTTCCTGGCATATCTGTCCAGTGCGACAAGCCAGTGAGGCGAGTTTGCCCAGTGATGTTGCTCTTTAAAAAAAAATATTTAAAGATGAAGGTCGATTTAATAGGAAAAAAATTGGCACTAGCATGTAATATAAGTCATCCCGAAATATTTCACATAAACCTGGGCCAGAACCTTAAGTTTTAATTAGCATTGTGCTCCTCTTCTTGCTGTTGGTAAGAGACTAATCTAGATAGAGGCCAAAGGCCAACACTTTAGGCTTGGGTTTTTCACCAAGCTTTTTCCTTAGTCTCAGGCTTAGATTCAAATTTGGATTCGGGAAAGAACAGCAGTGACCACTTTGTTTTGCAGGAAATCTACTAAACGTACAATCATTGCAAGGCAGTAACGATGCAACGGCATTATCGTGCATGGGCCGACCCGACTGTCTCCTTAATCGATGGGATATTAAGAAGAAAAAAGCTTCATAATTAATTTTTAGGCATTCTGTCAATTGCTCATTTGCCAATTGCTCGTATGAAGTCGAATTTAAACCTATATAAATAAATATGCGCTGAAAGTGAACCCCCTACCATAATTCACCACGTAACCACAATCGCGCGAGCAAATGACCAATGAGCAATCGACAAAATGCCAATCTTTTCGTTGTTTAAAAATGGTGGCTCTTTTGTAAATTCCGCTGAAACCGAGGAATAGCACCATTTCTTCAATAAACTAATGAAAAATGCTTCAATACGAACCGTTAACAAAAAATAAAAAACCTCGCTAGGACGAGGCAAAGTCTTCGCTGAATTTGTCCACGCTCGTCAAACTCAAGCCGCAGCCGATAATTAGTGCATTGATAAAATAGTGATAAATTAAGGATGCCACGAGAAGGCATTTCTTAAACGAATATATATGAATATCAGCCTATTTTATGAGTTTACAAGCCTCGTATTAAAAGCAATAAATGAGACAAATATTAACATAGATAGAGACCAAAACTTTTGGCCGCAGAGCGGCCGATGAATAGTACCTCGTCTCGCTTTTTTTCCTCAATTTTTTTTTCGATATTTTGGAAAGATTAAGGATTATTTATTATTATTTATTATTTTGATATTATTTTGATGAAAAAATGTAATTTCTCAGAAAAATCGGCAAATTGAATTCGATTGAAAAGATTATTCGCTTTTTTGGCTTTAAAAAAATCATTTTTTTTGCAACATTTTTTGACGATTTTTTCGCGTTTTATAAATCGCTTGCGAAGGCGTAAGAGTTAATCAATTATTGCGGACAATCGCATCCATTTTCAAATTATTGGCCGAATTTAATGCAGAGATGTAAATGCACGCGGAAAATATAAATGCTGGTTGGGCTCGCTCCGCTGGCTTATCGGACCAGGAAGGTGTGCCAGGAAGTTCCATGGCGACGAAAGTGCAGCTGAGTCGCCGGCATCACTCGGAGAGTACCTTTGCTCCACCGCACAAGTAGAATTTCAACATGCGCACTCCAGATGAACATCCATTTCACTCTCTTTCGTTCGCCATTAGACAATAAGGTGTCGGCCGGAGTCGAACTGAAACCTCCATTCTCGGTGGCAGTTAACTTTCCACTGAATCACCGGCGCACAAAGATATATTAATAGAAACAGGCCTTAGGTATATATAAGAGTTTTATGAAGATTTAAAAGTGCCTTAAATTTACCTTTTTTTGCAGAATTACTTTCAAAAATGCAAGAATTACAAATGGACAATCAGCTATTGCGATCATCGTTGAGAAAATGTAGCACAAAAACTGAGAATGACAATGCTTTTTTACGCAACAAAGTTTCTATTTTGTTTTCATTTGCCTAAGAATTTCGAATACTATCCGAATGGTTAAGCTGTCTGTTGTTTCAAAACACTTATAGCTAGCAAATGACAAGCAAATTTACCTGCTAAATTCAAAAGCAGAGAATTTAAAAGCTTAAAGCAGAGATAGGTTTATTTCAGATACAATCAACTTTTTTATTTTTTCTTACTTTGTCGATCCCATCTTTTCGCAACTTTTTCATTTTAAAAATTATTGTTTAAATTGGTTTCAAATTTCTGCTTTTGAGCATGTGACGTTTTCTTGTCCAAAAAGCCCAAACGCTCAGCGACTTAAAAAAATTCAAGGAATTGAAGCGAAGGTAATTTAAAATTTTGAAAAATAATGTAATTATTTATTGCATCGAATTCATTATCATTATTATATTGCTATTCTGGAAAATTTTAATGATTTAATGCATGAAAAATAATTCGTTATCTTGTTTAAGTAGATCGTTAGTTACGTTAGCCCAGCTTTTTTTGTAGAAATTTTATTTTTTCTCTTATCTGCTTAAAATTAATTTATCTTTTTAAACTATTTTTGCTTTAGAAAAATGTAGTTGCACAAAGCAGTAGCAGAAAACGATCCGTCGATTTCAATGAAAATAACCTACAAAAAAAGAAAAACAAATGCAATGAGGGAATTATACGTTTGAATGAAGTAAGCACGGCAGTTGAGTGGCTATTTGTTGCATTTCACGGATTTCAATTCAGTTTTTGTCTATTCCTGACAAAAATTCTTTTATTGTTATTATTGCTGTTTATTTATTTCGTTTTAAAAGGAATAATCAAGAAGATTTTTAGATTTTTTATTAACTTTCGAAGGAACAATTGGGGCAAATTTTTAACATTTTTGAAATTTTTTTGGCAGTTAATTCAGTCAATCTACTTCAGTTGATTCAGGAATTTTGCCAATTACATTACTCAGGCCTATGATTTGAAAAAGTTTCCATTATAAAGATAGATTATAAAAGTTTATTGTCCAGGTCCATGAAACTCTAGTTCAATATAGTAAGAAGGTTAGCAATGTGCGCTCGCTTATTCAAGAATTAATTGATGATGCTATTGATTTTCTATCTAATTCCGTTTCTTTTATTGAACTGTGCGTGGAAAAGGATTTTCAGCGATATCAGGCACAGGTGGTGTTTTTTATTAAATAGGTTCTTTTAAATATATGGTAAATATGCCTAAATACTTTGGGAATTTTTTCTCGTATGTTGTATTCTCAATTTCAATTTCACTTTTCTGATGAAATTATTAATATAGAATTTTTAAATCAAGCAATTTCCCCATCTTTTAGCAGCATACACCATTTTTTGTTAGCTTAGCTCCATTGGCTACAAAAATGAGGCCATTGGTCCATTTATCTTTAAAACAGTAGAAATCACTCCTTTTTTCATTCATAATTAAGCCATCTATGCTATTAAAATTTCTCCTGACGTGCAAGTTCAGATCTTGATTAAGTATCTGTGCTTTTGATTGCTTTCACTTATAGCGACATGCATCAATTTCTTTAACTGAAAAACCGATGATCTTACCAATGTAGAAGGTAATAGAGTGAAATTAAATGCAATTCTGAGATTCTGTCAGCCGTGGTGGTAAAATATGACTTAGAGAGAAACGATCTAAATAAATTCTAACTTTCTAACTTTCGTTTGAATGCTGTTTAATGGCGATTTCACAACTCTTTTCCCAAGTGGAAAAATCTTTTCACTTATTCAGGCTAAAATTTCTTCTTTGTTGCTTTTCATCAAAATTGGGCGAAAATTCTTCAGTTAAGTATCTATTAGTATAGAGATTTCAGCGTTTAACGGAAAGAATTCTTTTCTTCTTATCCTGATTTTTGTCGTAATTATTAGTCTAATTTTTGTTATTCCTTAATTTTCCCATCTTTTTTCCATATTCTTCAAACAATCATATTTATTTTACACTCAGAAATTTCTAAACTATAAAAATTGCATCAAAATAATTATTGATGCCAAATAACAATACTTTTTTCATACTATTCATAAATACTTTTTTCAAATTCTTCATTAGCTTAACGAATTCATGAATTATTTAAGAGCATAAGATTATCATTTATGAGTAATCAAAGGTTTTATGTCTTCAATTTAAAAACAATTATTTTGATATTTCTTTTAATCGGAAGCTTATTACTTTTTTATAGGAGTCGTTCAGTTCTGCAATGAAAAAGTATGATGCAATTGTTGCGGGAATGGATATAAGATTAAATGAGCTGAAGAAAATTTATGAAAATACCGCAGAAGTAATATTGTTCAGGATGTTTGCTCGAAAGTTTTGAATATTTTAATTTATAATTATGGCTGCATTAAATACTTTAGAAACTTAGATCTAGTGATGGTTTTTGGGGTTTTTGGCTTACTATTTATTTAATATTTCAGCTTATTATTATTTATTTCAGCCTATTATTTTCTAAAGTTTGAAGTTATTTAAATTTTTAAAGTTTATTGAGAGGTTTTTTCTTTACCATTAGATTTCGATCTTTCTTTGATGTTATCTTTTACTTGTTTTTTTTTTCACTCATTAATGAGTTCTTTTTCATTTCAGTTAAAAACGCTCTATGATTTTTATAATAATAAAATGGACGAAAAATGTCGAAAAATAAATGATGAAAATGAAGCAGAGTTGCCGCTTGCTGTTCAGTTAAATCATATTTTGAATGTTGTGCAAACTTTTAATGAAGCCGTTCAAAAATTCGAAAAATTTCAAAATTAAATTGCATAACAAGTAAACTCGGCTAAAAAAAATTAAAAAAATTTTTTATATTATATGCTCATATATGGCTTCATTTTTTGTTTGTATTTAATTATATAAAATTTTTATTTTCTATTTTAATTTCTTTTTTCTAACATATTTCATATAATTTAGTGATTTGTAATTTAAATTAATTTTTTGTTTATTTGTATTAATCTAAATTTTGTTGTTTGTTGAAATTATATTTTTTAATGATTTTATCACTTTTTATTTTGATTTTTTCACTGTTTTTGCTGTATTTTTCTCTCAGAATATAGGATTTTCAATTTTAAATTAATCATTTCAAAGTTAATTTGCATTTAATAAGTTAAATTTGTATATTCAATACATATATATATATATTTATTTATTAATAATTTGTACTTTTATTTTCCAATTTCATTATTATCAGATTTGTTTAATAAAATTTGCAGATTTTGCAGAATTTATTGATACTCATAATATGTAATAAAATTTATGTAATGAAAAAATAATATCAGAATTTTTATGCGATGAATGACTTAAAAAAATTGAATTGATTCCAGGTGAAACCAGTTTTATTATTATCGGATTTGTAATGATCAACTGTTATGGAAATGAGCAAATATTGTGCGATTATTATGTGAATTTGTGACAAGTTTTATTCATATGTAATGCGAATAACTAAAAATTATTTTGTGGAAAATGTAAAAGTTTGCAAAATAATTTAAAAATTTAGATTTTTATCGAAATTGCTAAGAAAATAAAATTAATAAATTCGAAAAGAATTAAGAAGAAATGGAATGGATTGTTACTCAGTTGTAGGACGTCTAATTTGTATGTTAAAATAGATCGAAGGACAAAATTTTCAATAAATAAGAATAAGAAAAAGTAAGAAATGGGTTTTCGATTCGATTCAGTGATATGATTTCGTAGCGCTTATCACCGAATTCTGTCGAATAATAGGTTTATAGTCTCTAAGCTGATAACTGATAATTTAGCCTAATTTTCTCTCTTAGACTCCTTGAATCTAACTTTTTGAAAATTTTTTTTAGATCGGTCTGAATGAAAAAATAATGTAATAGGGTTGTTTTTCAGTTTAAAATTTCTTAACATTTCAAATTTTTATTTTTTACATCTGTTTTAATTCAATTTAAATTTTCACTTTCATTTCATCGACGTTGAAGATTTTCTCATTAAATGAACTTTGATATTTTAAATTATTAAATTACAAAATGGGGAATTGTCCAATTTATTTCTCGAATTAATAAGTGCGGTGATTTTTTAATTAATTTATTTTTATTCTTCTTCGATCTATTAGTAATAAAAACTTTTTTCAGCATTTTTCAAGCAATAAGAATCAATAGCCTTTTATTAACAATCGTTCCACGATGCACAGTGGCGTATGGTTTGAAATAGTTTTTTTCGATTCATCAGTTTAGCTATATCGCCGAATAGGAGAGTGGGGAGGGGAGAGGGGGATCTATTTGGAATTTAGAAGTATTGCTTCGACTCGGGGAGGGAGTCGCGAATTGAATTTCTGCTTACTAGGAGTAGACCTGCCATTAAAAGTGAAATTCAGTCGGCGCTTTACCTCAACCTTCGCAGCGAAAAGATCCTAGCAATCAGCGGATCTCAATTCGACAGCATTCACACTGAACCGAACGTCGTTGATTGATTTCAGATGGCATGTTTTTGTTATCATATGATCTATGTCAAAAAATTCCAACGAAAATAGCGAATAATTTTCTTTTTCATTATTTAACATAAAATTCCATAATTTACGTGTTAATGATTTCCAGGATTCGTCGCGCGCTCGTCGTGGATCCGCTAAATCGTTCCAATTTTTTCATAAATTTATGTAGTTTAATTTAAAGTTTATTTCGCTTTATTTTAATAATATTTATTGATTTTAAATAATTATTTTATTTCATTTTAAATTATAAAAAATTGTAAATTTTTGATTGTTTATTAAATGAACTCACATTATACGAAATATTTCCGATTAAAACAATGTAATAATAGAATCAATCACAAAATATAAATAATCGAGTGGAATATTTCTTAAATTATCGTTTTAAACATAACAGTTCAGCTATTTTTTCTGATAGAAATAAACTCGTTCATTTAAAAAGTACCACATCCTAATAGCAAAAACGTATTGGTGGCGTTAAGGATCGCTTTATTAACTTTGTTCAATAATTCTGCTGCAAAGTACCACATCCTAATAGCAATTAATAGGATGAATGAACTTATCTAATAAAATTTGTATTGAGCTAATTAGTTTGCGAAATTTTGCTGAATTCTCCTTTCCCTAGCTCTATTAGAAGTTTTATGATTTTTTGAAGTTAAGTTTTCACAATAATTTTAAGGAGAATTTGCGTAAGGCAAATTTGAGCAATTTAAAATTTAAATTTAATATTCAACATGATTGTTAAGAATAATTTCTTATATTATCCAATCATTTGAACATCAAACATATATACAGATTTACCTAGAATTGCAGATTTTACCCTTTGACCCGAGTAAACCCGTGTTGGCGACCTATATTCTGTTTCTGTATCCAAGTAACTAATTTGAAATAAATGAATTTTCCGCAGTTTTTTTAATTCAGCGATATTAGCAGCCATATGGTTTTACCTAGAATTGCAGATTTTACCCTTTGACCCGAGTAAACCCGTGTTGGCGACCTATATTCTGTTTCTGTATCCAAGTAACTAATTTTAAATAAATGAATTTTCCGCAGTTTTTTTAATTCAGCGATATTAGCAGCCATATGATTTTGTTTATTTCGTCACTTTTAACTGTTAGAAACATAGTTTTTGTAAACAATTTTCGTCTGAACTATGTTATATTGTGGCATTTAATCTCTTTTTCTGCATTTTCCCCTTCGGCGTAAGCAAAGCAGTCGCAAGAAATTAGGCGAACGCTGGTCAGCGACCTACTGCCGAGCGACTTGCGGCAAAAACTGCCTGCAACAGCCAGCGGAACTGCCTTAGCCAGAAACAGCAACCGTTTGTTCATTTAAATTTAATACGTTAAAGGACTTTGAAAAAAATTCGCACCTCCTTATAATTTTTTTATTTTAAAGTGTGAAGATCTGCTAAAATATCGAACGCCTTAAGAAAGAAAAAATCGGTAGGATTGTCTTTTAAAATTCACATGGCCAAATAAAATTAGCGATTACCTTTCGATGGTCCTTCGGCATTTTATGGTGATTGTTAGAATTTATAAAAAATTTTGCAGCTGAGTGATTTACTGATATTTGTCTGATAAAAAACATTATTGTGCCCAGGCAGATGTTAATATGCCGTTTGGTACTCGTTGCTGCCCAGGTAGATGTTAACAAATCGGTTGGTACCCAGGTAGGTGTCAATAAATCAGTTAATACTTACTGCTAAATAAGAGTTCCAGAGAGATTTTTTATTGCTTTTTTCAAAAAAATCTTTTATGGTTTAATAATTCATTTGATAATTCTTTTTTTTTGAATAATTGTCTCATTTAAACTGATATTTTTATTCTTTCTCTCATATTTTTCGTTAACTGACTCACATGAAATTGCCTTATAAAATCTTGATTTGTCCTTATTTTATTGAGATTTTTCGAAAAAATTAGAGCAATATTATTATTTAATATTATTTTATTAGTGATATAATTGTTTGAATAATTCTGGTGCCGCTGAGGATCCCTCTTGTGATTTCCCCGCAAAAATTCATAACCCTGTTGCAACGAATAGTAATCAAAGCAGCTTAACCAATATGATGAATTAGTTCCTATTTACTAATATTTCGCCCAAAAATTTTATTAAAAATTTTGGATTTTTTGAAATTTTTAAAGAAAATTTCTTAAAAAAAGGATTTTAAGATTTGAAAGAAATTTTTATGGTAAACAGTTGGAAAAAAAAGCGAAATTATTCGGCGATCTTAAATAAACAAAATTTAACAAAGCAATCGCTGAAATTTTTATGCAATAAAATAACTAGAAAAATGAACAATAAAAAAAAGTACGTTAAGAAAATGTTTTTGGACTCAAAATTTAAAAGAAATGAAAGAACTTGTTTCGATTCTTAAAATTCGAAAATTGCTTCTCGTTTTCAGAAAAGAGAAATTTCATAAGGCACAGGCGACCGTATGAAAAATTCTGCCAACTAACGCCATAGCAATCGAGTTCAGGCATCGCTGATTTTATGACAGTGAATTATGCCATTAACAATAAAATACGAGCACTGCTCGATACCAACTTCTACGATTATCTCTAAATAACTCTGCGGCGAAATAATTTCACCGCAGCAATTAGTTGTGCCAGCTACATCGAAATGCTCTGGAATGGAGTGGAAAAAGGAAGGGAAAAAGAAAATGATTGATAAGAAATGGCGGTGCTTGATACTTCCGATATTCACAATGCTTTTTTTTTAAGCGAATAATTTCTAATTTTTTTTCAATGTTTTTCACACCTTCCAAGCCATTGTTTTCCAATATATTGGTGCTTTATTTCCATTGATGTAAGATTAATACTTTATGATTGGGTCCGCTCCATTGGCTTCTACTATGCCCGAGATTCATTCGGTGAAAAAGTTAGATAAGCCAGCGGAACCGCTCGGATTTTCGCTAGGCTTATCGGAAGCAGAGCGTGAACCTCATTAAAAAAGATTCCAATACTTTTTATTTGTATAAAAGGCATTTTTTGAAGTTGTTTTTTGTTTTTTACCCATTCGAGTTAGTTTAAATTTTTCTCATTTATTTTCTAATCGTCTATAACTCGTTTTTCTTTATATTTTTGATTTTTTCGATCGTTTTTTTCGAATATTCGAATTTATAGTAGAAAAAAATGGAGGTAAAAGTTTCATACAACGAATTTCGATTGAACATAATCGAATTAATGATCATGGATGAATTTTGATCGTCGCCCAATTTGCATAATTCAATTTTATGGCTCTGCTATATCCATCGAATTCTTCGTTAATTTAATATCGTTAAAATTTAATTTTGTAGTTGAACAGCAAAAGGGAAAGCCGGATAGCCGAGTCGAATGTCGTCTTACTAAACAAAAATTCAGTCCATGTTCCACCAGTAAGAATAAACCTATTGTCAAAAAATCCGAATTATGCTGACATTTTAATTGCAGTTCTATCGCCTATCTTGACTTTTTGGCCATAACGACCAACAACGCTATTAAGCCAAATTTGGTGAGCGCTGATCACTTATTTCCTTTATAATGTGATAGGCTATGTTTCATCATGGCACATATTTGTCGTTCTCAATTATTAAAGTCGTAAAAAATTGATAGAGTTTTGAAAAAAAACAAAATCTTTTCCAAAATTTCCCAGAAATTTTTTCGAAATCCGCTTAAATTAAAATTAAGTTTTAATTCGATTTAAATCTTAAAAAATTCACCAAAATTTAAATTTCGCTCAATTTCTTAAAAATTTCGGATTTAAAAACTATTTGTTTATTGAGATTTTCGTATTTTTAAGAATTAAAAAAATAAATAAAATTATAAAATTTACTTATTCATGTGGGAAGTCCATGGGATTAATTTTTTCATAAAAATTCAAAAACTACCAAATCTACGAAAACTTATAAATTTAAATTATAATTAAATATTTATTTAAATATTTAAATTATAAATATAAATTTTTAATCGTAGGAATCTAATAAAAATATGCCAAAAATGATTGATTAACAAGAGATTTTTGCTAATAAATTTTATTGACCGAAGAAAAAATGATTAATTTAAAAATGAATAAATGTTCCGTTCTTTTAATATTCTTTGTTTTTTTTTACTAAGAGTATTATTTTTCTTTTTTTCAATTTTCGCTTTAAAAATGGATAAACCTTCTTTTAAAAGCGGATCGATTCGGTGCCACACCTGTAAATGCACTCCATTTCGCAGCTATAATGGCTGATTGGATTTAACCAAATCACTCGTATTTTTAATTTAATTAGGCGATTTTTGAAGTACTCAAGAATATTCTTAAAATTATTGGCTGAGGATAATTTGTATTAAGCGATTCCAGTTGGCTGTTCATACAATTATTCCTTTAACGAGAAGAAGGAACTGAATGTGTGTCATTGGTCTGAGATTCTTTTCGCGATATCTTCTCCCTAATTCTTTATCTACTGAATCGCTTCACTCAATGCGGGATTATTCGGTGATTGTGAGAAGCTACTGAGATTAAATGCTAAGATCAAATGCATTTTAATAGAAATAACAGATAGGAAAACGTTGACAAAATTATAGATAACGTTTTCACGTGGTAACCATAAATTTGCGTTTAAATAATATGCAGCGATCTATAAAATGAATTAAACCCCTAACGATGTTTTATTTAATGTTAGTAAATAATAATAATAACGGTGGTAATTATAATTTATCGACAATATCAATATTAATAATATAATTAAATTATCCCAACCAGTCTTAATAGTACGAAAATAATAGAATTAAATAAAAATGATGGGCTCGGCCTCCCATTTTCGGATAGAATGACTATTAATACGCCAACGTAGGGCGAAATATTCAGACCTAAAGCAATCACAATATAAAAGCATTGGCCGAAAACTGTTTTGGACAAAAACTATGAGCCAAGAATTGAACGCAAACGGAGCTTTGCCCCTTATAAATAAAGAGAGTTTAATCGCTATGATGGAGAGATTTAGGCATGAGCAATTAAATTAACTATTTTGCAAACGTTAAGGATATCAAAACATAAAAATAAGAACAAAATAGAAATAATCTTTAGAAAAAAATCGGCTATACATCGGCTATACACTTAATTGATCGATTCAGTGACTTACAAGTTTTACTTATTGTTTAAGTAAGGGAGAGTATGGCTGAGTGCTGTATTCCGTGGAATGTTAACGTTAAGGCTTGGGTAAGTTATTAAAAATTACTGATGATATGGACTTGCGTTTCTATCCCAGGACGACTGCCTTTCTCAGTTAGCGATTTCTGGCTTAGCCAACTCTGCTAGATATGTCCTCGAAGACCTCTTCACCCGACTTTACTTGTTGATGGAATGTTGACGAGTCATCAATGCCACTCGGATTTCATTTTTAATGATAGCTTATTCCTATCCTAAAGAAAATCGAATTTTAAGCGAAATAATATATTGTTATTCCCTCCTGTAGCCTAGTCGCAATCTGAGGTTCTACCCCTCTAAGAGTAAACCTGTCCGAAAATCCGGGTAATATTGGCTAGCGACTTAGCTGTACTTCTATCACCAAGATCCCTTGGAATATTGGTCCAATGCGACAAGCCAGCGGAGCGAGTGTAACCAGTAATAGTAAGGATTTTCAAAAAAAAAATATTGTTATTCCCTTCTATAGACTAGTCCTGCTGTGTGGCTTGTCACTCCTTGCAGCCTAGTCGCAACCTGCAACCTATTCCCATTCTGTAACCTTGATAAAAATTATGGGAATAGTTTGATATCTCCATTTTGTATATTTCTAAATGCCCTTGGAGCATACGAATTGTGATTTGATTTTAATGGTATTATTGAATGTAACAGACCATTGATTAAAAGAAAATTATTGTTATTCTCTTTACAAACTAGTTATGCAACGTTTTTTTGGAATCCTTCTTGGAATCATAAACGTGGTTCTTTCTTATCAAAAAAATAGAAAAAGAAAAAAAAAACAAGAAACTTTCAGACGATTGACGACCAAAGAAACAAAAATCTTTAATTTTACTTCCTAGTTTTTCGATAGAGCAAAGATAGTCATGGGCTATAGTTGTCGAGTATCAGAGGTTCTATTCTGACAGGGATGAACCTGTCATTAAAAGAATCCGAGCAGTGTTGGCGACCCATCTACACTTTTGTTGCCAAATCCATATCCTTAGAGAAAAACTTTCCTTCAATCTGGAAATCAGTGGAATAATCACCTCGACCATCCAGGTTTTGCATCATACCTTCGATAGGAAAACCATCGAAATACCCATCACATATTATAGATTCCACTTTTTTTTTGCATAAATGGCTAAAACATTTCATTTTTTGGCGTGAATTTCCTCAAATACGTGCCATTTTTATGCTTAAATTTTGCTTCCTAAATTTTATCCCCAAATATTCGCCGGCAAAATTTCTTACCAAACTAATAACCAATGAAGCGAATATTTATAAATAAGACAGAAGATAAATAAGCTTATAATAATAAATAAATTTATTTTCCAAAAAAATTACAAAAATATTGACGAAATGATTTATTGGTTACTTTGTAGAGATATGATTAATTAGAATATTTTTTATTCGCATTGTAATAAACTTAATGATTTATGCAAAAATGCAAATGCAAAATTTATTTTTATTTTTGCACTAATAAAAATAATAAAAATGAGATCGGCACTGCGTTTACGCCTTTTAAAACTTTTTTCCAAAATAAGTCACTTCTTTCACTTCAATAGTAATAAAAATTCAGAAAAATAAAAATAAATCGGAGAGCTTTTTTTAATTTTATAATAATAAATCCCGTTTTTCTGATATTTTCGCACATAAATTTTGTATTCTCATTAATGGCAGAGAATGATTTACGCCAATTTTATAAATTTCAAATAAATTCAATGAACATGTAAACATAAAACTATAGAATTAGTCGAAAATTAGTCACTTTTTTACTATATTAAATATTTATAACATAAGAGAGAGGCATTTTGCATGGCTTCACTTGTTGGCTATTAGCACAATGAGAAATTTTTGCTAGGGAACCACTTCAATATAGAAAGATATGTCCATTAGGTCACAAGAGTTCATTTCTATTATACATTCATTCGCGCTGAAAGAAGATTTCGAAACCTGGCCCACGAGAGAAAAATCTTAGCAATAATCACTTGGCTATGGCTTTCGACGACTTACTTCAGTTGCTTTTTTCACTTCGAAAATTGCTTTTTTTTACATCGTTTTCTTGTAAAGATGTCAGAAATAACTTTTTTGAGGAAATCTTAAAAATCATTCAGATTTATTGAAAATATAATAGCTATTGCTTAAGTGAGTTGTATCCTTCGATATTGAGCATCTAGAATTTAAAAAAAAACCTCTCAAAATTTTGTTTTTGAATTTTTAAATATAACCTATTATTATATATTATTGGGAATGGTTTTGGCTCTGAGCATCCTCTGGAAGGATATTGAGGACCTCAGGAGCCTTCATATTTCGACTGTTGCTTGTGCCGAAATGCACTTCTAATTCAATTTGCTAGATTGATAACGTTTAGATTTAAGTTAACAAAAAAAGAATGAAGTAAGTGATAAATAGGTGATAAAATAATCTTTATTTCTTATATTATTTTTTTATATCTTTATTTTTCGACGTTTTTATGACGTTATCACTTTGTGACATTGCTTTGGAGCAGCGGATGTCGATTCGGCAATTTTTAAAACGAATCTCTTTTAACGAGTCAATCTTTCAGGTAATGCACTGTGTAAAGTATAATGCAGTTAGCATATCAAGCATGTGGCGTATTTTTGCATCAGTCATCTTGCTCACTTTATTTGTTATGCTTGCGTCGAAAAAATATGATCAAATATTTGTCACGATAAGTGATTGGAAAACGAGATTTATTAAAGATGATCAGATAAATATTAGCGATAAATGGATAATTTTTAGCGGAACTTTAGATAAATTAACTAAAACGACGATTCTCGAAACAACGAAATTTTCAATAGAAAGTACGGATAGCAATGAATTTATATCAAGAGATAAGGACTACGATCAAATGGTATATTATTACATTTGAATAATATCTTTCACGTGAGGCCATTCAATCAATTTCACGTAGTCATTTCAACATAAAATATAAGCGATTAACGTAAAATATTGGAGGATAATTGATAAATCAAACTATTTTTATTTTTATCTGATATGAATATAAAGTACTTCTTCTGCTTCTCGCTGTAGTTGCTGACATGTTGTTTAGCATTATTCATATTTCACATCATCATCGTCAATAAAAGGGACTACATCAGCGTATTCAAGATCTGTGATACGATACTCTGGTCTGGTTTGGAGTGCTGACAAGCGATATCCATTATCCAGTCTACTGCATACTGTAGGATACAGGATTTAGCCCTGACGAACACCAGTTCTTACTTTGAAGGAGCCTATTCCCCATATAAATAGACCTGCACCGACCTGCGCTCATAAAATGCCTTTATGAGCCGAATGACCTTCTCTGGAACGCCGTTCCATCATCCTCCCAAGTGTCACCCTATCAATTGAATCAAAAAAAGCGGCAAAGTTGATGAAACACATGATAGTGGATTGCAAATATCTGAAGTGATATTCCAACACCCTTCTTAACATGAATATCTGGCCACCACAACCGTGTCTTAGCTTTGTTAGGACGCATTCTATTTCGAATGTCCATTAGACGATTCCTCGTTAATTATCGCATTATGTCTTGCCACCTTTCCTGGAAATTGAAAGTAGAATTGCTTTGTCCCAGTCATCTGGCAATATTTCTTCTATATCAAAAAGTGCGTTTGTTGAAGGTGCGTTACGAAAGACGATGGGCAACATTTGAAGAATTCAGCCCGAAGATTATCTCGAAGATCATCTTTTCCTGGAGTCTCATCGGCCTTAAATTTGTGAATAACGGAAATTATTTCTTCATCTGTCGGCGATTCGCAATTGCAAACGCTTTTTGCTTTCCATCTTATGAGGCGATCCTTAATAGCCTTAATAGCCCCCATAGTATTTCTACCTCTTACCATTTCACTAATCGTTCCCCATTTTAGTTACCTTATGAAGAAGGTCTCCTATTATCGCCTAATCGAGTCCCCATTTCCATTTTCAAGGTCATGTCGCTCCAATATTGCTATTTCTATTGTACTGCGATCATTTAACTCGATAGAAATATTGGAGCACTATTGCATTGCTATTGCAGTTTTTTCAAGCATCCAGTAGTCAGACATTCGTGCTTTGATAGCCTTTTGCAGACAGTTTGCTTCCGATACTTAACTAGCAAACTAGTATGCCCTAGTTTGAAAGTGGCCAACTTTTGGAGATATTCCTTTAGTTTGAGCCAGTATTCATTTGCCGTTCCAGAAAAATCGTTGAAATAATTTGGCTTGAAATATGCTCAATGTTCCTAAATTTTTAATTAGAGATAGTTGAAAGATCGATCTTGGGAGACGCTCTTTCTTGCGAGTTGTCAGTTTTACATGAATCGTGACTCGGAACATAACATGGTCAGATCCATAAAATATAAGGTACTGAATAATGAAGACTAAAAAATCTCATTTTCGGAATCTTAAATCTTTTTCTTTTAATATTTTCCGCATCCAATATAATTAACTTCTGTTTGTTGCCTTCGCCAGAGAATCACTTAGAGATACGAATAGTTCCAGCTACATTCATTCATCACCCCTCTGACTTATTCTGACAAAATATTGCTTTGAAATATACTGATTATTCAAGAATATCTATGGACTATTATTTTTTGAATTAAATCGTCTGATGCGCTAATAAATTATTTGAGACTTTCATATATTTTTTAAGAAAGATTCGAACCTATAATAGCATTAGCCAAATAAAAGTAATATAACATTTTGCCTACGACAAATCAAGTTTATTATAGTTGTATGGTTATAAATAGGATCACAGGATAATCGAGTGGATAACAGTACCATGTTGAGAGAGAAGGCTTCTGCGCCTACCTCCGATAAGAGTAAATTTGTCATTAAAAAAGCTTGTTATTAGATAATGGCTTATAATTGCATCGCCAAATGACTGGCAAAAATTGCTAAGAACCATCCTAAAAACCAATGGAGATAGCCTATCGCTAGCCATTTTGTTCTCTTCGACTAAATTTACTGAACTATTCATAGGATCAATTTTTAAATTTTTGCAACAAATTTACAAATTTAAGAAATAAATAAAATGAAATTCGGCCGTATTGATCATCTATACTTTTGTAATTCTTATTCAGTTATTTATTAAAAGTGCGTATTTAATCGACAAGCGAACAGTTCGGCTCACAACGATAGCGAAGTGCAATCAGAAAATTGGCTTACGATTTTTTGCAAAAATCAACGATTCTGACTCCGTTATTCCGCTAAATTTTAGTTCTCAAAAGATCAATTATTGCCCATGGAGTTATGCGAAGAGGTGAATTTTTTCTTTTTTCTATAACCCTTCACGAAATCAACTATGGGCTTTACTTCATTTAGCATTTCTGGCTTGGCTGACTGGCCATCGGAAAGAGTTTCCTTCGCCAGAATATCATTTCGCTAGAAATGATTTTCTGCACATAGGTTTTTAACATAAAATGCAAGAAATGTGGTTTAGTTAACGATAACTTCATTAACATATATCTTAACCCCTTTCTTTCCATCTTTATATTTTTTTTTATAAAAAATTTGCAGAATAGTTGAATAAAGCCAGTAAATTAGCTTTATTTATAGCCAGCAAAATATAACGGTGAGATAGGATAGCTTCGACTAGAATCGAGCCATCATAACTTCGATTTTTATCACTAAAAGTTTCCGGCTTCTGTGGAATTCGGATGGTGTTATGGATCCTGTGCTCTTCTATTTGACTGGGTCCCGTGAATGGCTTTCGTGCCATTAGCTAGCCAAATCGAAAATGCGAGTTCTATGAGGAAAAGAAAACTTAAGCAAAACTAATATAAGTACATGCAACTCATGCAGATCATGCAAATCTTAATTCACTTATACGACATGATTTTTACCATTCGAAGCTTATAGATGCGACATGGTTGGGTATTTTTTCACTCTTCAATTACCTGAAAAAATCAGTATTTTGTTAACGAAAGGCAGTGAATTGCAATTCATTTATGTGAACAAATTAACCGAAGTCGCAAATTCGCAAAAAATCTTTGTTCAAGACGCTCGCATAAAATTTAAGAAAAAGCAGCATTCACTAGCTGTTTGTTTGCAACCTATTTTTCTTTTAGCAGATTGGACATTACTTGTGCAATTTTTTGAGGTAAAAGTCCTATTTCTTTATATTTTTCTATTATTATTATTTCTATTATCACTATTGTTATTATTTTTTTTATCAACATTCACCATTTGGCTGATTTGCTTTGGCTGATCCTATTAGATCGCCAGAGAGTCACTTGGGAACAGAAGTACAAGGTCATTTCTTAACAGCACCTAAATTTTTAATGGCAGATTTATCATAGAATGGAACCAGTGATTGATGGTTGACTTTATCCGAAACTACATACCCGCCGATCACCTCACCCCCTATTGCTTTTTAGTGAAAACAAGTTCATTTATAAAATTTATTTTCTGCCTGATTTTTATTGTAATAATCTCGAATTGCTCGCAATATTTAGAGAATTAATCTTTTTTTTACTGGCTTACAATTACAGTTGCGATTTATTAACTCATTACGATTATAATTTATTAAAATTATTTATCAATTCATTTATTTTATTCTAATTTTTTGATTTTAATAGTATTCAATAAAAATATTTCATCAAAAGTAAAAAAAGTGATGAACGTATTTAGACATGGATAGCTCAAGGTGCTACAAAATTTTATGCTTATATGCATTCAGCTGTGCCCGAAGTTGATAAATTATTGAAAATGTATGAAAACGACCCCAATATTGCTATTGAAAGGATTGACTGGGCACCTTTGCCAACCTACGATCCATCTGCTTCGAGAGATCCTAATAATCGATTATATCGAACTGAGGTTTAATTTCCCTCGTAATTCAAAGTCTGTTCCTTCATTCCTTTAAGAATTTCTGAAGTCCTCAGCTCTAGCAATCTAGTAATTCCCGAAAGCTTGATACTTATAGTTTCGAACCGTTGAAAACCGTTCTTTTTCGTTGTGGGCTAATAAATTAATGAATTAGTGAGATAAGAAATTGCCAAAAATATTTCAAAGGTGAATAAAATGATAAAATATGATGAAAATTAATTTTTGCCTGGAGTATATACTAAAAGGTTGTTAATGTGATTTTATTCGATTCTAAATAAATTTTTTGACCATCAAATTTCTTAATCCTAACCTGTTCCTTTTCTGACCGGGTTCACCATTTCTATCTTGGCTAACTTCACTGGTTATTAGGATAACATTAGTTTGCTAAAGAATCCCTTTGAAACAGAGCTATATCACTCGAATTTCTCTTTCATTGACAAATTTAATCTCACTAGGAGATCGGAAATTTTTGACAAATTTTCAATTTACAAAAATTCTTATTACAACAAATTACAAAACTTATTACAAAACTTTATTATTTACAACAAATTTTAAATATTTTCATATTTTTTAATCAATTACAGGCGATTACAGCGATAAATGACTGTGTTCTTAAAGCTCGTTCAATTGCTAAATATGTCGTTTCATCGGACTTGGACGAAATTATTGTACCATTGAAGACGACATCTTTGCTTACACTTCTTGATGAATTTACAAAGAAACATAGAAATATCGCAGCAATGATCATTCGTAGTAGCTACGCTTATTGGCAGGTCATTATCACTCCTAGAAAATTATTATCATTTTGGATAATTTTTGATTATCTGAAAATTTTAAATTATATTGACATTATTCAAACTGATTGCAAATTTAAATTGCAAAGTGGTTTTTTTTTTTAAAAATTATTTAAGCGCATTTTATTCATCTAACAGTATTCTAGTACCATTTCAGATTGCTGAAACTTACTGGCCATCTGGCTTTCTTGTTAGAGATTTTCTTTGGAATAAAAACTTAAATAAGCCAGCGAATCTTAGTTTTAGTGAATCTTAGTTTATTTTATTTTTTTTACTTCGAGATGTGGAAGACGTATTTATGCCGGCTTAACCTTAGGAAGCGATGTGCCATTGGATTATCTTATACATCTTCGCAGTTAATAAAATATATTCTAGCTTTTACGAAAATTCGCATTAATTTTTCAAGCAAATTTCGTTTTAATCTTACAGAATGATTGGCTAAATATCAGCCGACCTGAATTATTAAAGTTCGATTCTCTTGGTGCCGTGAAACTGGAAAATTATATCTGGCCTGAAGGACAACGTAGTAAGGTTATCATTATTTTATTAGATTTGAACCACATTTTCGATCAGCTCATAATTTTCCATTTTGCAGGTTATTATGATACCTGAGCGAATCATTGCCGCTCATGTGCATACTGTAACATCAGTTGTTGCCAAAACCAGGAGAATAGTTATCCAGCCAGATATTGCTTTGGTATTTCACTTAAGGTTCTTCTGTCTTGTTTTTAATAAAATATTTGAATTTGGATTCTTAAGATCCTTAAAATTTTTATAGAAATTCAAAATATAAATGACTATAAAATTCCGAAATGCTGGTTTATTAAATTCCGCATTGCAGGAGAATTTTTTCATCACAATTTGCTTCACCAAAGTTTAGCGGTACAGTTATTAGTTATGCTCTAAAGAGATTTATTTCTACCTGCAATATCGCATGGGAAAAGCGATTAAAGCACAATTTTCTTTCCACAGGTGCAAATGAACTAAGTTTACCGAACAGAGGTGTCAAAGTTAGTAATTTTTATTATTTTATTTCTTCACAAGTGTTATATTTTGTAATTTGTGTAAAATTGTGTATCTTCGGCAGATAGTGGCATATGATCGAGTAGCACATTGTCTCGATGAGCGTGGTGCATGGTGCATGTCCGATCCGACTTTTCATAAAGAATGAAGTCCGGGTGGTGTTAGAACCACGTCGCTACTATCACCAAGTTAAAAATAGAAATGATCAATGGTATCAGCTAAACCAGAAATGGCTATTAATATTTGCTGACGAGATTTGTTCTATACGGCGTTATAGATATGACTGAGAAATTTTCTAAACTGTCGAAATCTTTATTTCGGCCACAAAAACATCTTTAGCAAACTCATTTTGCAAGCGATGGAACGTTGAAGTCGATTGTTGAGCTAATGAGATTTTAACAAAACCAGTCACGATAAGGCATTTGCACCTGTAAATTAGTAAATTTAGGAGCGAATTGAGTTTGTTTAATATTGCCGAGTATTACTGCACCTGATAAAGTAAATAAGATTTTAATTTATTGCTTGATTTCTGGGAAATTTTCGAAATTCGAACAACTATTGCGCTGAAATTGATATGATTATAGCTTTGTACTTAATTGAATTGAAATTGCTTAATTGAAATTACTTTGAAAAATATTGTTTAGGTAATGAAAGAATTGGAGGAATGTCGCCTGCAAAATTATGCGCAACGCGACAAGTATTGTGATTCGTCTTTCAAATGCATAGGCCAAATAAAATCGGTATTGGCTAACGAATGGGTTTGGGCTAGCCAAACGTGGAAAGCATTATAATCTTGCTATGCCATATAAATAATTGCCATTTGCAGCAGTAGTCCAATTTGCATTGCTCACATTTCTAATTCTGCACGATCATGCATCGCTGATGATTGTCTTATGGTGCTTATTTGTAGAACCATTGTCCTTCTTTGTGCTCATTTTTGGTAGTTGAAACAATGGAATCATTTCTAGCTAAACTATTTTTAAACAATTCGATTAACAACGCGTTTTATGATGGCTCTTATTCATTTATTATGCATTGAATTTTTCATCTTCTCAGATTCACTGAAACTCCTATGGATGGCAAATTCTTCCAGTAGCATTCAACATTTCTAGTTTGGTTATCTCCATCATGAAACCCTTTCTGTATAGAATGAATTGTTTGCGAGAGAGTTTAGAGGTGAGTGGCAAGCACCACCCGATAACCAATAACCAATGCTTCTAGAGATTGAAATATTATAATCGCTGTGATATTAGTGATTTTTCACGAATTTATCATTCTCTGTTTAGTATTTTCGCTTTTATTTTATAATTATTTTGCTTAGAATGCAATCGTTGAATATCGGCGTATTTGTGCAATTCAATGTGTTATCAGTACGGGTCTAAATTACAACGAACACTTATAATTTATTTTAATTTTGTGGTATTTGTAATAAAAAATATTGTACAAATATGAAGATTTGTACTAAATTTTTTCGCGACTGTCTTCTACACGTAATATTTCAATATTTGAAGGAATATAGCAGAGGTTCTCAACTGATTGGCAATTTCCAGTGAATCTATGAGATCTATGAGCAGGCTGATGGGCTCCGTTGGAAATGAAAACCCATCAAGGATGCAGAATCGCGATATTTGCTGCTATACCCTTTCAAATATTTTCGTTGAAGCATGGCGGAGAAAGAATAATTCAAGATTCTTCGCTAACATTCACCAGAATTAAACGACAATGATCTTATTCTACTGATCTTTTTATTTTTTTTGATATGTTTTAATAATTTTTTAGTTAATCAGTTAAATAACTGGACATGAGAGAGTAAAATTTCACTCTGACATATAGTTGGAATGGTGTATACAAATAAGCAGTTGGGAACCACTGGCAGTAGAACAATGGCAGTTTTAGAATTGTTTTATTTTTCGTAATTTCAAGATTTTCATAATTAATTTATAAATAATAATTTTATAATTCAAAATTTTATTATAAATTGTGCAAAAGATAGATTTTCGAAGAATTTTGCAATTATTTAGTATAAGTTATTCCGAAATAAAGCAAATTTGACAATTCCATTTCGAAATTTTTCCTTCCTTTTATTTTATCTTTATTTATTTTCATTGATGAGTGAAGAATATACATTAGTGTCCAGTGGCAACTCTAGAATCTATAGCAACAAAATAAAGAATATCAAAATCGCTATCGATAAAATAATCATTTATTCGTCAGACTTCCTACTTTGCTCAAGTTCATCCACGAATCCTCCTTGCGACCTATATTTTATTTCTCTTAGAATTATACCAAAATACTAAAGAAGTCGCTTTTTTGCCTGAAGTCACTCTGAATATTCGAATTAATAGCATTCAGTTACCTTTTGCCTTTTTCTAATAGATTTTATTTCCTATAAATAAGAAATTGTTTGTAAGATGGGACTGAAAATGATCGGCAAAATCAGTCTAAAATATTAAATTATAAGTTCGTTTAAATTATAAGTAGAAAGCGGCCACCCACCATTTCGGCTTCCTTCGCAGGGCTATTTTCAGTATGCATTAACATAGCAAGAAATTTTTGCTAGCGAGTCTCGCCGATAAAGATAGGCAGACCTTCGCTACTGTCCGAGCTTTCAAATGACAAGCTGTTTAACACGATTCTTCGAGTCCTTATAGCCCATATTCATTCCAGCAGCTTATCTTTTTGACATTTCCATTGGCTTTTTTGCAGGTAACGAAGCCAGTTTCTTCAATGATGAAATTCATCAAGCGAAATTTAATATAACATTTTTTACATTGAAAAATTCGAATTCCCATTGGAAACTTGGGTGAAAATTTAACTTCGTTAAAATTTAACATATATTTTGCAAATATAGAAAATAAAGGATTATTAAAGGGAATATTCTTATTTTTCAGAGTTAAATATGACTTACGGTGTGCCTTATGAAATGCAAGAATGCATTAGTGTGATTGAGCGTCATTTGGCATTGCACCACGTGTCTTTCAACAAATGTACAAAACACTGATAATAACGGGAAGCACATATGAAACAGTGGATGCGAATTGAAATCTGATATGCACCTATCACCTTTTATCGCTACAATTGCTAATTAAGATATTACTTTTTATTCACTTATTAAAATAATTTATAAATTTTGTGAAGTATCTGTGATAAATGTATATAGCCGCTTTTTCTAGACCTTTTACTTCAGACTTTACTTATTTTCTTCCAATTTTAAATTAAATTTCCTTTTTTATTTCTTGGGATTTTGACATTTATTCTGGCTTTGTATAGCTATTTTTTAGAAGCTCTTCAAGGAATTGCATTTTTGTTGATTAAAATGAAGGGAGAGTTTGTTCTTGTTAAATCTCTGAATAAAACCAGGCATTCTGTTCGATTACTAATTTAGCAGCAAATTTGGAGTGTATTTGCAGTTTTCTCGAAGAAATCACCAATATTTTCTTTCATACCACATTGTTGTATTGTCGTCGAAGGAGTTCATAAAACAAATCTTTGAGAGCTGCTAACCCCAAATCTATTGCATTCTTTGTATTTATCGAGTAATATTGTGAATTAAATATTTAAACAAGGATTATTAATAGTTCATAATTTTGTCTCAGTAGATTTGCTATTTTTTTCCATCTAAGAATATTTGCTTTTTTAAAAGTTCCCCTTGTTTTATGCAGATTTATCGTTTTTTTCTCATCTTTACAATTATCCTAGGCTAATATTGAATTTTATTAAAAAATCAGAAGGTAACAAATTTGCATTTCCCAACTAATTTATGTGGAAGATTATGAATTTGTTGGGAAGAAATATAAGAAGAAGGAATTCTCGAATTCTTTAAGATTCTTTAAAATTTAAGTTTCGTATTCGAGGAAATTGCTATTCTTAATTGCTATTGCCTCGCACATTTTCCTCTTACACCATTTACTATTTCTGGCTTAGTTGCTTCTACCAAAAGCTGGGGTATTATTAATCACTGGCAGATATCATTTGGTTACGGCCTTGTTGAACCATTTAATGATAAATATGATTGGATAGATAATAGGCGATGTAGATGCAATAAAAGCCACCATTAAATGAATATAAAGCAATCCAAGAAATAATCATAATCAAAGAATCATAGTTTTTTTCAATCAAATTTATTTTCATCAAAAACAATAAATAAAAATATTTTTAATCATCGTTTTCAAATTTTATTTTAAACTTTTTTTTCAACGTAAAAGTCTCCTTCCTTCTCGTTTTCTTCTTTTTATCATTATCATCGTCATCATCCTTATCATTGTCGTCTTCACTATCTTCATCTGACTCATTATTTTTCTTTTTTTTATTCTTATCTTTTTTATTTTTCTTAGTTTTATTCTTTTTATGTTTTTCTTCATCGCCATTTTCTTCTTCTTTTTCAAGGTAAATCTTTTTCTTATCATCGATGATTCCTTTTTCGTTTTCTTTTTCATTAATATTTTTTAAATTCACATCAACTTGCATATAACCATTTTTCATGATAAATTTTGTTATATTAATAGAAATATTATAAATTGATGGTATTGCAAGGCCGGCTTTTAATCGAGCTTTTACTGCTGTAAGAATTATTTTTTCCAAAAAATTCTTTTGAATATATTGCAGGAATCTGCAAAATATTTTAATAAAAAGGCGATTAATTCATTTTGGCAAATTTACTTCACAATAAAAAAAATTCTTTTGCTTTTTTTGCCGATATTCTAAAATTTACTTATTTTTACTTATTTTTGTCAATATTTTGTCAATTACATATATAAAAAAAATGCAACCGCTGTATTTGTCATTCAATATTTTGCGGTATTTTATGTTATCAATTTAAAAAAATTTAAGAAAATCTTAAACGACTTACTTTTGATCAATTTCTCCGACAGATGATTTTATTTGTTTGACCGAGAGAACAAAACCATTTAATTGACCGAAAAGAATATTACCCTTAATTTTCGGCAAAAGTTTAGCAGAAATATTTAACTCTGAAAATGACTAATTATCAATAAATATAATTATCCCCTTTCTTAAACATCTTAAGTATCGTATTCGAAAAAGTATCGTATATGTGGTTTTTTGGTGATGTAGTAGCCAGTGAATAAATCATGTATGTGCCCAAAAGATTTAAATTTTATATATTGAACTAACGTATACAATGGAATTTAACAAAAAAATTTTTTGCACTCACCAATAGTTGCAAATTTCTCCTTATTTTTGTCGATAGATGTAAGGTGCAAATCAACGAGAAAAGATGCACTGATGTTTATTCCTGCTTCTTCCATTTCGATCAAAGGTTTCTTAGCAAATTTAATATACAAGTCCACACCAGAATTCGGATGTTTTTCTTCTAATTTTGTGAAAAGCTTGCCAATGCATATACGGCGACAGCTAAAAATTATTAGCGTTTGAATTTGCTAAAAAATGCAATCAGAAGAGGTAAATTTTAGAATTTTTGAATATTTTCGTTGTTTTCTTTTAGGTATATAAAGGCTGAATAATGATGATTTTTGCTTATCGCCTTAGGCATCAGACTCTGCTCGCCACAATAATAGATAAATCTTCCATTAGAAAATCAGGGTGGTACTAGGTACTAGGCACTTATCTATACCAAGATGAATAGCAAAAATTTCTCATTATATTTACAGCTAACCAAAGCAAAAATGGTGAGTGCTAATTGTATTATTGTAATTACAAAACGAAAAGAATTTACTAATGCAACCTGGCAAAAAAAAATCAGAAAATTGAATATTGGCATGGCAACTTTTTGAAGTTACATAACTTCAAAAGCTTCGATAACTTTATAAAGCAGAAAGAAACCTTGTCGTCAAAAAGAATGCAAGCAATTTTTCATCTTTTGCTGATATTTTTCCCTCTATAATACCACCTTTATGTATCGAACTTGCCAGACATTGAAGCAAATGCACAGAGAATCGTATTTGCACCATAGAATTATTATTTGTCATTTCTGGAAATAAAACAATGAAGTTGCAACCAAAGCATTGAAGATAATGACTGAAGTTGCAGTTTGTGAAAGAATGAAAACGATACAAAAAAATTAAAAAAATAAGCTGGAAAAACGAAATACATGGAGGAAAAACCATATGAAATCTTAGAAATCAATTATTTTACATGTTTTATAATTTTACTCTTAATGATGCAAACCTGGATATTTTACGGACTTAGCGCTTGGACAAGGTTCTTTACCGTAAGTCACATTAGCATAAAGCATAACTCCAATGCTATCAGTTTTTGGTATTATTGGAAAACGCTGCAATTTCACTCACCAAATCACCTATATTTATTAAGATCTATTAATATTTTTTAATAAACCATTCATATTTTCATTAAATTGTCAATTACGATCTAGCTAGCCATATCACTTATCACATATATTCTTTTTGTTCTGACAACACATCACCTTTTTTGGTTTAACTGGCTTCATCGACTCTCAGAGAGAAGCATTTCCTGTGATTCGCAAGCTGATGTGCAGAAGTGGATTTTTTTTAATGCGAAGTTTATTTTTTTCAAGGGGATGAATTGCATGCTTGAACTTAGGTAAAGCAATATGCTGTTGGGTCAATCTTCCTTTATTTTTTACACAATTAAATCCCATTTTCACTTTGACCTCTTTAAAATTGTCTAAGTTCAATCGATTTAAATTTTAATGTATTTTGATTAAATTTAAGATTTAAGTTTGGAAGCAATTTTTTTTGTCGAATTGACTTGTTACCGGAAAAGAGTAGTGTATAAATATATTATCGGCTAATTCCATTCGACGGGGCATTGTCTGAAGTCGAGCATTCACTACGTTCTTCAAGAACAATTTTAAATAATAACATATCTAAAAAAGATTTCATGGGAAAATTTGACATTCTTCAGTAAATCAGCTTTCATAAATCCTTAGTTTCTATGGGCGGAAAAATTACAGTAATCGCACAAATGAATTTATGTTTCATACAAAAATTTTGAAATTTTAGTGATCAAAATTTACTGTTGGTAGCTTTAAGTTCAAAAGAAGGACTGAACAAATGTACACATCTCGAGAGATATCTATTTTGTGACTGATAGAAGTAATAAAGTAAGTTGTTCTTTTATGGAGGGAAGTGGGTATAAATGAACCTCTAGTACCATTCGGATATTCTTAATAGTTCTCGGAGGCAGATTATGAATGAGAAACCTCGATAATTCAAGCAATAATCATTTGTCTATTCTGCTTTCTAATAAGAAATAATACGGTATTAATCTTTAAAGAATAATCGAAAAAATGTACATGCGCTTTTTGTTCGTTGATAATATTATCAATACTCGAGCGTGCAACAGCTGCAGCCACTTTTAAAACAAAACTATTAAAAGCAATATCGTAAGTGACATTCGCTTTCACTTTGCATTGTGCGATAGCAATTTCAGGTTTGTTGTTTCTTTTGGCAAAGGTATATAACATCGATAAAGTAATATTAGAGATTTTAAAGTTCATAGTGCCTTTATCTTTTGTCTAAAAATAGTATATATTTTTGATTAAACTTATATAACTGATTATAAAAGTTTAAACAAATTTAATCTATCCATTTCCATTAATCACCACGGTCTGTTCACTGTTCACAAACGAATTACTTGGGGACAGAAATATTAGTGGATCTAGAAGATTTCATTTAAAATAACATTTTGATGCTTGAATACTACTCGATTTTCAGAGATAATCATCCTCATCCTTTAAAGAGTTTAGTCTCATTCCATCTTAAATATTTCATATCTCATTTATTTTCTTGACCTTATTCTCAACTTTATTTCCACAGGGGAGCTAATCAGAATATCATAAAAATATGAATAAAAAAAATTCTCACTTCATGAAAGAGTATTTTGTAATATAATTCATAATTACCAGCTATTTCGATAATATCAGGAGCATTACTATTATGTTCCAATAATATTCCAGAAGGATGAGGTCTCAAAAAAAAATGTGATTCTTGAAAGTTCGCAATTTTAAGGCCTTTCATTTTAATTTGCCCTGAGCCTAAAGCCATACTGACTGGTATTGTATAATCTGGGATAACGACTTTCGAAACTTCATTTTTTAACTGAAAATAGCATGAATAGCAAATAGTTTGAGTAAATATTCAGAATTCTTCATTTGTGGCTTAGCCAGAAATTTTTGCCGTTAAATGATGGATGTAGATAACAAATAGATAACAAATTTTTTGATAAGTTATCTCTGGGGCACGATAAAATATCTCCCTATTATCAACCCGATAATCTGAGTGACAACCCACTTGACTATTCTACTTTTAATTTTTTTTTTAAAGCGAAATTTTAAAACTGCTCATAGGCAAACAAACTAACCAAATTATTCATAATGTTGTTCAAGAATTTAATACTAGCATTATTAAATTTGGCTTGTAATGCAATGAGCTGTGCATCTAATGTAGCCAAGGCTACTAATAGCACAAATAAGTAGCTGATCATCTCCAATAATGTATAATTTTTGTAATAAATTTTCTATCGACGCAAATTATTCTAAATAATAAGTGATTAGAAATACAGAAAACTAAATTTATTGAAGATAAATAAGATAAAAAAAGAATTATTTACACGGCAACTCCACCAGTTCTTCCGTTTACTTGTGGATCGAAGTGTACAAATAAGTCCCTAACACTATCCGAATTTTTTTCTTCTGATGACTTCTCGTTTATTTCTATAGAACAGTGGGAGATAATTGATAAACAAAGATTATCAAAAAAATGAAAAATTTGCATTTTTTCGAATGGGAGATGACAAAATGAATGGAGAAAGCCAACTTTTCTTAGCACATTTAGATAAAAAAAGCTGCTCAAATGGTAAATTATCGTATTATTTCAATATTCGAGAAGAAATGGGAGAATTCGGAAAAAAATTTTGAGCTAAACCACATCTCTCCAAGAATCTAAAATGAAGCAAGAAAATAATTCAGAAAAATTATTCAAGAAGCATTTCTAATAAATTTTTTTTGTAAATATTACCGTTTCTTAAAAGAGAATAAATATTCATGAATTCCCGATTTTTATCGCATTACGCCCATCGATGGTGTAACGGTGAATAGAATTATATATGAGTTATTAAGAATTTTTATGAGAATAAACCAAGCAAACGACGGTGCACCGACCATTCTCATTCGTTTTATATAAATTATTAATGATTATGCGAGTTGTATTAAATTTTATAACAATTTTTTAATATTAATCTTTCTCTTCTGTAAGTTATCGAAAATTTTGGTTACAAAAATTATGCAGTAACAAATAATTATTGAGTAAGATGATGCATGTATGGTCAATATTAATAAAGGCGAGCAAGAAGGATTCGATTACTGCTACATTCACTTCATCGACCAGAATGAGCCTATCGCTAAAAGTGAAGTTCAGATATTGCTAAAGTCGAGCTTTCCTTTGCCAATCTCGCTTTAATCGAAATGGTCCTAAGTTAGCATTGAGAAAATGGAACCACGCAAACTATCGGTTATTTCGATTCGCCGTTCTCGACGTGTGTTATATCTAAGGTTAAAAAATCCTTACGTTGCTAGCAACTCGTCTATACTTCTATCGCTAGATAATTCCCTGGCAAAAATTTTTAATAGCCGCGTCATAACCAGTGAAATTAGCCTAACTAAAAAGCTAGCTATCCTACTTCTTTCTGTAGTATTACAGTCTTAAAATTCTATGGACGAATTCAAATTTAAAAACGCCCAATTAAATTTTCATAATCATAAGAGTCTTTTATTGCGAAATATTTATCGAAAATATAGTTTTATTAGATTTATTAAAATATATTTAGCAACAATATAAATCATAAATCAATATCATTTTTACGAATCGGTGATTATTTAATAAAGATTTAGAAATTTTTTGAAGTTTTCTCCAAAAATTTCTTTAAATCCTTCGATGGTAAATAAATCAGATCAGAATCAATGCGAACATAACCATTCTTTGTTACAATATCAGCGTTATCAGAAAGGGTAATATTATCAATAAGAGGAAGACGAAAGCCAGTTTTTAAAACCAAATTCATTGTCAGAGTAATCATAGGCTTGATTAAAATCTCGAGAGTTGATAAAGCTCTGAAATTCATAAAAATTTAATCTAAGTTTTAGATAGAGCCAAGACATTGAGGATTCAATTTTTGTCCATTTACGAGGAATAAATTTGCTATAAAAATGAAATCTCCAACTTATGCTGGGACATAATTGTTATCTTTTCTCCAAATGAAGCCACATTATTAATGGTCAATGGGCCAATCAAACCAGAAATGGTGGACAAAAAACGGAAAAATGAAAATAATCTCGAAATAGTAATAAAATAGTTAAAATTTCGTTATATTTTATAGTAATTGTATTTGCATATTTTTGTACCGAAGTGGTGAACTCACTTCTGACTGATATCACCAATAATAGATTCTTTCTCTTCAGTGACGAGAGATAAGCTTGAAACATGTCCGGAAATAATCTGTTCGCTAATACTCGGTAGTATTATGCATGAAATATTGGTTCCTTAAAAATTAAAGCAATACTACAACAGAAAACAAAAAATCGGATAAAACTTTGAATAAAATTTCAAGTAAAAAAATCAGGAAAACTGGATTAAACATGGATTTCTGAAATTCCAACCGAGTCTAACAAGTCTTTGTTTCTGTTCCATCCAAGGCGAAATATAAAAATCGAAATACGCATAAACAAACGTGAGTAACCCTTTCTCGTCAAAAATAATCATTGGTGCTTGTGAACACGCAATACGAATATCCAAATAATCACTAGGATATTTTTCAGGTAATAATGGGAAAAAACGTCCAATACATATTTCGTAAAATGTGCATCTATAATTAAAAAAGTAAAAAACTAAAAACCAAAAAATTTTAGCAAAAATAAAAAATGAAGATTTTCGGATAGAAATGAACGGATCTATACAGTGAAGAGAAGAGCGCTCACCATTTCTGGTTAGGCTCGCTCCGGTTTAATCGGACCAGTCTAATTTTTGTTAGGGAGTCACTTGCTGATAGAGATGTAGGTGAATTACCACTCGATGATCATCTATAGAATAATTGCTGCTTATTTAATACCATTAAAAAATAATAATCTTAGAATAGAATAATAATATTCCTAAAAAATTCCAAAGATATTGGTTAATTCATCAGATACTTTTCAAAGATTTATTAAAGAATAAACTTAAATAAATCACTTGGTCTTTAAAAAAATCTTGAAGCGTCCATCATAAAAATCTTTTGTGATTGTATAACTAAGAAGATTACCAAAATACACTGACTGGAATAAACAATTGGGTATATAATCCGAAAACCAAAAATGAACCATATAGTTAGAAGGAGAATCATTTTCTGAAAATTGATGAAAAATAAAAAAAACTCGTCTAAAGCTCGTGCTCTTTTTCTGCACCATTTCAGGACAGCTGGCTCCAATAAACAAGATCCCTTTATGAGAGAGCCATTTGGGAGAGGTACAAACAGCTTCTCTGCACCATTTCGATTCGGCCTTTTAATGCTGATAACATATCGTTCGACAATAACATCTTTCATAAAACGGAAATGAAATAAGTCCGAAAGTTGATTAATTCCAAATAATAAGAAAAATTTAAACAAAATGTAAATAAAAATTGAAAATAAAAAATAAAGCCATATTTCCCTAAAGATGCTAGTGAAAAGTTGAATTTAACCGTATATCATAAGTTTTGATTTTGATGATAGATTGCATCTGGTATTTCCATAAGTCACGTCAGCATAAATTCCTGCGTCAATATAATTTTTCGTCGAGACAGGATTGTCCTGCAAGATGCCCAACTTTGGCAATATTAGTTCAGTTAACCATTAAAACTCTCCAAAAATAAAGAAAATTCTTATTTCCTCTCTACAAAAAACTAAGCAAAGAAAGATTTCCTAATGGTAAAGAAAAAGATATAGAAACTATTTAAATTACAATACAATATTACAAGATTATGGGCAAATGCTATAAAAATTTTGGTACTTCGCATGAATAATGGACATGAAGGCCATCAATAATTTGAATCGTTGTGGGCAGTGATTCTAATAAGTTGTTCACCTGTTCCAGTATTGTCGTCTCGATTGACTGACACATCTTAATAATATGAGGAATAAAGAGAATAAAATGGATATCTGTGGCTTTATTTATTCTCATTAATCTTATGAGCCAAATATTGGCTTTATTTTATATGTGAATGGTCCGATCTTTGAAACATACCTGTTCATGGACAATTTTTTTAACTAATATGGATATTTGTGGCCTAAATAAATCAACAATCCATGGAATTACACCACCTCCAATATTTATTTCGAGATCTTCGATTTCGATTGAGCATTGATCAATTTGGATTTGAGGATGTTTCTCATATACGTAAAAATCAGCTTGAAGAATAGAGCGAATATCTTTACCATTAGCGATTACATAACCAGACAAATAGATCTAAAAAAAGCATCTTATTCCAAGGAAAAGAACAAGAAATTTATGAGTTTGGCCTAATAAAAGATTTATTTAATTAATTACCTAAGAAATTTATTATTATTTAAGGCCTTATTATTTAAGCCTTTAAGCTTTTTCAGTCAGCTACCAATTTTCAAGTTTTAAATAAGTAGAGAGACCAGTGGTATATTGCTTTGTCCAACGGATAGCATCATAGATGTTATTTCTGCTCTATATTATCCGAAGATATCCATTAAAAGTGACAGCTCGCGCTGATATACAATGGTTCTACTCACTGCTACATGTCTTTTGATATCTTTCTTTTAAAAATTTAAATGATGGTGACGATTCATTTGCATTTCTAACAACTATCCTACAAGCCAGTGGAACGAACTTAACCAAAAAAAGCCAATGAACTCTCTCGGAAAAAAAAAAGGCCAATGGAGCCAGTCAAAGCAGAAATGGTGAATGCTATTAGAAGAATAAGAAACCAACCGGTATTAGAATATCGTAAACTGCTTCCCAGTCACCGATAATCCGAAAAGAACCATTAACTGATTTCCATGCTATGCCATTCGGAGGAACGAGTTTAAACTGGAATTTTGGAGAATCAAACTGTTCCAATTTCATGTTCGTAATGTTAACGTAGCCCGAACCAGGTCCGCTTTCGATTGGTATTAATAAAGATGGAAAAGCGATATTTTTAATTTCGTAGTTCACCTTAAATCATTCTTTCATTCTTATCATTCTTATCATTCTTTCAGCAAACTTTCGCCTACTAGATTTACATAATAAATAACAGTGCCTAATGGTACTTAAATTTCTTAAATAAGAATAATACACAGTACCACGTGGTGGCTAATGTTGCTAAAAAATTTTAATCCCTCATTGGTTACACGAGACCGTAAAGTTGATTTCGCTTCGATAAATATTATAAAGAATGATAGGATTGTTATCAAATATTTACTAAAATCCATATGACAATTTCGGATGCGTCAAACACGATTTTTTTTAGTTTCGTTAACCAATCCTGCAAATTAGGAATTATGATAACGATGTAAGTAGTACAACCGCTAGATAGTCGAATAATTAAGTGAAGCAAGTGCTTACCATTTCTAGCTAAGCTAGCACCTTTAGCACGGTTAGAATTTCTGCTAAAAGGTCAGAGCACGGTCTTGGTAAAAAATTATAGTTGGATGGCAGGCACCATCGGGTTTCTTAATAGTGGATGATTTACCATTGTTTTTAGTGCAAAAACAAGTCAGTTAGTCAGTTATCTCGAAATTAAAAGAAAATAAAATATTTAAAAAGTTTCGATAAATTGAGGGATATTTTGGTGCTTTTCGGTTATATGGTGGGCAGCAAAAATGCTGGCAAGCGATCTGTTCCTCTTTTTTTTAAACTATGCACTTTTGTCCACTCAAAATAGCTATTTAAATGAAATATTACAGTTTAACTACATAGCGTTAGCATATTTCCGATATTTCCTCAAAACCTATCATATTTAACACTTCGATAAAACAGATAATAAAAATATTTCGATATTCTCTCCTAAAATATTCGAAAAAAAAACGCACATAAAATGTTTCAACAAAATGGAACAATTATAGTGTTAAATTTGCAGTGTAAACAGTGAATTAAAATTTCGGAAATTTTGTTTTATCGTTATCACTTATCAGTAACATTATCAGTAATTTATCAAAGCAGAGGCTATCAGTTTTTTATCACTGAATAATAAAAAGATTTTTTAAGAAATAGCACGAAGCAAACAATACGCATTGCATACACACAAATAAATGCACTCATCTGCAGCAGAATAATTAATGATAAATCTCACTTGGCAGAATAGCAAAACGCTTAGAACGAAGAGATTAATCCGTAGATGACATTCCAATGTCAACAGCGACTCGATTTACCATTATTGCATTCATCGGATTTCCATCGTTCCATTAGAATTTCAATATTTCAGTAATTCAGAATTTCACTAATATAATTTGAAAATTAAAGTGAAAAGAGTAGTAAAAATTCAAGCATAAAATTTAAATATTTAAATGAAGTAAAATTTTAAAATTAATAAATATTTTACACAGATAAATGGAAGAATTTGTGGAGAAAGCCACGTCTTATAGTTTACATTTATGCCTAAATGCTACTTTGATTCGTCTAAAGGCAAACGATCATAGCGTCGAATTGTTTTCGCCATTTCGGGAGTAAAGCTGCCGGTGAAAACGAAATTTTGCTTGTGCTGGAGGGGTCGCATCCGTACTTCTTTCTATCTCCAAGAATGAACTATAGAAAACTTTTAATTTACATCATTTGTTCCGATTTTAGCGATTTGAACTTAGAATTTATGGGGCTCAAGTAAAGGAAGTAAAAAAATCTTTCTTTCATATGAAGTTTTAAAATTAAATGAAAATAAAATGAAAATAAACGACGATTTATTGGAGTGAAATTGAGAGAAAAACGTACATAATTGATATGGCAACGTTAAATTAAACTTTTGATTGATGTGTTAGCGATGATTAGTGATAACTTTAGAATTAGTGATAGTGAGAACTTTGACTTTGTTTCTCTCAGTTTTAACTGAATTCTTTTATTTTTCAAGATCACTCATTGCTCACTCATTGCTCATATTGCTGGTTAAAATTGCTCCGCTGGATTATCGGATCAAATAGACAAATATGACCAGGAAGTCCCTTGGCGATAAAAATACAGGTGAGTCGCCAGTATCACCGGGATTTTCGAATAGCTCTACTCCTGCGAAAAGTACTTCAGCATCTGTGCTCAGAGTTGAGCAGCAATGCTCTATCTCGCTGGCTTTCTCCGTTAGGCGACACTGCAGCCCAACGAAGCGTGGTGGGTCGGGAGAATTCCTAAGCCTCGATTTTCGTTGATATGAGCACATTTATACTGCATTCTCGCGCCATTATATTGTTGATTATTTGGTGAAGCGAATTGATTTGTCGGTGAATGATCCGATGGTTTCGAAATATTGCTAACGATTACAAAAGGTTAAAAAAAGATTTCAGATTTCCAGATCTCTAATAAATTTAAATCATAAAAATTTTAAGTAAATCTTTCAGAATTTTAATTTAATCTTAAGCCACAGCCTTGACAGCGCCTGCGATAAGATTTCTTTCTGAATGTTTTCCAATTAATGAATATTTTAACATTTTTAACATTTTATAATATGTATAACGGCAGTGCTTTGCTTAAATCTTCTAAATGAATAAATAATAATTTATCAGCAAATGATGCACAAAGTCGCTCCAAATTCGTTAAAATGATATTTCAATATTTATAATTTATTTATTTATTTCAAAAAAAAGCAATAAAAGTATTAAATTTTTATGAAGTGAAAATTAAATTCAACAATTTATTACAAAAAATTACCTAAAAATAGAATTGAATTGAAAAATTCTTTCAAAATTTTTAAAAAAATGATATTTCTGCCTAGATAGTTTCGCGGACATTTATACTTATGTCCAGAATTGATTCCTTGATGCAAAGATCTGATCTCATCTTAACAGTGAATGAAAAGTGATGTTGTTAGAGGAAGATGAAAACATATTACATTATATATTACATAATTCATATTGTTCTCAGCTATTAATTATTTTCAAGTAGAAAAACGATAGTAAAAAATCACCCAAAAATCCTAAAATATTGAAAAAAACTATTCTATATTCTGCATCGAACTCAGTTTCTTCTAATAGCTCATTTGAAACTCATGATGGTATCAGCAATGATTTCAACTGATTGATATATTTCTTTTTCGGAGATCACAAGTGGTGGTGCAAAGCGAATTTTATCACCGTGCGTATTCTTGGCTAATAAACCATTCTTTGCAAGTTGTAAACACACTTTCCAAGCGTCAATTTCTGCAAATTTCACCAAAAAAATAAATGCAATGTAAGTATATATTCTTTTTCATGCTCTTTTTAAATACGTACTCTTTTTCGTAAAAGTTTTTTATGGAATTAAAAAAGAAAAGGTCGCTTCCACTTCTATCCATAAATAGCACTTTGGTGAAAGGACTTTACTAATGGCCAATAAAGCGAGCCTAATAAGGGATGGTGGAATAAAAAATATTACTTGGATTGATCACGATCGCGCAAAGAAGGCCCTTTCCTCTAACTGTATTAACGACATCTTTTGGCAATTTCTTCAGCTCGTCCATCAGTATTTTGCCCATTTTTGCAGCATTTTCTGGTAATCGTTCTTCCATTATAATCTAAAAAAAGAAGTTTTTAATTTAATTTATTTTTTTTAATTTTTTTTTGATTCATTCTCACCTATCTACGAATGGTGAATGGGGTGACACGACAATTTATAAAAACCCCTTTGTTATCTCAATTGGTAAATTTAAAAATCACCTTCAGGGCTTCGATAGCAATTTTACAAGCAAGTGGATTACCACCATATGTTGAACCATGTTGTCCTGGTTTAATGTTTAACATAATGTGGTCGTCACACAGTACAGCAGATACCTTAATTTAAAGAATTTCAATTAAGAGTCTTGATAATTTTCAGCTATTTTCGACAGTTAGTATCTCATCTCAAACAGTTAGTATCTCTCTCTCTCAATTTAAATTTAAAACAACCAAATTTATAAAATTCCATAAAAGTTTTCATTAACCAATATTTTTCTAAAAAAGTGGCAATCATTTACGCCATGCGATATTCGAAGAAATTGAAATCGAAAAAAAACGTTGAAAAATTAGATAAAATTAGATAAAATTAGAAGATAATTAGAATTAAAAAATAAACTGGTAATCATAAGCCAACAAAATGCGCTGAACAATATAAGACAAATTTTTAAAAAAATGAAACCGGATAAGTTCCACCAGAAAGTGCTTTGCCAAGAGTAACCAAATCGGGACGGATATCGTCGTGGTGTGAACAAAGCATCCTGCAAATCGAGCCATATGAACAAAAATATTTTTTTTATTAGCTACTTTTTTGCTGGGATCGCGCCACTTGCCAATAACAAGACGAAACCTCTATCGCCAGAGAGTTACTTTGGAATGCACCCAACACCCACTGCTAAATTAATGAAATCATAAAATAGTTTCTGAACTCATTTTAATAACTCATTATGTTAGCATTGTAATTTGCAATAATATATAAAGTGAAAATTATCAAACTTCCCAGTTCGTCCTAAGCCAGTTTGCACTTCATCAGCGATAAATAGAACATTATATCGGGTACACAAATCGCGAACGCCTTTCATATAGCCGGCACTTGGTATGACGACACCAGCTTCACCTTGAATTGGTTCAACCATAAAAGCAGCCGTGTTTGGATCACTTATGGCTTTCTATAACTAAATACTTCCAATAAACGAGCAAAGTTCCTTTATGAATATTTCTTAAATAAAATTTTTTTTGATAAAAATAATTAAATTGGCTTGGTTATAACTTAAATGGACAAATTAAAATTGAAAACAACGATAAAAAAATTTTAAAAATAAAATTTTTTTATTTAAATTCGAATAAAGCATTAATTAAATGGATAGGTCACTATACTATTATCAACTAATAGCGAAATGTAAGCAATAAAGATGAATAATTACAATCAAATTAAAAAAATTGCCATTTATTCAACAAATCTTAAAGGAAACCTCTAAAGCTTCAAGGTTATCGTAAGGAACAGTTTCAATGCCAGGAAGAAAAGGACCAAATCCCCCATAACTTTCAGCGTCAGTTGAAGAAGATACTGCTGCAACACTACGTCCCCAAAAGTTATCTTTAGCCATCACCATTTTCGCTTTATTATTAGCAATCTTTTTTACATCATATGCCCAACGTCGAGCAAGTTTGAAGGCAGATTCACAAGCCTCAACTCCTGAAAAATGAAATTGTTGTAAATTTATAAGATTGTTTAGACTGCCTTCTCCTCCAGTAATCATCATTTCAGGCTGGTTGCACTGGCTCTAAGGAGTACGTTTCTTCGCTGGAGGATAATACGTGGTAATAGAAGTGTAAATTGATTCCTATCAATACTCGGGAATGTATTATTCTACAAATTGTTGGTTCACAACTATTGAAAAAATTATTCATAATTAATAAATTTTACCTGAGTTCATGGGCAAAACTTTATCATAAGAAAAAATTTTTGTGATAAATTCTTCATATTCACCCAAAACATTATTGTAAAATGCTCTCGATGTTAATGTTAATATGTCAACCTGTTCTTTAATCACCTAAAAAATTAAATAAGCAAATTATAGCCACTAAGCAAGACTTTTTTTTCTAGGAACACTCACCATTTCTGGTCAGACTAGACAAATTTTGTCAAGGAATAACGGCAGAAGTACAAGTAAATTGCCGTTCTTACTAAAAATTTTTGAAATATTTTTAAATTCTGCTAGAAGTAGATCTCCAATATCGGGAAACAAGAGTAAAAATCACTCAGCACTCCACCCCAAGGCTATTTTTCAAAGCCATAATTGCTAGATAATTATAATTTTTGACTGAATGAAAGTAGATTTGTTTTTATTTGAAAATAAAATTATCATTTATTATTTCAATAATTATAATAAGTTGTAATTAATTATTTTGAAATAATGCTTGCGTTATGGAAGTGAAAAATATAAATGAAACATTAGCCAAACGTGGATGACAATGTCCTTGATTAATAGCCGAATACGCGGACAGAAAATCGAAATATTCTTTTCCGTCGATATCCCATACCTTCGTCCCTTAAAAATATAAAAGATACAAATGAAGCATTTATTAAATTCGAAGGATAAATTAGAAAAACCGCAGATAGATTCTATTTTGCAATATCTAAGAAATAAAATTTTAATCTAAAATCACTCAGAATAATAGGATTAAAATTTTGTGAAAATATCCGTTAAAAAATATAACCTTTGCCTTTTGCAAGCACCACAGGAAGTGGTTTATAATTGTGGCAACCATATCTGAGTTCCCGGTCTATATAATCCTGTGAGCTTAAATAGCGACTAGTTTGAAGCGTTAACCGCACTGATGAACGAGACGAGAAAGCAATAAGCATATTTGACCACTTCATAGGTGCAATTCAGCGAAAAATGGTGAATTTTTTAAATTTCTACAAAAAATTGAAGGTATTTTATTTAAATATAGAAATAATGCAAAAAAATGAAACGGAACGAGAAAAAACGATATACTCTTTTGAAGTAAAATTTTTTTAAAAATTTATAACAACCATAACAGCTTTAATTATTTCTACTGGGAATAAACGAGTCATTAAAAATAAAATGAATTATTTCTAACCCCCTCACCCCACCCCAACCCTCTTCCCCCACCTGAACCTTTTAATTTTTCGGCGAAAGGATTCAATATTACATTAATATAATATATAGGGATAGAATGGCTCAGTGGGTTGTTGCTCAGTTCGGAGCGCTTGCTGAGGTTCGATTCCCCGCAGGAGTAAAACTGTCCAAAAATCCGGATAATGCTGTCGACTGACCTGTATTTCTATCGCCAATGGACTCTCTGGCATATTGCTCAATGTGACAAGCCAGTAGAGAGAGCTTAACCAGTAATGGTGATTAATAGATAAGGAAAAGTCTATCAATAAATTGTAACCATTTCCATTTGGAGATAAAATTAGTGATAAAATAAACGAATGAGTATCAAAAGAATATCGATAATTTTTTTTTATAAATTTATAGAACCTAAAAGTGCACAAATAGGTCAACCATTGTTTAACCATTTAAAATTATAATACCATCATCAATTTTTGGTGTTGGAACTGTAACATCATAAAACATTATCAGTTTTTCTCCAACACAATCTATGCTGTTTAGAAAAAGAAAAAGATAAGAGATAATATAGATAACATATAAAAGATTTGACGCATTTCGGATATAAATGGTACCAGAAACAATAAGTATTCAAATAAGGAAATAAGAAGAAAATGAATGTAATTTGATGGATTTGAGGTATTTTGAAGAAGAATTATAGTAAGAAAATACTTGTCGATTCGATGGAAAAAGATTAAGGAAAACTGAGAATTAAAGTAAAACGAAATTCGTCGAAATCTTTTGAATCCATTAACAATAAAAGTAGAAAAAAATTAACGTAATACTATATTAATAGTTATAAATGATAAATGATAAGGAAGCAGCAATTTAATTAAAATATGTGATAAAAAATCGAAGTGCAAAGATTGATCACTAATCACAATGTATTAACCTTTCTCCGAATAACATCAAAAATCACTCGCATTCCATTTGTAATGATAATTTTACTTACATAGGAAACAATGATTTGCTCTTATCTGAAATATTATATCGAATTATATTATTCGATTATCTCGTCTAATAAAATTATTCTTATTCTTATTAATTGTAATTAAATTGCTATTATGCCTTATTTTACTTCAACTGACACACGCTCCTCCTCGCACGCAGTTTGTTTCTCGCAAGTATGTCGCTTGCTATTGATTTGCTCACTATCCAGAAATTTTCTGGAATAAATCCACTCATTTAAGAAGCAAAGAAACAAAGTTCTGAATTGGTTTATTAGTAAATGTAAATGAGATAAAATTACCAAAAAATTCGTTACAATTCGATGAAAAATAAAAATTATTAAATTTGCACCATTGTATTGCCATTTTTGGTTGTATAAATATGTTAGTAAAATCTTGAGAAAATGGATTTATATTTATCTCAAATTATTCCTTGCAATTTGACAAAAAAATTCTGGCATTCTGACTAAAAAAAATCCATAATTACTTTTTTTCTTACTTTCATAAGAAAAAATAAATAAATTTTATCGACTTTTTTAGATATTAATTTATCTTTTATCACCAAGATGTGATGATAAATTTTAATGATATAGTGGAATAGATAAAATTTAGAATCGAAGGAGATTCACTTCGAATGAATCCCTAATGAAAATAGGTAAATTTATAAACGGATAAACGAATACAAATGGGACAAATCCGTCGCGATTAATGGACTAAGCTAGTGAAAAAAATTATGGAAAACGATGAGACATATGAGACTATTGATTGCTCGCAATAGACCGGATTATATTCTTTTTTGAGAAAGTCGAATCCACTTTTTTAAAAAGAATTTTTACGAAATTACAAATCTTAAGAATGGTGATTACATAGATGAAGCTTGAGTCATTTTATTTTTAAAACATCTTTAGAGAATAGAATGGCTTAAAAATTGCCTTTTAGTGATGTGAATGTTTATGGAAGCTGCCCGAAAATTCTAGTGATACTGGCCATCCCTCTGTACTTCTATCGTCAAGCAACTCTCTGGCATTTATCTGCTGCGATATGCCAGAGCAGCGAGTCTAGCCAGCGAGTCTAATAGTGAGTGCTCTTAAAAAAATATGTATAGAAAATGAATAAGGTAGTACCAACAGTAAAAGAAACCAAAATACCATATACGTGTTGTAATCGGAATAGAATGGTTCAGCGGGTGGTTGCTCTCCGCCGATGCTTGGGTTCTCTTCCCAGCTGGAGTAGACTTCAAGAATCTCTTTCTCTCGCAAATCCGTGCGGACCACCTGCGTTCCTTACCACCTAGTGACCTTCCGGCAGAATTCCTCCATGTTGAGCAAACTCTGCCAGAAATAATTCAACCTAACCAGAAATTGTTGAGAATTGAATGATGAGTGAGAGTGCTCTTAACAAACAATGGACTGAATAGGTTATTGAATTAATTGCTCCCTATAAAGGAGAATTCATTTGGTAAAATTCGTATTTGCTGTCGTCCATCATTTATTTTTCATAAATAATCATAGACATGCAAATCGAAAACGAATCAAATTTATTCCCTAAAAAACATAAAAAATAAAATAGTTTTGCAACACATTAATCGCAGAAATAAAAATAATTTTAAAGGAAATCAGAAAAAAAGTGGTTTAGAACTGAACACAATAGAACATATTTCCGTAATAAACGGTGGTACCACTTTTGTTTCAAAAATATTCTCTTCAACAAGTAAAAGTATAAATGATAATAATAATAATAATAATAGTCAATACAACATTTTTATAATAATTAAAATAAGCAAAATAATCATTAATTCATCGGAAAATGGCGAAATTTCACCGCCTTTCACTTATGATTTTATTTCATTTCACTTTTTTTCACTGAAAAATCAAAAAACAATGATCGATGAAAAATGTGTAAATTAAGAAAATACAATGAATGATTCGTTTAGTTTGACAACACAGAGTATAAAATTTTGTATTTTGTAGAAAGTTTAAAAATAATTTATTTGATATGAATATTTAAATAATCATTAATGAAAGTTTTTAAAAAATCCATCTTATAGCGAATGAAATTTCATCTTATTATTATTTTTCTAACATTTCTCACCATTACTGGTTAGGCTGGCTCCTCTGGCTACGAGGGACTCCAAGGTGCTCGGTCAGACGCCATCGCTAATAGTAATAGAAGCCATTCCTTTTTCGATCGTCTAAGTCCACATATTGCTAATTCACCTATACGTTCAAAATCTTTTTTGACCGTATCAGTCCAGGTCCTAATTGGCCCATCTCACTACCTATCACATGGTTTAGCAAGTAACGAAATCTGTGTCAATTTCTGTGGTGGACGACGTTAATCTTTTCTGACTATATCAGTCCAGGTCTTGATTGGCCCTCCTTGCTTTTGGCGCCACCCATCATAGGGTTACGAAATATATGTCAACTCAACTCTTGTGGTGGACGACGGAACACGTGCCCTAACCAGCGAAGGCGACGCTTTGTGATGGAACTGCTGGAAGAATGCATTTCTAGCTGCGTTATCCGGGTGGTAGTTTCGTTTTTTGCCTAGCCATTTGATATTAGAATAGATTCAAGGTATTTAAAATCGGGCATCTTCTCAATGAGTTGACAAAAATGGGTGTTTTATCAAAAAAGCTTTCATTGATTTTGAGCACAATTCTCACTGCAATTGTTGACAGTTATTGACATTGTTAGCACCATTTCCATTTCCTCATAACTGTCAGTAAAAAGAACTACATCTTCAGCACATTCGAAGTTATGCTCTGGATTAATTTACATACCTCTTGCCCGACAAATGGTGTCCATTATCCTATCCCATAATTAAACATTGTAGCGGAAAGGAGGCAGCCCAGATGGACACCAGTTCTTATTTCGAAGGAGTCTGTCATTTCCGCACAACGAAAATGTCCAGTAGGTTGATTCCTCGGTCGCAGTACGTCCTGTTACCTTTCTTAAGAATTGGAGGTAGAATTGCTTTGCTCCAGTCTTCTGGTATTATATCCGTTTGCTTTAGCAGAGAGTACATTTATTGAAGGTGAGTTATAATGATGGACAACAATTGAAGACAACTTCTTCCAGAGTTTTATTGGCCTTAAGCTTATGAATAATAAAGATTTCTTCACTTGGCGGTTCTCAATTGTATAGTCGATGAACGTATCAGCTATGTCCGGAGTAACAGATGGCGCATCATGGTTAAGTTTGGCCCCAAAAAATTCTTTTCATCTTATAAAGCGATTCTTAATAGCCTTAATAGGCTCCATCAATATCCAGTATCATTTTATTGTTATAGTTATAGTTGCTTTGTGAAGAAAGTGAAATAGTTTCCTATTATCACCTGATCGACCCGACGTCTCCATTCTCAAGACCATATCAGTCGATAGTCAGGATTTCCTGATATTCGTGCTTTGGCAGTTTTCAGACAGTTGAACAATTGTTTCCAACTAGTCCATTTTCTACTAATATATCCTATTATAGAAGTGGCTGATTTTCGTGAACAAATCTTGGGGCCAGTATTCATCTGCCGAAATTTCATTGACATCAGTGATATTTCACTGAATTTTAAAAATTCGGTTTGAAATGCACATATTCACGGATCTTTTAATTTGAGATAAAGATCTTGAGGATTGTTTCTTTTGACTTATCAGTTTTTGCTCGAACCTCAACATGGTCTGATCCATGATGGTTACCAGTTTCAACACCCCGATAAGAATGACTATCAATTACAGAACTCTTCCAGCTCTGATTGACCAATATATAGCCAATCTGGCTGGAATATTTGTTGTCCGGAGAGTTCCATAAGACTAAATATTTTCTCCGATGCCGAAAGCATGAAAATTTGTAGCAAAGAGTTCATATTCTTGCTCTTCATCAAAACGAAGGTGTTCTCCATTGGCGCACTGGATCATGATGCCATATTTGTCAATTACTGAATTCATCGTAATTCCATCATAACGACGCGTGCATTCCAGTCTCCCCCATTATGGCCATGTCATCTCTGGGTAGAGAAGTTGAACTCCGCATAGAACTTATTCTTACTGGTTTCATTTACTGGTTTCCACTCAATTAGAACGGATCGAGATATGACAATCGCTATGCCATTTTGCCTCGAGTTGTCCGAGACACCACTGTGATATAGCCAATATCTTTCTCGGAACCAGGTTTAATAATTACTCGAGAGCTCACGAATTTCCTACAAACATCTACGCACAGAGAGGGTGTGAACTGTGATCGCAACATCCACAAGCGTTCTGAGGTTCTAAGCAGCTATAGCGAGCACCTCACCGCGCTTAAAAGGTGTTAACGGATAGGTTCCCGTTTCTCTTGACGGATTTTGAGTACTTATCTCGGTTCGCGCGCAAATTGTATGTTTATGCCTTGGAATTTTATTATTATTATTATTACGCCTGGATTTATCGTATGTACCGGGTCAGAATTAGCATGCGCATCAGGAGACGCGGACGTCGCGTAAAGAGACTTGACCTTTTCATCGCAGATTCATTTGGGGATAGAGATACAGGTGGGTCTCCAGCAGCCACCCGGATTATTTTTTACACCATGACAGGTTTAATCCTGCCAAAGATAGAGAATAGAGATAATTAAAATTAAATTTGAAAGGAAAAATTTAATTTAAGGAAAAAGGAAAAATTTAATTTAAAGAATTTTTCTAAGATGGAAAGAAAAAAGAAAAAAACTTACTTTATTAATTGTTTTCAAATGCAAAAGAAATATTAAACATTGGTACTAGCCAATTTTCACTATAGTACAAAGCAATAGGAATTCTTAGGTGTTTCACGCTAAAAAGAACCATTGACCCAAATTTCCCAACTATCCCGTTAATTTATGCCTTCCAACTGCATCGTTTATAAATTTTACAAAATTTTATTTTGCAATTCGAATTTATATTCGAATAGCTTCCACATATTGAGGTAGAATGGCTCAGTGGGTTGTTGCTCAATTCGGAGAGTCGATGCTGAGGTTCGATTCCCCGCAGGAGTAAACCTGCGCAAAAGCCCGGGTGATGGTGGCGACTCACCTGTACTTCTATCGGCAAAGGATTCCCTATTTGTCCAATGTGACAAGCTAGCGGAGCGAGTAACCAGCAATGGTGAGGACTCTTAAAGAAAAGGAAGCTTCCACACATTATCCTTCATTCTTTATGGGATTCGCCATTTCCTATTTCTTATTTTCTATTACGCATCAGAGAAATTTTATTCATTTCAATATTCTAGTCCATAAACCCGAATTTAAAGCGATATTTAGCTTCTAAGTTCTGCAAATTTAAAATATTATACTGAGCGGATTGATTGACTCTTCCTCCGTTACTGTAGCAGGCATAAGGTATTTCGTTGTGAAGGAATTGGAAGGTTTGCTGAGGGAGAGGATTATAAAAGATAGGAACTAAATCTAAATATGGGACGTATTTGTCGAGTGGTACCAAAAGAGTGAGATTTTTTATTCAAATATATCCTTTTTCTTTTTATTATTTTTCAGTTTTTTTAGTAGTTCTTTTAGTTTAAAATTTTGTCAGTCCAAAATAAAATTTTTAAATCTGTTTTTCATTGAGGTATTTTTTGCATTTTTCTCATTAGAATTCACTGCAAGCTGGAAAAAAGTAAGGTAATCGCTTTAATTGTCGTGTTACTTCCATCTTAACTGGTGCGGCGCCAGGTTCAGTTCTTGGTGGGAAAGTGGCACGTTAGCACAAGGAAAGCCTGGAAGAGGACACATTTGAGGATCAGGAGAAGAGGGCGAGTAAAGAGTCTGAACTGGAAGACAATTTACCGGTGAATAGTTGTATGAAAGTGGGCGAGGATAAGAGATGGAGTTGCTGCGTGAATTATTGGTAAATTAATATAGTTATTAATGTTGTGACGGAAAAAGAAAGGAAAGAAAAGGAGAAAAGTAATTATAAAACAGCAAACGTGCCTTATCAGCTAAGATGAAAGTACCACAGTGGTTAACTGGTTAAGTTAGGAAGTTTCTAAATTATTTTTTGTAATTTAAAGAGAATTCTTTCATTAATTTGCATTTGATATTATTAGATTGGGAAGTCCGATATTATAGTGGAAAAATAGTTTTTTTTTTGCTTCATGTTTTTAAATCATTTTAAATTTCTTTTCTCTAAAAAAACAAACTAATAGCTTATTTGAAAATAAAGTATAAATTTTTAAAATGTTAATTTTTAAAATATATTTTATTAAGTATATATTAAACATGTAATTTTCAGCAGCCAACAGGTTTCCTTTTCTTTTTTGATTTTCTTTTATAATTTTTGTAGAAAATAATTTGAGTTTTATTGATGGCGATAAGATTTTGAAAAATAGAAATTTATTTCATTCCTCATTTAGTTACATTAATTTCATTTTATTTTGAATTGTTACCCTACAGTTATAAGAATTTTTTTTCAAATTTTTCTGTAAACAATTTTGCGTCGCTTTATCTGTATTATTTTTCAAATTTTTATATTCTTAATCTGGTCACTTTCGGCGAATTTAATCCATTTTATTTATATACTTTTATGTATATGCTGTATAAAATAGATAATGCATCATTTTAGGGGTTTTTATGTCTGAAGCATCTGGAAAAAATTCATTTTTTTTTATTTTCAGATGGACACGTTACGATGCGATCAGCAGCGTCATTCCCAATACTCGTTTTTTGGTCTTCAAAACACCTTTAAATTTAAGGCTGTCGACAAAAATACCGAAAGAAAAGCATTTTACTCTTATCAATCTGTATCATAAAGTAAATATTTTGATAGCTGTTTGTCTAATTTTGATTCAGTAGTAATTTTATGGCAAAAGTATTTAAATCGATGGTATTTTGTATGATTTTTATTTTTTTTGTAAAATTTAGAATATAGAACTTTTTATAAAATATTTCTAATATTTTATGGAATTCGACTTTTTTTCATTGGCATATTTAATTTAATTTAAGGTCGCAGAGATGGGAGTTTCATTGGGACTTATTATTGACTTGACAGATACTGATCGCTATTATGATCGATCAGATGTTGATGGAATGTTCATTGAATATGAAAAGATAAATTGTCCTGGTCGAGGATTTCTTGATCGAGATGACCTTGTTGAATCATTTATCACTGCTGTCGATAATTTTCTATACAGCAATTCAGAAAATGGTCGTTACTTATTTTGTTAATTTCATATTCATTTCTTGCTTTCATATCTCTCATTTTTTATTTTATATTGAATTTTTATTGAGGGCTTAATTTATATTCTAGAAACACTCATTGGAGTTCATTGTACAAATGGCGTTAATAGAAGTGGATATTTAATTTGTCGTTTTCTCGTGGATCGTTTAGGATGGTCATCTCATGAAGCTATTGATGGTAAGATGAAAGCCTTTTAAGTTAATTACATGGGTTATGAGTTATGGGTTATGGGTTATTATATTTATCTTGTAGCATTCGAAAGAGCTCGTGGCTATCAGATTGGGCGCGGATCATACGTTCAAGCCATACATCGTGCTGCCAAAGAGCGACGCTTTAAAAAGTTCATTTTTTTTTCATTTTGATTTCCATAATGTTTTAATAATAATAACACTTATAACACTTATTGCACTGGCATATTGCTGAAATGGCATGAAATAATTTAGACTTAGACTCATGCTAAATTCAAACTTGGATTTATATTTATTTTATTTTATTGTATTTATTTAATTTCTGTATTTATTTCTTTATATTTATCGTTAAAATCGATATATTTATTCCTTGAATAGCCAGTATTCTTATTCTTAGATTTGATTTAAGAGATAAATATTTAAATAAATAAATAAAAATAAATATTTTCAAGACGCCACAGGCATAATGAAGAAATGGTGTCTAGCGAAGAATCTGAGACTCGCCAGTCACATAAACGAGACAAGCATAAAAAGAGACGCAAAATTGAAATGGATGAAGGAATAGAACCGGATATGGAAGCCATTTTCAATAGCATGGCTTTAGCATTTGAAGTTCTTTTATTCATTCTATTATATGATTTCATTATTTGAATATTTTCCCTTTTGAAGGTTAATTTCATTTTTTTTTCATTCCTGACTACCACTTAAAAGTTGTGATCCCTCATAAAAATTTGATTGTTCTGAACATTAGGTCATTGCTAATGATGTCTATTAATTTCACTTTTTGTTTTTTCAGCAACACGAATCAGTATTTGATGACGAAGCCCCAAGTTCTTATGAAAATCAAGTGACTTCCATGCCACAGTTGCCAGCATCACAAAGTTCATCACATTTGTCCACAGACAACAGTCCATTCATAGGCAGTAGTGGAACTGCTGAACAAGAAGAAGACGAGGAAGACGAAACGATGATTGGTGAAAAAGTTAGTTCAATAAATAAACTTTTTTTTTAAAAATTCTTATTTTGTTATTCATTCATTGTTGTATTTTAAAGTTCGGCTGCATGGTGCTTTTAAATTAATTGACTTAAGTTTGAATATTTTCCAGGATGGTGGAGGAGAAGAAAACGATATAGATGCATCAAGATCTAAAAAGAGGCGTGAAAGGAGGCAGCGACTGCAAAAACAGTTTGACTTGATGAAAACGGGCAATTTTTGGAAGATTAATGAAATGCAAAAGGAAAAATTTATTGGAAAATGACTTATTATCAGAAATATGAATAGGAGTTTGAATAAGGACATTTTTTTTGTCGATCCATGTTTATTTAGTTTATACCATTTTATATTTGCCTTTTTCATTAATGGATAACTTAATATTGGAAATTTTTTGGAAAATCTTGTCATCCGTCATCTTATAGTGTTCAATGAACATTGATATACCTAATAATTTATTTTGAGCCTATAAAGTTTTCTATTTTTAATATTATATATTTTTTCATTTCTTTTATTCACTTTAAATTACATTTAAACATATATGTTAAAAATCTAAGCATTAATTATAGGTTTATCGGTTATTCCTAAATTGTTCGAAAAAGATTGAGTTTTGCTCTTTATTGAATGTTGATAATTTTTATTAATTTTTCAAATATATATTCATATCTGTTTAATTGCTATGTTATGAATTCTTGACGAAATAAAAAAATTAAAGTAATGAATAAAATTTTTCAAGAATAAACAAATTAACCCATATACAAGGGTAAATTTTTTTAAAAGAGTAATTCTAGTCTAGCATATGTTTCGAACATAAGCTATAAAATAAGGTTTAAAGCAGTGTGCATGGAGATTTGGAAAAAATGGCGAGAAACGAGCTCATACGTATAACCCTTATAGCCATTCTAACTTAATTCACGGTATTGATCAGCTTTTGAATTTGTAGAATGCAAAACGCAGCGCAAAGAGCATTCATCGTATTAAAAGCTTAGATTTTGACTTATGAAGTTAATTTTTTTGTTAGGTCTTATGGAAAATGATTTGCAATGATATCGGAGGGGGACGTTGAGTGGCGATCAGCAGATTTGATCGGCGATACGATAAAAAATCATCGGTTACCGTTGAAAGTTGGTTCTCTTCTGGCATTTTTGAGTGATATTTGTAGTATCATAGAAGATATTCATGGCGTAATTCGTCGCCAAACTCAGAAATATTACAATTGGTGAGGTTCTCAATAAATGCGAATTTTATCTCGAATTTAAGGTTCATCAAGCGCTTTGGAATCCAAACATTGATTTGCTTGCCTTAGCGTCGCAAAATGGTGACATTTATGTTCGTCGATTGCATTTAAAGCCAGGGTGGAAGGTCATAAACTTTTTTTTTGAAATTTGCCCAATTTTTTTTGCCTTTCAGCATTTAAATTACTCAAATTACCTTTTGGACATAAAATTTCAATTTAATTGGATAATTGGATTTTTTATACTTTTATTTTTATAGTTAAATCATTCTAGATCATTAAATTAAATATTAAATTTGTTTAGAAAAATGTTCTTGACATTAAATCGATTCTAGTTGATGATAATCAGCCAAATGGTGATAACCGATTGCAAGCGATTTGTTGGAATCCAGACGGAAAGGTGAGAGTTGGAATGTGCTTATCCTGACCGATAACCGATTTCCTAACCGATAAACTGATTTTAATTTTTATTTTATTAGGTGTTAGCTGCTGCTTTGCGCAATGGTCTCATTCATCTTTTGGATACTGAAAAAGGATTAGTACGATTCACTGTTAGGTATTCGTTTTATTCGCTTAATTTTCCAGATTAAAATATTACTCTAATAGTACTCTAATAAATATTTCTTAAAAACAAAATTTTATACATATTATAAAAATTATATTATAAAAATTAAATACATAAAGTGAGAAAAATCTATTCATTGCCTAAAAGAAAATCACTGATCACAAAATTATTGAAAATGTAGTTAATAATTTATAAAATTAATGAAGAAATGAAATATAAAGGAAATATTTAAATTAAGGCTGTGCTGCACTACCCGCTCCATTCGTTGGCAAAAATTGTCGGCAGATAATGTGGCTGATAATGTTTTAGAAAATCTTGAAGCATCAGTAGTTGTACGTGATTACAATACTATTTAGATTTGGATCTGATTTTTTTCGAATTATTTTATTTTACTTGCTTTAATAAATGTATTTTTTGGAAATAGGGGAATTTAGTGAAAGAAAATGAAAAAATAAATATTCCGAAATTCTTTAAAATAAATTAACAGCAGGTGAACAATCTACCAACTGTTAATAAGGATCAGTCGACAGAGAAAATTTGTGAAACAAATCAATCGACGAAATTAAAAGAATTCTGTGATAGCATCGCACCTATGAGTTTGCTTGGCACTCTTTTATTCGTAATCGACGAGGAAAATGCAATAACACTTTTGGCTGCTGGAATTTTGCCCATTGCTAAAATTGAACCTCCAGCGGAACACTTTGGTGCTTATTTTATTTTTTTATCGTAATGAAAGTGGAGTGAAGTTTTTTCGAAGATTTTTGGAAATAACTGAAATGACTGGAAATGAATTCGAAGCATTAGCTTAAGCTTAGATTAATTAATCGTTTCGATTGTTTTCAAGATTATAAAGATGAGTTTAAAAAAAATTTTTGAGAGGATAGGAAGAAATATGTAAGGCGTTATGTTCAAGTGAAAAGCGAATTGCAGCCGAAGTTATCTTATGAATTTGACAAGGAAAATGTGGCTAATCGAATCGAATTGGAATAGGGAGATTTGGAAAAAAAAGCGATTATTGTAATTTAAGATTTTTTTAGTCAATTGCGACCCCTATTCGATAGCGATTGGTGATTTGATGTATTCAAAACAAGAGCAATTGTTATTTGCAGTTTATACTTGCATGGGGCAAGCATCACCCCCAGGTACCTCTGTTTGCCTTTGCTTGCCTTTAACTTTCTTTTTTCGTACAATTTCTTATCTTTTTGTTTTATTATTTGCTTAGTTCTTCGCAACCACTTAAATGTTTGAAGCTGTTTAGCTTGCACATATGGCTATAATACTCAAGTTATTTCTTATAATATCGACAGTTTAGATTATTTCAAGGATGGTTTCATTTGGAAGATTGTACATAGGTCGGTTTCAAAAGCAGATTTTTTTAATTTCCCAGCTGATTATTAATTAATTAATGGTTATAATTAATAGTCTATCTAAGATTGATATTCTCGGATGTTGGCGACTCATTTCTAATTCCGTCTGTCAAAAAATTCCCTGGTATATTTATCTTAAGCCAGCAGAGTTAGTTTAACCAGTAATAGTGAGGGCCATTAAAGGTTGAAAAAAAGGATTAATATTCATTCATCTTCATTAGTTTTGGTGAAATGTTCAAATTTAGGTGGCTACAAATATTCTATGCACTATCTTATTTGTCTGAAACATTCAAGGAAATGAGCAGTGATTGGAAGGAGCTTTCTTGGGTAATGTTTGATATTGAACTGCTGGAAATAGATGGTTTCTTATTGCGTCTTATTTAAAATTGCAATTAATTCCAGTTATTCAATGATACGTTTGCCCTGTTGGATTCAGAAAAGACAGATGTCAATCTTGCTGATGTCTTCAGCAATTTGATGCTGAATGGCTATGCTACGCCAGGATGCGCACGTTTCTTACGTGATGGGCTTAAATCAGCTGAATGGAAGGAAAATTGTGAATGGGTTACTAAAGGATACGGGTAAACTTTGTTTAATCTAGAAATACTATAAAAACTATAATATTTAATAAATTTTTTTTGACTATGTTATTTTTCTTTAATATCTTAATTATTAATATTTTTTGATATTTTTAATACTTATATTTATTATTGTTTTTTATTTTATATTGTTGTTATAGGCGTTTAATTAAAATTGTTGGTGGTCCATTATCATCCGATGTTCAGTTACTTACTTATCATATCAGGCAATTTATCAATGAACTCACTTGTGGTGCGCATCAGAGGCAAATGTTCGTGTCATTCTCCTTTTCTAAATCATAGTTCTTTTTTAGTTCTTTTTTAAAATTTCTTTAAGTTATTCGTAACTATTACATATTATATTTTATGCAACCGGAAAAGCACAAAAAGTGCATTATCTAATACCAGTTTATTCTAAAGCGATCTAAGTAATATCAGTTAGAAAAAGGGCTAGTAATTTTATAATTTTTTTCATTTGTAGTTTTCGCTTATTGCCTTTGCGCATCTATGATATTGATATATATCCATATGGTGAATTTGCTGAGGAAAAAGAAGAGAATATTTGCTCTGAGCTGGATGATTTGAAAGTTGCTTCCAATTTGGTTGCTTTCAAATTAGCTGAATTAGAAGTTGTTGCCATTTCAAACAGGTATTATTTTTTATAATCGAAAATTGATTTACTTTTTAATTTATTCACTTTAAAATTTAATTGATTTAAAAAATATTATAAATTTGATTTGCGCTAATTTTTTAAAAACTTGCCATTATCGATACTTTATTTATCTGTTTTTTCATTTCTGGATCATTATTGTCCTTCAACTTGCTATTTATTATTCTCTAGGAATTTATTATGCTATTCTCTAGGAATTTTACCCATTATTTCAACCCTTTTTATTTCTTTCTTTTTTGGTTTATCATGTGGCTAATATTTAATCGAATATATTTTTCAACGTTTTTTGAAGGAGGGAACTCAGTCATTTTATTCGATGGATAAATTCTGTACAACCGCCATCCTCCATGAATAAGAATAAATCATCAGTTCCTGAAGTTAAAACATTTCTTCAGTTTGATGAAAACGAAGTATTCAAGGTATTTTCTTTTCTTTTTTAATCACTTTAATAACTGGAGAAATAAAATTAAACGGAAATTTCTTCATTCATTTTTTAATTTTTTTTTTTTATTCTCTGCAAATACTTATAATTTTTTGAATTTATTTATTCTATTCTTTATTTATTTATTTTATTTATTTATTCTTTTATTTATTCTTAAAGTTTTCTATTATCATTATTATCATTATATTTCATTTTATATCATGTCATTTGTATCATTATCATTATTATTATTTATTATTATATTTCAGTTCATTATGAAAACTTTTGGACCGCCAAAACATTGGGGAGATCACAGAGGTACTCATGAAGAGTTTCAGGTAATGCTTTTTTGTTATAACGGATTATTTTCTGATTTTTGCTTTCAGTTTTATATTATGTTTGTTAATCGATTAACCCATTGAAAAATACTAGCGTAAATAAGTTAAAATACTTTAGAAAAATGAATTAAGGAAGAAAAGAACGAAACAGAAATGTCACCAGAAATCTGCGTCAATGATAAGAATTCATCGACCATCGAGATTGATCAGGAGGAATCGAAAACAAGAATTATTAATTTCGATAGGGTATAATCTTCATTAATTGAAATTTTAGATATATGCGGCAAAATGCCCACAACTGAATTCATTTCATTTCATTTCAGGTTAAACAGTTTTTTGGTGAGAATGTAACCGATAGTCTTATTTACCATGCTGATTTAAAACATAATGGTTGGTCTTGTCCCGAGTTCGAACCCTTTATTTCTGGAGAATCTTCATCAAAGACTTTGGCTCAGTCTATCAAAGAATGTATAAAGATTTTTTCGTGTGTTCAAGAACACTTGCAAAAGAGATTTTCAAACACCGTCAAAGTCGTGCGTGTTGCTCATTATTTCTATTACTGCTGTCTAATGATTATTTTTCGTTGCTCAATTTATGATTAAATAGTAATATATTTAGTTTTTTTTTTTTAAAATACTGTTTTCATTCCATTTTTAGATTAAGTGCGTTCACCTTCAATCATATCAGAGCGAGGCTTTTGATAAGTTTTCTTTCTTTCCATTGTCCAAAGATCTGCACAGTTGTGATTTAGGCGGTATGGTTTGCTCACTAGTATAATAGATTTTAACAAGCTATTTTTAAACTAAATTCAGTTCTGATGAAAATCATGTTTTCTTGCTTATATATTCACATTTTTCTGTTTTAAGATAAGATAAAATTATATTCACTGAATACATATACTTTCAGTCTCATGCATAAGCGGTAATGGTCATAAACATTGCATTTATTCGGTGTTTGGAAATTTGATTTCATATGTAAATTATGCATTTGAACAAAAAAATGACAATTCACCAGTATTTTTTATCATTTTTACAAATTCATTCCCTCTTTATGGTATCATTTAAATGAATTTCTTCACAGGAATTTGCCATATTATAAAAATTTATTTAAATTTAATTTAATTTAAAATTTAAATTTATATTTAAAATTTTTAAATGTTCTTAACAAATTTAATTTATAGATTAATGCTGCAGTGATAAATGAAACAGAAGAAAATGAAATGGTAGAGTCTTTGAAAGTAGATGTGACATCTCCAAGTAAGTTTAAGTTTCATCAGTTTATATCAGTTTAAGTTTAACTTCTTGTTTATTCAATTTGATCGTTTCTGAGATTCTGAGATGAGTGATGAAAGAAATTTACCTAACCAAGGATTTAACTCGTCATATATTGTGAACAGAATCAGTTTATAAAATAGATTTGCCTATACCTATCAATAAATATTGTTCAGCTCGTCTTACGTTCTTATTAACATCGCCAAGTTGCATTATGGATCGTCGACTTGTACAGTTCTATTGGTACGGAAAAAATGTCTATTACGGTTTAATTCGAGTAAAAAAGCGAGAAAGAGAATTTACACGACTCATTAAAGGATCTCTTTATGATAAAATTATAGAAATTCATGAGGTGAAATTACAGTAATTCTATGTTTTATATTTACGAGATTTGCTCAGTTGTTCGACTTAATTAAATATTTCATCATTTTGCTTATACTTTAGGATTCATCGCAAATGGAGCCTCTTTCCTTCATAGAAATCTCCGCAAAGCACAAACTCGGGTTGACTTTATCTGAATGTCGTTCAAGGGTGAAACTGTTCAAAATCGATGAAAGAATGACACTGCATCAAGATGAAATAATGCCAGAAGTTCAAGATTCTGAAGGAAATCTAGGAACTTGTTCCGATGTAAGTCCTTATTTGAATGTTTTCTTTGGTTCGTTTGGTCCCTGTGATGCCTACAGGGAATCTTTTGATTTTTCGTTTTTATTTAATTTTCTATGATTCTGTGGTTTATGGGATTTTTAGGTCAGACCTGAGATACTGGCCTTGCTTAATATAGATGAAGATAGCGTTGATAATAAAATGGAACCAGGTCAGTTTTGTTTTTTGTTGCTATTTCGGCTTAAGGCTTAGATTTTCACTCCTTTGATGCGAGTAAACTATCATTAAAAACAAAATGCGAATTTTGAAATTCTCATGATGCAAGAAATTATTTTAAAATATATTTTAAGATATTTTCACCGCTCCGTTGGCTGTGGAAACTTCGTCAAAAAAGATCGCTAGAAAAAGGAAACCTACGTGATTCACACTGATGGATATCTTTGTTGTTTTTTTCTGATGAATTTTCTAACTTTTATAATTTTATGCATTAAATATTGCATAAGTTGCACAGATTATTGGAAAACTTTTCATTTATGAAATTTTAAAGTTTTATCTGAAAAAAATATTATACAAAATAAATATTAAATACAACAATATATTTCTGAAGCCGCGTAAAACACAAAATAAACAATCGCGATTCGCGCGAAATGAGAAAAGTCGTATGGAACGGCCGCGGACTGCGTAAATGTGTTTCAACCCGGCAAATTTGAATCTAATCTCAGCATTTTTCATTTTTCTTACTTCCTGTGGGTTGTATTAGGTTAGAAATGGGGAACTATCATGTAGGAACGTTCTGCGAATTAGTTTCCATTAGTTTCTTGCTCGTGGTTCTTTGTCAAATGGGTCATTCGTGTTTGGATTAAAAATTAGAAATGGGAAAATGTGGCCGTTGGCTGGCGAGGGAAGGTGGAAGCACGCAGACCGGAAATGTGCTTGTTAAATGTAAATGTCATTTTGCTGGAGGCAATCCATTAGCCAATTTGCTAATTTCGCGTATTAATTTTAAATTCTCGCATTTAGATTTTTGCAGGAAAAGAATGGCCATGGAGGGCGTTAATATGCCTTGGGTTGAGAAGTATCGTCCCAGCAAATTGGCCGATCTTGTTTCGCATGAAGAAATCACTTCGACTGGTTAGTAAAATTAAAAATGCACGGATCCATAAGCGAATAATTTTACTATTTCGGCAGTTTTCGTGTTTCAGTTGACTTTCGAATATCCCTCTTCACACTTTTCATTTCTATTTTCCTTTCGTGCGTCACAATTGGAGTGAAGTAAAATTTAAAAGGTAGTTTAAAAGTACGGAAGTGGAGTAAGAGCGGAAAATTTTCGAAGCTATTTGCCTTAAGATCGCTTATAATTTTTTCGTTCTTAGCATTAACGAAATTGCCTGTTTATGAAGAATTTTAAACTAAATAGGGAATTATCAATGATATTTTCACTGCAGAAGAAATCGCCAACCCACCGTTAACTTATTGTAATAGTTTTAGTTTTCAGTTGTTTTCCAATTTTTGAAATTAATTTTATACATTTTTAAGGTTTAATATAATTGTTATAATTGTTATAAATACGCTTGGCTGTTGAATAAAATTTTTTTTAGAAAATCTAATGTTTTTTGTGAAAAAAAGAACGGAGAGATTTCGATTTTGCAGCTTTTAATTGAAAACAAATAGAGAATAGCAAATTGCTGATTAAATAATAGTTATTTATAGTATCAAAATTTGTTAGCGAGAACCGCTTGCCGCATTTGCTATTTTATGGTCCACCGGGAACGGGTAAAACGAGTACAATTTTGGCGGCAGCGAAATTAATGTACACTCCGAAGCAGATCGCTTCAATGGTGCTTGAAGTAAGTCTTATTTGAAATTATTAAATTGTGTCGAATGAAAAATTTTTAGGAAGTGAAATAAAATCGAAATATTTTCTTATTTCCTGTTTGTTTTTTTCATATTAAAAGGAATTGCTTTCATTAAAACATATAATAAATTTGCCGAATCTCCGCATTTATTTCTTGGAAAACGCAAATATTAATTTGCAATTTTAAAATTATATATTGTAAAATCATAAATCAAGAGGAATATTTGTGGGACTTATAATCTGTTGTCCTCAAGTTAGGCGTTTCATGGTAGAACATTAAAATTTTAAATTCTAGTTGAATGCTTCGGATGACCGCGGTATTGGCATTGTTCGTGAACAAATACTAAATTTCGCTCAAACTCGAACGCTTCATGCAGAAGAGAATGGCAGAAAGAATATAAAATTAATCATATTAGATGAAGCTGATGCAATGACAAAAGATGCTCAAAATGCCTTAAGGTTCGAAGTTCTCAATGATTATTTAATAATATTTAATAAAGATACAATTTTGACGATGATCGTGAATAAATAAAATGAAAATTCATCTGGGATTTCAGGCGAATTATTGAAAAATTCACCGAAAATGTTCGTTTTTGTATTGTTTGTAATTATTTATCAAAAATCATTCCCGCATTACAATCGAGATGCACACGATTTCGGTTCGCTCCACTTAAAAAGGTTCATTTTTCGTTCCGAAAAAATTTTTCACTTCTTTTACTTCTTTTTATTGCGCATAAGCCACTAGATTTGGTCTACAGCCTAAAAACGACAAAGAATTTTTTCAGGATCAAATCGTACCAAGGCTTCGTTTTATTGTGCAGTCTGAAAATTTAGAAATGACTCCAGATGGTGAAAAAGCTTTATTGAAACTAGCTGAAGGTGATATGAGAAGAGTCATCAATATTCTACAGGTTTTCTTTTTCTATGTTTTTCTTTATTTTTTTGATCAGTTTTCTATATCCAAATTTACCACAAGTTGTCACTAATAGTTGATATTTATCTGAAATTATATGCAACTAGACGCGAATTTATAATTTAATAGATCTTTTGGAAATCTTTTCAAACTATCAAATATTAATAAATTAATAAATTTTACATTAATAAGTAATAAGTAATAAATATGAGTAATGTTGTAGTTAAAATTGTATTATTTTTCATTTTTTGGAAATAATATTCTTTTGTTTTTTGTGGATGCGAAAATTTATGAGGATATCATCATTTAATACGCGATTCTTGCATATTTTTATTCGGTTTATATCGATTTATATTTATATTAATAAAGCTTTTAAGAGTACTGCAATGGCATTTTCAATTGTCAGTGAGAAAAATGTATACCAATGCGTTGGGCATCCAATACCCGACGAAATTGACGCAATAATCAAAATCCTTTTAAATGACACTTTCTACAACGCTTTCACAAGTATGGCTTTTTTGTAATTTATTTTCCCCTTATTAAATACCCATTTTCATTATTATGCCTTTGAAATTTAGAAAGTCCAATTTATTATTATTATATTTCTTTTTATTATTATATTATTATATTTTAGAAATTGAGAAAATATGTCGTGCACGTGCTTACGCTCTGTCGGATATTTTATGCGCAATGCATGACACTATTTTTCAACTGGAGGTGCCATCTGAAATAACAGTTTTGTTAATAAGTCAGATGGCGGAAATAGAATATCGACTTTCTCAGGGCTGTTCAGATTGTATTCAGCTATCTTCACTTATTGCCGTATTTCATGAAGCTAGAGAGAGAATTACAGAAATCGCACAATCACCTTAATTATTGGCACTTTTCCAGTTATAATTGTAACATAATTTTTTACATTTTTGATTAATAATAACTTGTTATTGTTATGCTATTGTTTATTGGCTTGGAAAAAATCTCGCATCAGTATTGACTTTTTTTTCTGAAATAAAAATGTTGTCAACGTTTAAAAAGTAGCCATAGGCGTGAAATTTGAAAAAAGAAATATATTCAACATTGGATGTTTCAAACCAACCATCTTTCAGTGATTCAGTGTTTTCATTTATTCGATAATTACATTAATAATAAAAATGGAGATAGAAAAAGAAAATATTAGTTAATATTCCTTTTTTTTATCCCTCATCTTCTTTGGTTCACTGCGCTGGCTTATCGGAGAGCTTTTGCTTGGAGGGAGTTAATTGGCGACAGAAGTGCCACATCAGGATTTTCCAAGGGCAGATTTGATAGCTTCACTCGTGCTTCAACATTGGTGGAATGAGCCGTAAGCCACTGACCCGTTGTGCTCTCCATGTTTTCGCACTCAAGCAATTCTTATAATCTCTCAGAGATATTATTTAAAGGTTCTTTTAAGGACAAAATTTAATTTCATCTGAAAATTTCTTGTTTTCAGGTATTGTTGACGTTTCGCGCTTTTTTTGTAAGATTACTTTCTTACTTTATAAATTTTAATGATATTCGCGATGGATGATTAAATGTATTGAGCGTTTGAAAAAGAAAAAAACGGAATTTTCTCAATAGATTAGAGGTATTCAGAAGATTCCATTTAGTCATATCCTCCTACATTTGAAGTGTTCGCTAATTTCGCCGATTCATAAAACTCTCAACTAGAAGGATTTTTATATAAATTCTGGTATGTCATATTCGACGATGTTTGCACGAAAAATCTTTTTGCTAATAGTTTAACTCATTGGTGAGGCAAGCAAAATTTCTGGCTGATTGTCTCTAATTTCGGATATTTATTAAAGAACTGAATTGAAAAATTTATTTAAAAATATCCTTAGGTGAATTGTGTACTTAATTTGGGCTGTCGATAATAGCGAAATGTCTATGGTGCAAATACCAAATTAATAAAAGGCTTCATGGCATGAATAAGTTGGTAGAAGTTAAACAGAGTGATTAGATAATTCTCGTCAGATTGGCTCCTTTGGCTTTAGCACGATAATTTGGCCGAACTAAATGGAATAAGCTATAATGCTCGCTATTTATTAAATTATGAACTATCTATAGTTTTACAATAAAAAGTTTTATTCAACAAATTTATGCTTAAATTATTATTCTTAATGTGGGAAAGTGTGATGCCTGAAATCATGATGGAAGCAACGTGATGTCGGAACCATAATAAAATTATGGGAGAAAATCTCGGTCTATTGAGATTGGGATTTAAGACTGGTTGAATTTTGCTATTTGGAAATAAATCTTGTCATCATCAGCATATTTCCTCTTCAATAAGCACTGATTGTTATTTGTTGGGCCTTATACGTTTTTACTCGTTCTACTACCGTTCCACTACCGTTTTCGAATCTTTCAGTTTGCTTGCTAAACGAAGACGTTTGTTTGAAAATTTAAATTTTGGAAAAATATTAAACAGACTGTAGTAATACATATAATTTGTCGAACTTTCAATCTGGCGATTAACATTAGCAAAAGAATTAATTTCAGGTGGGGAAGAATTCACAAAAATTACAAAAACGAAATTTTCTTAATTCATTGACTCATTTATTCAGCATATAAAGCAATGGTTAGCGGTAAGAAAATTTTTCTTCAGAAAAGATTTTTAATTATGATTTTTGCCGACTTTGAAAGCTATAAGCCGAGATTTTAAATAATCGAACATATTTACGATAAAAATTTTCTGTATTGTTTCAATTGCACAGAAGCGTTTGTAATGGTTCTCTGAGTTTGGTACAAAAATTTTAGGCGATGAAACTGTCGATGACGAATTGGAAGATTTAATACTGCATCTGGATTTCCAAAGTAATGCATTTCGAGAACTGGAAAAACTCCAATGTGAGCGTAAACTTGAACAAATCTGGAAAGTCGCTGCAAAGCATTCTGACAACGCACAACTTGTGGATTATATCAACCGATTTATAACCTTACAGGTTTCTTTTAATCAAAATTTGGCACTCAACGAAGAAGCAAAGAAGCAGTTACAGCTGGCGATAGAGAGAGAGAGCCATATGGCCATAGGCTCAATAATAATTTAAAAACCTGGCTCATTTATTGAAATTTAGTTTGTGGGTCCATTTTATGTGAAAGACCCATTTAAACAGATATGAACAAAAAAAAATGTGCTGTCCAAACTGAAATCATAAAATTAAAAATTCAATTACAAAGACTGAGAAAAAATTTTAAAATTTTAAAATTTTGAATTAAATTTAAATTTTGTAAAATTACAAATGATTTAAAGCAATCGAAATTTATTTATTTTCATAATTCGAAATTAATAAACTTTAATTAATTTAATCAATTTTAAATTTATTCATTTATTTATTTAAAAAATAACGTCATAAATGCTTATAAGTCAAATTTTAATTTTAATTAAACAATTTCATTTTTAATTTTACAACAATAATTACTATTCTTATTTTTATTATAATTATGAAATAATTTAAGGATCGATTAAATTCAGCAATAAATGCAATTGAAACGAATAATTTAAAAAAATTCAAAAATCTGGTCGATGATGAATTAATTGAAGCATGGAATTCTAAAGGTGATACGAAGAAACTTTCATTTCTTGAAATTGAAAAATTTTTTAAATAAAATAATTTAAAAATTACAATTATTGGAGAAAAAAATAAAAAATTTTTTAACGATAATTTGCGCAGAAAAAGGATTTTAAGGATTTTGCTTAATTCATATCGCCGTGCTCAAAGCACGTCATCGAATCGTCGAATGCATAGCAACGAATTATCCAAAAAGCATCGATATTAAAGATTCAGTTAGCTTTTTTTGAATAAATAATTATTAATATTCTCCAGAAAGATGCGATTTGCCGGCTTATCCGGAAAAATATATTTTTATGGGGAAACATAAGATGTTTGCATAAGGAATGAATTAATTTTCATTATTTAAGAGTTTTCATCAACTTATGTCTGAAATTTTTCATTTTCAGCGTGGATTCACTGCACTGTATTATGCGGCAGGCAAAAAGAATGGAATTTTTGATATTCTTGTTGAATATGGTGCTGGGATGAATGATACCAAGCCAAAGGTGATTTTTAAATGGATTTTCGGTGACTGCGGTGAAAAATAATTTTCATCATGGTGAAAAGTTTTTAATCTTTCGTAGTTGTTTATTTAGACGAAAACAAAAATGATATGAATTCAAGACCATTTATTTTATTTTATTTTAGCAATCGTTTATTTTTATTTTGCATTACCGATTTAATGTTGCATTTTTTTTAAACAAAATCTCATATTCTTTCTTCTTCTAACAACATCCAGCATTTTTAATTTAAGCGGTTGCATTGGCAATGGATTCTCTTCCTTAGCCACTGACTCCTTCGGGAATGATAAATAAGTAAGCACAAACGGTAAACGGTTAGCGTTCATAATTTCTGGTTAGATTCGCTCTATTTGCTGAGAAATTTTTGTCAGGTAATTACTTAGGAACAAGTAGGTCATCCGGATTGTAATTATAGTTTTTCTTCTATCGGAAGTGTAGAGCTCGAATCTCGAAGCTAGAGAGAATCTAAAGAAGAACCACTCGCATATTTTAAACCTTTCTGAAGAAAGAAGCACAGATGAGTTATCAGTTTATAAAGATTATATTTATGTTGCTTTAGAAAGAACTGGAAATAAATAACAGTGGAAGTGGACACAATTCTTCTCCAAATTTAAAACCTAAAGAAAGTAAATTTTCAAAGCTTCTAAAATTCTTACTATTTTAATCTGCTAATAATATTTTAGCTCGATTAAAAATTTACTAATTATGAGGACAAACAACCACTTTTCTCATATCTTTTAATTTTTTAATAATTTTATATCCTCTTCTCCTTATTTTGGCTTTTCTTCTTTATCTAAAAAAAAGTCCACTGTAGGTTCAAAAATTTTGGTGATAAGAAAAAATTACTCGGCTTTTATCACTAATCAGTTGTTAGCGAATAGTCTCACAAATATAAAAATTATAATTATATAATTTTAATTACTCTTTTATATTAATTAGTCTGAAATTGTATATTATCTTAATTATAAAATTTGATTGCCTCGATTCGAAGACAAATACCTTTGAGCATTAGGGTTCATGCTTTAGGGTACCACTTTTCCCAAACATATTACCGTATATTTTTTGTTCTGCTTATTTTCTCCTGGTAATAATATTTTAGCGTGATTAAGCTACGCGTATTTTCCAACAGTTTTATGAAGGAGGCATTTTCTTCTCGAAAAATCCTATAAATTTCTATTTGTTCATTTTTTATTCAAGTTTCATACTATATTATATAAATTTATTCTATAAATGATAAAACATATTTATATTTAAAAGGCATTAACAAAGCAGCGATATAGAAATGGAATGGTTGGCGTGCAAATTTCGAATAAATTTGTGAATAATTAAAATATTTATGTATATAAATGATTGATTTAATGATCGCTAACTTGTTATTATTAAAATTGGAAATAAGCGAATCCAGTGCGAATCGTGATTGATGAATTATTAAAAACAGTATCGTTGAATTAGCAAATGTCTGAATTCTTATATAAGCTAAGTTTCTTCAATAAGCTAAGCAATAAAGATAAAATATTTTTAACATATTTTCTATCGTATGTCGTCACAATCGACTAAGAAAAAGCGCAACTTACAATTGACTCGCATAGGTATTTTTTTCCCATCCCATTCTGTGCAATTATTTGCCGAAAGGATAACCGATTGATTATCGTTACGTTACCGATAGATTATCGTTTCCAGCGTAAAAGGTCCGAATTCCGCTTCCAGCAAGATAAGAAAACGTCTCATTAAAAATACGATGCTGGTGATCCACGTGTATTTCTCTCCCAAAGGAATTCTTATCGCATTAATAGCCACAAGAATCAAAAATAGCCAGAAATGCTGGACGCTGGCCGCTTATTTTTTAATTTTAGTTATTAGTTTTGATTCTCGAGAAATTGTTAAAATTAAATTTTCGGTTTATATAATATATAATCCTATATTACATTATATAAAATATACATCTCATAATACATTATATATATATATATATATAATATACATTATATATATATATATATTGTATATATAATATATAATTTACAGTTATAATATATAATTCATTTATTATCTAAATTTAATCTAAATTTAATTATGTATAAACTTTTCTTTCTGAATTTTAAGTGTAATTAGCCGTTATTATTAACGAAAGAAATTCGCTACATCAATAAATTTTTAAACTTTAATAATAGCTTAATTATGAAGAAAGAAGCGAAGTTAAAGCAAATTTTAAATTATTTAGAGACTAGCTTTTTGTGTTGTTTAAAAAAAAATTATAAAAATAAATCAAAATGTCGAGAAAAAATTTTTTTGTTTGAAAACAAAGAAATATTTACTAATTGAATTTTTTTTAATCATGTAGATTTAAGGTTAGATTTAAGGCCGTTAGATTAAAATCACTTCTCCAGAGAATCAATTGGGAGCAAAAGTTTGGGAGATTCCCCAATAATACACCTGAATTTCACGACTAATGACGGGTTTGTTCTTATTAAGAAGCAAGAATCTAACTCACAGTGCTTGATTTTAAGCGAAACATTATACCACATCGCGCCTAATTATTTTAGCTAGTAATCGATCTCACCGAGGAATAAATTTCTTGAAAAAAGGGATTCCCTGAAATTTACTTACTGAAATTATTTATCCAAGATGGTACCAGATCAGTAAATGTTCTACTCAGTTTAGTTGATGACAGCGAAATAGAACATTGGTTGGAAGAAGGAAATGTAGCTGATTTGGAGAATTTGGTTTTGGAAGGTCAAGCCCATCGAATTATTGGCAAAAAATCGTCAAATGAGACTACAAACGCATTTCTGGAAATAATTCCGAAGTACCAGGTCTCTTCCTCCTAATATTCTCGCTATCACTTTTTTTTGCGAAATACAACATTGGAAGGAAAAGGATTTGAAAAATTTTATAAAAAGTGGTTTTTTAAAAAAATGTTTCTAATCTTTCTATCTATTTTGTGCGGAATTTTAACTTGGGTTTTATTAGGCAATTTAAATTAAAGTTATCTAAATTTAAGGCAAAAATCGATGCGCTTCATAAAGCAGTTGAAGATGGTGATATACGTCGTGCGGACACGCTGATCGACCATAGTTATATGGCACTTGCCAGAGATAAATACGGTATGTTTCATGAATTTCCTATTGAACCTCATTTCAGTTAATAGATTTTTTTTTAAATGTGAAAAAGAGCGAAAAAGACACATCAATTATTTTTGCCGCTATTATTGAAGGATTTACATAAATTTTTATGGAAAATAATAAATTATTAGGAAGAAGGGCCGCATTTAGATCGGAAAAAGCAGAAAAATGAAATTAAATGAGAGTTTTGACTGATTTTTGCTATTTGAATATTCCGCTAATCTATAAAAATAGGTAAAAACTAAAGAAATTATTTGAAGGAATAACTCCTATACATAAAGCAGTTTTATTCGGCCAAACCAATACCGTATCTTATCTTCTTGCAAAGCATCCATTGTGCGTAAATGTCATAGATGAGGTTTTATTATTTTTTATTTATTAGGGTGATTTAATTTCAACCAAATTAACTACAATATCTGCTGTTAATTAGAAAAAAATTTCAATAACGAAGAATTAGAACTGTTCAGTCATTTAAACTGAATCATTGTACAAATGTTAGATGGCTGCCGAAATTCCTCTCAGAATTTCAGATTAACAACTAATCTTCAATGAATTTGAAGATTTACTCCTCGAGTAGATATTTAATAATATTTAATAATAGATCATTAATTATCTAAATATTGCTTATTTGCTTTGATAATTTCGATAAATTTTAGGATGGCAGAACGCCCCTTCATTATGCAGCAGCCGACCCTTTGGGAAAATTTATAGCCAAATTGTTGCAGAAATCAGGTGCAAATGCTTTCATTGAAGATAAGGTAAGGCTCACCATGCTTGATTATAATTCCGTAATTCATTGCAGTTTTATAGTTGAGCATTTTGACAATTCTATATTATTTTTATAAGGTTCAACTGCTTATAATGTGTAATTTGTATGGGTCTTATAAATATATTTCAAATACATTTCTTTTTTTATCAGACAAATTTTGCCAAGGAATCGACAAAATTTCGTTCCTTGGCGATAAAAGTACAAATGAGTCGGCCGCAACAATCAGAATTTTTTTAGAGATAATGATAAGTTTCCTCCTCCTACGCTGCGAAGATTAATCCTAAATTAAAGATGCTGGCGAAACTCTAACTAAGCATACCACCCAACCATCTCTGGTCTCTATGAAGTGACAATATACTATTTGCCAAAGATGATTTTAGAGGCCTAAAATTTATTCTTATTTCGGCTAATACTTTTTTATAAAATATTTAATAGATATTTAATAGATATTTAATAAATATTTAAATATTTTATATAATACATAAATACATATATTATTAATATATATTATTAATATTACAAATATTTTTAATTAGAAGTTTCACATAAAGTACGCTTGGTTTTAAAAATTTTAGTATGGTCACACACCATTCTATTACCGAAGCCATGTCATGCGCAGCAAAAATTTCAAGGAGAATACAGTAATCTCTCAGCTTATCTCTGGACAAATGAATAGAAAGCGTCTACGAGGTGAGATTTAAATTGATAATCTATAATCTATTAATTAATAATCTATAATCTCCTGGCTATTTTTTTAAAAATATTTTCTAATTCAACTATCAAAAATTGCTATTTTTCAAATAAATTTTTTTTAGACTTAGAAGAAGATATATCAGATTGGATCCATGTGGGTAATATTGCAAAAATGGAGCAGATTGTACTATTTGGATATGGCGATTTATTACTGGGCCGAATGAATGAAGTAGAAGACTCCGATGTGATCAATTTCCTCGAGGTTTTGCCGCAATATCAGGTAAATTCATGTATATATTCATGCATATATATATGAATATTAATTTACGTATATTTTTTCACATATTTTTTCAGTTTTATTCAATGATAAGAATATCGTAACAATTATGCATCTAAGTAAGGGTTGAGGAATGATAACGAAATATTTTATTGAATCAGTGTACTTATTCTCACTGGGGTTAATGAAACTGCGGTCGAAGAAAGATTTAAACCCCACTCGAGATCAATCTTCATTCACCTCTATTTGTATTCTTAAAGTACTAAAAAGAATTCATTTATTTATGCTAAATTTACAGACAAAAATACAAGCAGCTCATAAAGCCGTTGAAAAAGCTGATTTAAAATACGTAAAACTTTTAATTGATCGAAAAAAGATGTCGCTTTGTCGTGACAGTCGTCGGCTAACGCCGCTACATAAGGCCATAATTTTTGGGCATATTAAAATTATCAAATACCTCGTGCGGTACTATCCTCAGGCAATCAATGCTATGGATGAGGTTTTCTTTTCTTCCATTTTTTGATTATTTAATTTCGAATTTATGAAATCGAATAATTTCGATTATTTGTGAGCATTTTATAACGAAAACTACGAATACTTATGTATATTACGAAAGCTTAAAGAGATATTTATAAATTCGCAATAAAATTGTTTTCGTTTAATTTATGCGAATGCGTTTTTGAAATTATTTTCTAAACGAATGCGTTTTATCGAATATTTCTTTAGAAATTTTTAAATTTTTCTGATTTTGAAAATTTTAAAAATTTTTGCAAATTTTTCCGATTTGAAAAACGCTTAAAAAATTTGTCAGATTTATAATTCTCATTAATATTGCTGCAGTACCAACGCACAGCGCTGCATTATGCCGCTGCACTTCGGGATGGAGGATTTATATATAAAATACTGCGAAAAGCTGGAGGCGATCCAAATATTGTTGATTGTGTATGGGAGTTTTTGATTTAAATTTTTATAAATACTTTTGTCAACAAATTTTTCGATTTTTCGATATTTCGATATTTCAGTAATGAAATTAGCATAAGAAAAACCATAAAGAATAGAAAAAAAGTTGATAAAACCAGCTTTTAGTAAAAAATTCAATGAAAAAAAGATGGAAATTTTTTTTATTAATTAATTTTATTAATAATTATTGAAAATTTAAGCGTGGATGCCCCGCGAAATTTTACCTGAAATTTGTTGGTGAAATCGATTTTCAGTCATTGAAACTCGATGCTAAAGAAGCATTCGAACAGGTAAGCAATGACACAAGATTTAGAAGAAGGCTTTCATTTAAAGAGTTATTGTGTTCGAAAAGAAATTAGAATTAGGTGAGGAAACATGATAGTATGACTGTTTATCCATTTCGGACGATGTTTGAGACTCTCTCCAAAATGTTTTTGTAACGAAAGGACTTCGTTTTAATAGGAAGTGGTACCAACTAAATCAGAGAATGATGTTAGAAGAAAAAGGTTGCATTAATTTTTATATTCATAAATTTACATTATTTTAGATGCTGCAGAATAAAATAACGCCATCATTCCTTGAATATGGTATTCAACAGTGGCTACGTGATGGAAATATTGGCAAACTCGATCAACTCGTTATTTCAGGTTGCGGCGATTTACTGCTTAATCGTGCTTCAACCAATCCAAGTGCATCTGATTTTCTAAAAAATCTACCCAAAACTCTGGTTAATTATTTCTTTACATTTTATTTCGATTAATTTGAGAAAATGTGCCTGAGTATTCATTAGACTATCAGTATGTCCTTCGACGGGGGTGAATCATTAAATTTCATTAAAAAATTCTGAAAACACATTGTGTTCGAAAATAGATTAAAATTAGGTGAAGAAGCAAGGTGGTATGGCTTTATCCATCTCGGACGATGCTAGAAACTGTCACCAAAGTGTTTGCAACGAAATAATCTCGTTTTAATCGGAAGTGGTCAAATTAGAAATTGTGCATGATGTTGGAAGAAAAATGTTGTATGCTTCTCCAAATATCTCTGATATAAATATGCTAGTTAGCCGGTGTAGTCTAACGAGAAAAAAAGCGGTCTTAACGATATTTATAAATATGGCCATTTATCAAAATGTACCACTTAAGCAATAAATGTACCACAGAAAACTTAAACGAGAAGTTTGAAGATTCCTTTAAGTTGCCCGAGATATTTCAGAAGAGTTTTCACTATTTCATTTCCCTTTTTGCTTTTTTTGTCCTCTTGGAAAATAAAAAGAATTAAAGGTAATTAATTTTTTACAAGATGGATGAAAGCAATTATTACTCGCTATTGTTAATACTGAAAAATTCACTATAACTTCCCTTGTCATGATGATGAATAAATCTTAGTGTTTGTGTGTATACAAACCGTAATGTCGATTGTCCTTGAACGATTTCCTTTCTGCTTCCTATTAAACTTCTTGAAAAAAGACCGTTCCTCTCCGGTTCAATGCATCGTCACTAAACATCCTCATGAATGTATTTTAACTCAATACGCGTGTTTCCGAGGCCATCATTCATTTTTATTATGGCGTAGTAAATTGCAAAAGTAAGATGCTCATTCGAAAATTATTATTATGCGATAATAATAATAATGCATATCCATAACCTTGGCCTTCAACTCGTACGGAAACTATTATGTCACTTCAAATTATTGCATATATTATACATATTATAATTATTACATATTTTATTTTAAAAACAATTCTTCCACGATGAATTCGAGAAAGAAATGTCGGACAAATTCAGCTTTAAGGAAAATATTGAGTTAAAGGTAGACTATGAAATGCAAACTGGATTATGGGCTCAACATTGCTCGGATTTTTAGTGATAGGCCCTCACTCCTGCTAAGGGAAAGAGTTGAGCCATTATTTCTTAAATTTTCCAGGATGAAATCAATTTCGTTCATAAATCGATCAAAGAGGGAGATTTGGAGAAGTTAAAGAATATAATGAAAACGAAAAAGTTAGCATTAAGCCGAAATCGTTACGGTTGTACACCTCTGCATACGGCAATTATCTATGAACGTACTGAAATTGTACGCTACATTGCTTCAAATTTTCCATCCGTCATCAATTCACCGGATTATGTTAGTGTGAAATATTTTCCAGAAAGCTGATTTCAATCCATAAATCTGTATAATCGACATAATATGTTCATTTTCCAGTTTTTTCCATTTTTCTCTTTATTCAAGCTTCAAGCCGAATCCATCAAATCCATATTCATTTATCTCTTTAATTCTGATCCAAGTTTCGTGGACTTTATTCTCCAAACGCCACATAACATTTTTTTTTCGCCATAAATATCCACCTAAATGTTTAGCGGCCGAATGCCTCAATGGACCGTTGCTCTCATTTTGGAGTACCAACACTGTGGTTCTATTTCTGTTATGATTAAAAATATCTCTCAAAAATCTTCGCGATTATGCTTCTATCGTGAAGTGACTCCAAAATTTGTTTATTTGATTGGTTACTCAGCGAAGCGAAAAATACTAACGCTCTTAGAAAAAATTGTCCAGAAAATCCGGTGAAAATTAATTTGAATTTCGGAGATAATGCGCGTCGACCGAAATGGCTCATAAATTTTCTTATTAATGGAATGACCTTTGTTGCTATCGTCCTTTAATTTAATATATTTAAAAAACATAAAATTTATGGATCATATCGCTCAAAGCTTTCAAATGTAATAAATATGATTCTCAAAGAAATTGCAGAACGAGCGAACACCTATGCATTATGCAGCAGCTTCGTGTGACGGTGGACATTACATGAAGATTCTCAGCAAAGCTGGTGGCGATATAAAAGCCACTGATAAAGTGATTTTTCATTCACTATTATTTTCTTCGTGATAAGTATGGAATAATGGACCTTTTAAAACATTATCTAATATAATATAATAATGTTAGCGTTTACCGCAAACTTGCTAGTTTTAAAAGAGTTTAAAAGACTAATTTTTAAAAATTTTAGCTAAAAATATCAATAAATAAAAAGAATTAATTTTATTAAATCAGAGTATGGTATGGCTTAGATAATTAAATAACTTATCTAGCAGGCAGACTTTGGCACATAAATGCCTTTTGTAAGTCGACAGAGTTTTAGAAAAAAAAGATCTTAAAAATGAGACTTTTTTCGAGTATTTAGAAAAAATCAAATTATTCGGGAAGTACATATTACATAATTTTTAAGGAAGGGCGAACTCCTGATTATTATCAAAATCATAACGTTATAAATTTGAAAATGCTACGAGGTCGCCGAGACTCGATACAATATGAACAATTCGAGCAAACGCCATGCTTCGACTCAGTAAAAAGTCCGAGAAGGTACCATTATATGAAAGACAAAGCACGGAATAATTTTGTTTTTTCATATTGTTCCAATTCATTAATTTAACAAATTCATTAGTATTAATTTATAAAATCTCAGTTCATCAAATGATTCGTATAGCGATGTAGACTCACAGAGTGATACGAATAATTCGCAAGATCAGCAACAAACTGCTAGCGATGAAAATCTACCAACATCAGACAGTGGTATTTACCTTGCACGCACAGTGGCACCTGCACTAACTAAAGCCTTGACTGAGGTTTGTTTTAAAAAATCTATGGAGAAAGACTAAAGGCGAATAATTATTTGGCTGTCTAGTTACAATGTCACCAGCTAAAACTCAAAACGCTTTTTTTTAGGTATTAGTTCATCGTCCTGCTGATCCGATTGGTTTCATAACTGACTGGCTTCTCACCAAACACGAAGCCGATAAACTGGAATGAAATATTTTTTAAAGCTATTTAGAAAGAAAGAAACCTTAGAAAGAAACTGTAGGAACTGTAGAAATTGTAGGGTAACATTAAGTATCACAAGTTTAATAGTTCCTGAAGAAGAATAATAGTTAGCCTTATTTAGTTTAAGGGTCATAGTTGATCTCTAACTTTTTCTAAATTTTTTCTTAAAGTTATGTTAATTTTCAAGATTTTCATTAATTAAGCTCTACTGAAACTCTATCAATTCTATTATTTGGCTTCAAGCGATTAGCGCATTTATTAATAATTTCCATGATAATGAGATTATCTCGTGATGTGATACATATATTTCTATATATAGTGCTTAATTAAAATGCTTATTGAAAAATAAGCCTAATCAAAAACATCTAATGTTTTATCAGTTAAACCAGGCATTCTAAGAAAAGCTAAAGAGATAACCTATTTTTCGATATAATCAAAAAATTCAAAATATTGAGATGGCTGAAGTTGATATTTCATCATCGTATATCTGCCTATATTTAGTTATTAAAGATCAGTGTGATATCTTTGGTAGCTTTGATTAAGGCCAAGCCATAAAGATTCCCGCCCTTTGATTGGAGTCATTAAAAGTGATCCGATCAGTGTTGAGAACTCAGCTATATTTCGATCCTCAATGTCTCAGTGGCGAAAGATTTCATCCTGATTATCGATGGTATTTGCCAAACCAAATATGGTGAGAACTTCTGTTATGTCATTAAAAGAAGAATAAGAACAATCATATTTATCATTTTCTTCATTTTTTCAAATTCAAAATTTTATTTTTATTAATATATGGAAAAAACATGGAAAAAAGGTTTTTTAGCACTGAACTAAGTCAGAAATTTATACTTATAATAATGAATAGAAACTGCCATTTGCTAAGTTATAAAAATTTAATTGATAAATAATTTGTATAAATAATATGATCAATATAAAATAGGAAAAAAGTAGAAATAGAATCATTGCAAACATATTCGATAAATTTGATAGCGTTTGATAAATAGCAATAGAATTTGTGGGAGAAGAATATTGGGATTTTTAGCGGTAAAATCGAGACCGTCTTATCGAAGTACTGGTTTCATAGCTTTTTACCTTTTCCTTAGATACCTAAAGCTCGATCTACTTATGTTAAGCGAGTTTCAAAAAAAATTCAGATATGAAAAATCAAAAAGAATAGAGATAGAATATTATGAGTTATCATTTGAGGCTGACGATGATGATGATAAAGTTTCATTTCTATATTTTGAAGTAACATTAGTAGAATTCAATTTTACCAATTGCGGACTGAAAGGGTGATTTAGGCTTAGATGCGATACGTATTCATCGAAAATCGATGCAGTAAAGCCACAGTCTTCACAGACAAAAACCTAAAAGTAGAAAAGTAACTTGGTGACTTTTAAAATAAGTGAAGCGAAAGATATTCGTTCCAGTAGAACAACGAACGACAGATATTGAATGATCACATAAAAGATTTTGGTGAGACGAAGATTAAAGACAAAAAAATCACAAAACAGTGTTTTTGGCTGAAATATTAAATACTGGAAAAGGAGTGGTCCAAAATCTATTGGAATTACCTTACTTCGACGTTCCTTATAACCATAATGATGTTGGGTTCCATGAACCTTTTTTAAATGAGATTCCAGTGAACATCGTTGTGTAAAAGATTTTTCACATTGATCACATTTATATGGCCTTACACCTTTGCAAAGAAAATGAAATAAAAAACTATTCAATATAATAAATAATAATAAAAATAATAATAAAATGAATAAGAATAATTGCAATAATAACGCTGAAAAGTTGATGAAGGATTTTAGAAAAATTATTAAATCAGTCTGAGTAATTATTTTATTTTTTAAGGGACCAACAGTATTGTTCCAGAAAATTAGGAAGTAAAAAAATGATAAATGTTCGCTATTTTTAATTTAATTAAAATAACTCCACTGTTGTTAACGAATTTTTGTAAGGAAAACATCTGGCTATAAATTGAGTCATTAGCACCACCCTGACTTTTTAACGACAGATTTATTCCCATCAGGATCCTTGTCTCTCAACCCAATAGTCTCAGCCGCTACCTACATGTTCTCTCAATATTATTCTAATTTTTAGAAATCTATTGTAAATCTATTAACATTTTTTAAAATCTATTAACCTATTGAATCTATTAACATTTTTTTTAAATTATCTTTTATCTTCAATTATCTTCAAAATCTTTTATTCGCAATTCGTACCTTATCACATGGCTCTGTGTCCCGCTTATTTTTTCTTTACATAAATTAAATGGTAATCGGATAGTTCAATCTTATTTCTAACTTATTCCAGCACAAACGGATGGAAAATGATTATAAATCCTCGCTACTAAATGATTTAATTTAATTTTTACGCTAAAGAATTTACCTGTATGTGTCCGAGTATGTCGTTTTAAATCGAAGGTGTCATTAAAACCTTTGCCACAAAACGTACAAAGATAGCGTTTCACCTCTGAATGACATTTCGCATGTCGATTTAATAATCGTTGCAGTGCGAATTTCTGCAAATGAAAACAATGAAGATTGATAAAATTGATTAGTAATGATTAGTTACCGATATTCGTTTGTTTATGCTCGAATAATTCCATTCCATGACTGAAGATTTTCCCTTTTCATGAGCGACTGAAAAATATCGTAATCCCTCGATATTCCAGTCTATGGCTCAGTATTTTCTTTCCATATTTTTATTATAATAATTTATGTTATAATAAAATGAAATAAAGATGTGAATAAAATCTAATTTATTGGATTGATGAAAGGGTCACTAGTCCGAAATAATTATTATTATTTGCGTTCGAAGTTTATTTTACCGATTGTGGACTTCCATCGGATGAAAAAAATTTTATTTTTTGTGCCAATAAATAGTTTTGGTTTTGGTGATATTTCTATGAGAAAATACAGCAATAAATCGCCATCTTTTTTAAAGTGACATGTCTCACCTTTAAAAATCCACAATTTATTTATTCTTAGGCAAAATTGCCAACTTTTACATTTCAAAATTCATTTGTAAAGTATTTAAAAATTGAAAGAAAAAAAAAGGACGAAATTGAAAGAAAGGACTCATTATCATAATTTTCCACAAGTAAATTTCGTAAATAATGGAATTATTCATTTTGTATTTGTGTAATATTTAAAAAATGTGCTTTAGAATAAGGAATCATTGCATACTTTCCCACAAATTCGACAAGTTAGAAGACCAGGCTCGGAGGTCGGGGCTGGAGTCGAGTCAATATCTAGACGGGCACTTTGTAGCATAGGATTTTTAACGCCATAGCCTCCATTAACCCATTCGACATTGCTTGGCGGTAACTGCAATTTACAAGTTTGTCAAGAGATTTTGAGATTTTGCTCAATTATTGAAAGATAACTAACTATATCAATTTTAAATTATTGCATTTTCTTGACCACGCTCAATACATTAATTAATTTTGTTGACCATAGTCAATATGTTAATTATTAAGAAAATTTAATCATATTATTTATGATTTATAATGAAAATAAGTGCTTTACTTCCAATAGACAAATAATTAGTATAGTTGGATAATTCCAATTAATGGTGATAGTATTTTAATATTTTAAATGAAAATCGAAAAATTTTTCTTTTTCTTCTCAGCATTTTTGGTTTGGCTTGTTCTACTGAAAAGAAGCGGAAGAGAATAGAGATTTGCTCCCAAGGCTAACAGAATTTTCAAATGGGCAGGCTTTTCCTGCGCAAGAAATCGAAGACAACGGCATCGGTTGAAGCAGCACACCACACAACGATCTGGGCCTATATTTTCCTTCTCAAAAATATTTCGATTAAAAATGTTCTGAAATTCCTCGTTTACTTTTTACAAAATTTTTTTTTGCAATATAAAACCTGTTTATCCTTATTTCCATATTGGTTAAAGTGGGTTCTCTTTGATAATTTGAAATTCGAAAAAAGTAGAAAAAATCGCTAATGTAGAAAATGAGTCATTTAAATTTATGTATGTAGGAGGAAATTACGAGGCAGATTAGCTGAGTTGTATTATTAAAAACCCGGAAGGTTTTGGCCGTCCATCTGTATTTTTCAACCGCTCTGACAGTCAGCGGAACCCATTTAACCGGAAATATATTTGTTAAGAATCACTGGGAATCACTGGATTTCCTTCCAAGCTATAGAAAGCATGCGACAATATTCCTTTCTATTTATTTATTAAAACCTGGCTAATTTTAAATTTAAAGGCCTTATAATTTTAATGCCGATTAATAGCCATTAAAAAATTTTTAAAGGGAAAACTGATGAGAATTACGGTGATCAAGAAGAACGTTAAGTAAAAACAGGTGTTTTAAGAAATTGCTTTATGCGTTTTAAATGGTCAAACCAATCTATGCAAAAAATATCGAGGAAAATATAAAATTTTCGTTTTCAATTATTTATTTAATTATTTATTTATTTAATGAAAAATAATCATCAGTTAGGAAAAATGGTAGGAAAAATTGCAAAATATGAAAAATGCGATCATCTGCAAAAAAAAAACTATTGCATTTTGCAGCAAAAAAATTTTTGATGCACATATTCTGGCAAATTACTGGAGATGATCTCACGGATATTCCTGCAAAGTTTTCTGACGAAAAAAGGGTTTCACCCGGAAAAGACTGTTGTAAAATGCAACTGCAATAAAAGAAATGATAGCATAATGCTGGCAATTAAAATCAAAAAGGAACATAAAAATAAATAAAAATAAAAAAAAGATAATTTTCTAGAAGAGAATTTCAGAAGACACCATTGCGAAAAAATTCGAAAATTATAGCAAAGTTGGTATTTAGATGATTTTTTTTTATCAAGCAGTTCATCAAATATTAATCGAAGTCTTATGCTTATCCTTAGAGCGAGGAGTTCAACCCTGGGCTTATGCTACATGTTAAATCATTGGTGGATTTATTGACGAATGATCCCTTTTTCCATAAAGAATATTAATTTTTAGCAACGAAATCTAAAATATCATTCAAATAAATTAATCACGATTAGAGAAGAAATGAAATTATTAAAAAATGCTTTAAAATTGCATTTAGCATGAATACATTTCAAATAAAAAATTATAAATGATTACTGCCAGTGGCAATCATCCGGTGATTATAACCGAATAAGGCAAAACAAAAGAATTCGTTCTAAGCCTTCTTAAAGGACTTTAAGGACTTAATGTTATATCAGTCAATGAAAATGTGCTTATTTAGATTCAAATAGAATAATTTGAAAAATGGCGACACTGTCAAATGATATGTCGCTTAGATTAGAATGGAGCTTCGTTATTTCTCTCTAGTTCTCAGCATGAGTAGGGTGGTTTTTTTGGCCACTTACTGCAACTTACTAATTGATTGAAAGGTTCGAAGCCTAATAGCCAATAAAACGGGCCGAACTACGGTGGGTGTTGAGAAAAATGAGAGTGCCATAAATTAAATCCACTCATTAGTTAAATGAATTTAACGCATGATTTATGGACTGTAGAAAATTGTTATTACTCTTTATGTTTTTATCCAAATATCCAAATATTAAAGATTTCGAGAATCGTAATTTGCGGTGAAGAATCATGAAAAAAATAAATTAGAGCCAAATAGTCTTAGGTTACCTGACTATTGCAATTCAGCTGTCTGAGTAAATTTAAAGCAAGTAATTTCAAACAAACCGTTTGAGGAGTAGGATTAGGTGTTGCTTGTGTTACTCTTGGCATTATTTTGATAGGTGATGCTATCGTTTGCACTGGATGTGTCTGTGGAGGCGATTCATGCTTTTCTGCAAGCGATGGAAGAATGCTTTCTACTAGAAATCGTTTCGATGACTTGTCTTTATTATTCGTTTCATATGGTGATGAAAGGTCCGACGTTATAATTGGATGTTGTTTTATAATTGGCAGCAACGGAGAAAAATTGGGTGCTAATAGATAAGGAGGCATCGTCGGATAGAATAGAGTAAATGGTAGTTGTGGAGCCAGCCAAAACGGCAATGACATGACAGAAGTGCATCCAAAAATCTCCACAATATGATTTTAGAAAATATTAACCAGATGGTGGGAAATTCAAGCAAATGGCTATAAAGCCAATAATGAGAACATCGAACCGAATTGAATGACAATTTTGACAAAAAAAATTCGAGGCTAACGAATGTCGATTGTCCTTAGACCTGAAAATATCTTTGTTGAACTTTACATTTTCATGTATCGACTGCTGCGAGAGATTGATTCGATTGTGCATCCGAACTGTAAAGGCCATTAAAATATTTTAATTAAAAGTTATTTGTGGTAACTATTATTTATAATAATTCCACAATTAATGTAATAATTATGAATAATAATTTCAGAAAAAATGAAATTAACAAGGGTCTAGGAATTCACATAAATTCTGTTAAGCCTAAGGAATACAAGCAGAGAACAAGAATAGGGAATAGGTAAGTTGAATAATTGCTGTTTAAATTACCATGCCAAGTAGCTTAGCTTAGTTGAACCTCCCCAATGAATGAACGTTTCATTAAAAAATTCTTTGTGATAAGGGGAACCCACTTGTGCTTTCCACTTTTCTTTCGTTCTACTTATAGACAGTGCAATGAGCTAAAAGAGAAATGATAAGCCCTAATTAGGCATTTATTTCTGCTTGTAGAATCTATCATTAGCATTAATTGTTTGAATTTTATAAAAGTCAACAATATTATAAAAATATTTCGAAGGATCTCATTTCCAAAATGATCAAAGTAGTTGGTATAAATAATTCTGGCCTTAAGAGCCTTTGCAACCGTTCCATCGAATCAAAAGCGAGTTTTTTTTCAAAATTTATTATTCGATTATTACATTCATTGAAAATATCTTTATTACAATCTTTATTGTACAATAAATAGTCAGCGCAAATAAATTATAAATATAAATATTTCCAAGATTTTTTGAGAAAAAATTGAAAATTTTTTAATTTTTTTTCTAATAAAACTTATTTTAAAAAAAGCAGAAAAATTAGAAAATTACAAGTGAAACCGTTCCTTTCGCGTTTAAATTAATTCAGTGTAAATATCATGCTAGAATAGTATTTATATGAATAAATCTATCGATAAGAAAGAAAGAAAGAAAAGAAATTCGGGAGGTTCTGGGAACTCTGGGCACTAATTCGTCTCGAAGGCCAAAGTCTCGTCTTAACAGCTGACCAGTAGGACCAGCTGAGTTAGAAATTATAATTAAGAGAAAAATAATCTCAAGAATTATACTGCATTGACCTGTCTTAGCTTTAAAAAATTTTTTTGATTTCTGAATTAATAAGAGCCTTCCCCATTATGCTCTTCTGTCTATAAGGGACAAGGATCGAGCCAATTATGCACTTGGTTATCCCAACAGATAAAATACGTGGAAAATACACGATATCAAATTAATTGGGTGCTTCAACAGTTCAACATCATCTTTTGACAGCAAATTATTCGGCTTGAGAAATACTAGAAAATTTCTGGAAAATCCTTGCTACCAAACTATCCGAAGATTTTCGTCTTCAAATAGGATCTATAGTAACAAAATATATTATTGCATGGCTACTATAGCTATTACTTAAGGAGAATAATAAAATTACACTAAATTACTGAAATCAGTCTTAGCACATCTACTGCTGACTGGCGACGTCTTCACATCTTTTGTAAGATTCTTAATTATTTAAAAATGCGCGATGGTGACAGTGATTGTAATGGCATCAATAAGTAACAATGACGGATTGAGGTGAAGGTAAGCGAAAATTTAGATGGTAAAATTAGCTGTTGTAAATAACTGAGATGAAGTTGATAATGTTTTGAGAAAAGTTGAAAAGAGATAATGACCTTGAATCAATGAAGAACCTCAATTACGAAAAGAAACAGGTATTGCTGATTATTGTCATTTTCTACCGCCCCAAATCCTCGAACACAATTCGTCATGCATTACTACCTTAGAATTCTCGAACAATCAATCATCTTTTATCTTTTCATTGTCTCATATTTCTCGCATTTTCAAATTCGCATAATATGTTTGATCTACCAAACATTCCAATCCCATGGATTTTAACCTCATAACCTGGAAATGTTCTTAACTTTCGCCAAGTTTGATTATTTGACGTAATGTTTAGTGCATGCTTTAGCTTAGTTGCATGAAAAATTGATAATATTTGCGATAAAAGGATAGATCTAGTAGAATGGCATAATAGATTGTTGCTCAATTGGGGGCGCTGATGCTGAGGTTCGATTCCCCGCAGGAGTAAATCTGCACAAAAATCCAGATAATGCTAGCGACTCACCTATAGCCAAGGGACTCACTGGCATATTGCCCAATGCGAAAAGCCAGTGGAGCGAGCTTAACCAGTAGTGGTGAGGACACTTAAAAAAAAGATCTACAGATAGAATTTTTGATAAGGGGCTAAGCAGATTCTCCGGCTGGCATAATTTCTTCCAATTTTATTTTTTTTTCTGGATGCATATACGATAGTGAATGGTTATCATTTATAGAATGTTTTTTTATTTGTGTGGTAACATAGATAACATAGATACTGTGATTATCCTGGTAGATTATACTGTATTAAGCATTTGTTTTGCGATTGTATGGAGCAAAGATGGAGTCCATATTGTTATATTTTGAATTCACTTTTTTTCTTTATTTATCTTAAGATCTTTATTTCCATAGAAATTAAATTAAAAGTAGTGGTGCTTAGAGTGGTATATCGATTCCATCCTTATTTCTTGATGTAAATAAATTTTTTATTAAAAATTGAAGCCAAATGGTACTTGAAGCTATTCTGAGCTCATAACCAGTGGAGTGATTCTTTGCAGAAATCATATCATTCTGATAGCCGGTGCAGTTAGCTAATCTAGAAAAATCGGTTTAGCGGAAGAAGATGAAGAGTAAAGTGAAGTTTGGGCTTTTTAAAACCACTAAACATGTGGAAATGTGGTTGAGAAGTTTAAAATTTTGCATTTAAAAGATTTAGGAAAAATGAATTACTCTACTATTAAATATTTTCGCTGTGTTTGGATGGATTTAAGAAGATCTTCTAATCGCCTTTAAACAAGTTTAGATTTTTTCATGCCATTACTAAATACTACAATAATTATAGTTAATTTTTATTACTTCTTAATCCTTGGAGTATCTCTTTGATTAGATCGGTTAACCACTTTTCGCTAAATTATCGATTAATATAAACAAAATTTCAAGATATTATTATTCATTTTGATGAGTGAATATTCCATGAAATCGTTATGTTTTCTCCTTTCTAGAATGGTTAACAATCATTCATATAATTAGGGGCACAAGTGGTTAAGTAAATATATAAAATAAACTATGAAATTTTCGAAAGAAAACTTGTTTGGCCCAAAGCACATACCATATTCTTTTTTTTTATTTGCTTGTTAACTGTAACAATAATTATTATTGAAAAGTAAAATTTCAAAATTCCCCAATTCGAATCAGCTTACATTTTTTTTTAAAGAGCTAAAGAACTTACTAAAATAAAAATATTTTAAGAGCAGATTTATAAGAGTTATAAGAAGTAGAATAGCACAGTGCTCTGCTTATACTCGAATACTCAAGCAGTATGGATTCGATTCCTATCATGGAATTGCATGAAAATGAGTAAACCTATCATTAAAATCCAAACGATGCTGGGCGATGTTTTAATGTTACAATTATTCTGAATACAATTATTTGATGGTCTAAATAAAAATATTCATTTAGGAACGATTTTAACAAAAGAGCAACAAAATTTTTTTCAAACTGTTTATCAATCAACTATCATTAACTTAGCAAATTTAAAGAAATAATTTGTGTCACCTCAAAACATTCTTCGCTACTAATATTTATTTCAGCGAAAAAATCACAGTTTCATTTGGCACATTCAAATTTTAGCCAAGTTTATAGAACGAAACGGTCGATCACAATAAATAATTTCTTAGGCTAATAATTTCTTAATGCAACGTGAAGTGATGATTAGTAGAATTATTCGTAATTCATGCGATTTTTGTCAAAGGGAACGAGTTGTTAGAACTAGTTAAACTTTTCATAGAACAAATGCATAATAATTGTACAGCATTCGTATTGGTGCGTATAAAAATAGAAGAAAAAACTGCAGCGACTTTGCAACAGTTTAAGAGAATCAAATAGAAGAGAAATAGAAATAATTTCGATGTATAATTGACAAATGCTACAAGAATTTTTAAATAAGGAACAATGCAAAAATTATAATTAAAATTATAAAATTATACTAGAAAATTATATATATCTTTATTAACGAGAGAGTTAACTTTTTGGGGACTAACAATGTGGAATTTGTTAAAGAAGACCGAAAATAAGTCTACAGATCGGGTTTTAGATTGATTGCCAAAAGGCAAATGCGCTGGCGGCTTATCTATATTTCTGTATAGCCGGGCAACTCCGTGCGCAACAGCTAGCAATAATAACAGCACTGCTAAAAGCCAACTAGCCCAACCAGAAGTGATGAACACTAAGCAATTAAAAATAATATATAAAAAATAAAAATAGTCGAAAAATAGCGAATCAAATACGGCAATAATTCGGATCGCCCGAGTTGATAGCCGTAATGAAGTGCCAAATAGCACGACCGTAATCCATCGTAATTTCTTTTTTATTATTTTTGCGAACATCTTCGCGACGAGAATTTTCGCTTTTATAGCCGATCATTACTGCTGACTTTAGAATTAAGGATAAGTATCGCAAATTATCACCAAAAGGACAATAACGCGTGGCACGATTTGCTTGCTCTCCATACAAATGCTATTTTTATTATATGCAATCCCTATATTCAAATTAAATGAGATACGGTTTTTGGTAAATTATTTTTGCGTAGAAGCAATTGCAATGAGGTTTGATTAAAATGTGGTAGTTAAATATGTATTGAATGTATAGATATTTAATTTTTAATTTTTTAAGTTCCGAAATTTTTTGAGTGCCGATTTGATAAACTAAACTTAATTCAAGAATGATCGAGTGATGTGTTGCCGCAATTA